CGGGACCCTGCGCCTAATCACCACGAATCGCAGCTGTCCGACCGTCAGCCCGCTGCAGACGTTGGAGGTGGAGCAGATCACGATCGCCGAACTGGGCCTGACCGAGGATATGATCACCGAAAATGCCGGCCGGGGAATCGCCGAGGCGGCCGTGGGGCTCCTGGCCAACGACGCCGCGGCGCCGACGATCCTGGTGCTGACAGGGAACCATCGCACGGGGGCTCGGGCCGTCACCGCCGCCCGTCATCTGCGCAACCGGGGCCACCGGGTGACCGTGTGCATGCTGGGGCTGGAGCATGAGAACGAGCTGCTGGAAAGCTGCCAGAAGCAGCTGGAGGTGTTCAAGAAGATTGGCGGACGCGTCACCCGCTGGGAAGACATCTCTACCAAGATGTCCAACACGGACTTTGGCCCGGACCTGATCGTGGACGCGCTGTTTGGGATCCATCTGGCGTTTGACGACCTGCGCACCGACGACCAGGCGGCGGCCTTTGAGATGATCTCCTGGGCGAACCGGAGCAGTCTTGATATTCTCTCGGTCGACGTCCCGTCGGGGCTGTCGGCAACGAGTGGTGAGTCCCCTTCCGTTCCTCCCTCTTTAGACTGCCCCAACTAACAGACGACTAGGCGAGGTGACGGTCGTGGAAGGCGGGCGGCTATACGTCCACGCCAAGGCGGTCGTGGGTCTGGGAGCACCCAAAACCGGGATCATCAATGCGCTGGTGGCGGGCGAAAGTCTTGGGGTCCTGTCCGTGGCGGACATCGGTATTCCCCAGATCGTCTGGCGGAAATACGGCACTCGCCGACGACACGGGATCGATTTCGGGAATCGCTGGGTGGTTCCTCTTCGCTACCAAGCCTCGTCCGTGTGATTAGAACCCCCCGCGATGGGGGATGACAACGACTTCATGATGCGATACACAAAAAAGCATAGGTTTCCATTTTCCACGGCGTTCTACAGCTTTTTCTCGGTGGGGAGGATGATCGGAGGGCAAGAATCCTGCAGTGGCAGTGCTCCAGGAAGGGTGACTTGTATTACCTGTAGTTTTATTTGCTGTTTTTCTGTTTCTCATAAGAATACAAGTCCTCCGTGCACGCCTTGGGTTCTACCCAGGCCTGCAAGCACTTTATGCACCGCCATCTCTCTATGGTAGAGTAGGATCGGCGCGTAGTTAATCAATAACAATGATCCAGTAATACTATATTTTCTCTCGAGGAAAATTATCAACTGGTTCAAGCAATTATTTCAGTGACATCTATTTACCCAGGAATGTTTCATGTCATTGTCGATAATATATCCCAACGTTTATAAGAGTGTATAGTGATCTAGTACGGAGTATATCCGAGATATATATAGCGTTGAGACGGGAATTCAACAACCTCGACTCGACTTGATAGTGCCCCATACGGACTCGACAGGAAATCTCTAGCCAATATATAATAAGCAATTATCAAATTATCCCATCAATTTCGCCCTAAAAATAGCAAAAAATCATGAAAAAAGGCGCATCGACATCAGATACTGCTGTTTGATCGATTTGGTTATTTTGTTAAGTTTACACTGTTTGTCTAATCAACAAACTCACCCAACTTGGTTAGCGCACATCCGCACCATACATCATCGTCCGCCATCGCGAGCAGAATCAACCAGGATTTTTCAGATTCCAATCGCGAAACATGGGGAAAGGTGAGTCGTTCTTATTGACACATTACTTTTGAGACAGCTGAGACTGACGGTGTCGATCTTCTTTTAGGAACGGATAAACTCTACGTAGGTCGACCTCAACAGACCATGATCCTTTCGCGACGCCGCTGACCACCAACTACACAGATCACACACTCGGAGTGGGCTTCGGAGGATGCCTTTTCGGCTAATGCAGGGGCCGGTGTGGGAAAGGCAAGACGCGGCGAACACGGGGCATTCAAGCGTCTCCCCTTCAACTTCTGCTCGCTGTCGCTGCAGCCGTACGCGCATCCCGTGTGCACGCAGTCGGGCACCATCTTCGATCTGACCAACATCGTCCCCTGGATCAAGAAACACGGCACGAACCCCGTCGACGGCACGCCGCTGAAGAGCGCCGACCTGATCAAGCTCCACCTGGCGAAGAACGAGGCCGGCGAATACATCGATCCCGTGACCTACAAGGTGCTGACGGACAACACGCACATCGTCGCCCTGCGCAATACCGGGAACGTGTTTGCGTGGGACACGGTGGAGCGGTTGAATATCAAGGGCAAGCTGTGGCGCGACCTGGTCACGGACGAGGAGTTTGGCCGGAAGGACATCATCACCCTCCAGGACCCGCAGAACATCGAGTCGCGGAATCTGAGCGCCTTCCACTACCTGCAGGCGGGGGAGAGTGGGCTGACGGATGAGCAGCAGCAGGAGCGGGCGTCAGGCAGCGTCAACGCCGATGCGCTGGGCAGCTCGGCCAAGATTCTGAAGGCGAAGGAGGCAGTGGCCAAGGCGCGGGCGGAACGCGCGCAGCGGGGCACCGCGGGGGCCGTCTCCCAGTCCGCAACGGAGGGCGGAGTCCGAGCGGGGTCGCGAGCCTCCAACCAGGCGGCCGCGGCGGCGTCGCGGAAACCGGTGCCCTACAACGCCGCCCGACACACGACAGGAATGGCAGCGGCGTCGCTGACGAGCACGGGGCTGACGCCGCACACGTCGGGCGAGCTGGCGCTCCTATCGGACGAGGAGTACATGCTCCGACGGGGGCGCGTCAAACAGAAGGGGTACGCGCGCCTGTCCACCAACCTGGGAGACGTCAACGTGGAGCTCCAGACGGAGTACGCGCCCAAGGCGGTGTGGAACTTCATCAAGCTGGCGAAGAAGGGCTACTACCGGGACGTGGCTTTCCACCGCAACATCAAGGGGTTCATGATCCAGGGTGGGGATCCGTCCGGGACGGGACGCGGCGGGGAGAGCATCTGGGGGAAGTACTTCAACGACGAATTTGAGGGGCCGCTGAAGCACGATTCCCGGGGGACGTTGAGCATGGCCAATAAGGGGAAGAACACCAACAGCAGCCAATTGTATGTTTCCCCTACACAAACATAAAAAGAGAGAGAGAGACTGACAGACCAGTTTCATCGCCTACCGCGCCCTACCGCACCTGAATCTCAAGCATACCATCTTTGGCCACGTCATCGACGACCCGACACCGTCGTCGGGCACACTCGACCGCATGGAAACCAACCCAGTGAACCCGTCCACCAATCGACCGACCCCGGACATCCGCATCCACGACGTGACCATCTTCGTGGACCCCTTCGAGGAGTTCCTGAAACAGCGGCAGGCCGAGGCTCGGGGGGAGACCCCCAACGACCGCCCGGCGGACGGTTCCTCGCAACAGGACGACAACAACAACAACAAGAACGACGACGACGATCAGGTCACCTGGACCGGCAAGCGCATCCGTGGTGCGGGCGGCGCCGAGGACGCGAGTGGCGGCGCAGGAGTCGGAAAATACCTACGGGCGGCGCTGGCGGATCGGGGTCCGGAGACGGAGGATGAGATCGTGGAGGTCCTGGAGGATGAACCCGAGCCCGAGCCGGCGCGCAAGAAGATGAAGGGGCGGGGGGGATTTGGAGATTTTAGCTCGTGGGATTAACTGGGATCGCGCGATTGCTAGACATATGGAATTGTATGCACTATGTAGATATATCTGACTGGGACTGGATGGTCCCTGGAGGACCCGTCCCACCGCTGCAATCCTGCTCGATGTCCGATCGGATCTATAGTCTACGTCATGCGACCGAGATCTCGAACCCTTCTCCTTTTCACCCTGATCGTGTAGGTCCTCGTGGTCAGGACTTAGGAGTCTTTGGACTATTCCAATAGTGTGTTGAGGATCGACTAGTCGGTACCCGGACGGTACTTCCCCCCCCTCCCAATTTGGCTGATCCCAGCGGTACCAGCGAAGTATCCCTGCGATGACCAGCTCTCCCCGGTAATCTTGATACCGGTACCAAACGGGTCATCACCTGCATAATACCCCAGAAAAGCGGGCATCCACCGGTCAGAGTGGGTTCGGTACGGTCTCAGACCCCGCTGACTGAGCAATCCCCTGCGTGCCCCGCGCGTAATGCTCATAAATCGGGTCAGGCTGATACAGGCTCGTAAGCCAAAGTCCAGTACTAAGAATAGTTGACGATCGAGTCCGACTTATCGTCACTTTCTCTCTCTCTCTCTCTCTCTCTCTCTCTCTCTCTCTTCATTCTTCTTCTCTTCCCCCTTGCCATCTGTTCACTAGAATATCCTCTTGTCTCGGCTCGGCTGATTCTTCGGATTCTTTTCTCTCTGGAGATCATCCTTGTCCTCCCTCCCATCGGATTCCTCCTGTGAGTTATCCTGTCTACTCCCTCCAGACACTACACCTTACCCCCCTCCCTCTCCCCTTCTCCTATCAGGTTCCAACGACCCAGTGGTGGTGTGAAGATCTAGATCTTTGGGACTGGGGAATTTGGTTTTCCGAATATCGGGAATCGGGGATGGAGGATAGGGATTGACGGTGGTCGCTCGTTCCGGGTGAGGGTAAATCCCTTGACGACGTCCTACCTCTCTCCCCCCCCTTGCCAATCGAATAAATAGGAGAAGGTTGGGACGGGTGGTGAGACGTCGTCTGGATTGGCACTTCCCCTGTTCACCAATCTGATCGGTTGCTACGGTGGAACGCTCCAGGTGTCGTTGACTGACTTCCCATACTCTCCAGTTCCGGTGCCTTTCGCTTCCGCCGCATCTCCCCCGATCCTACGTCAGTCCGCTGAATCCCCCCCCTCCTCCGTGGGATACGCCGCCGCCGCCGCCACCAACGCCGCCTACCTCTTCGTTTCCTCTTCTCTCTCGATTTCTTCCACACTCGACTTCTCGCGTCGCTTTTGACGGTGCCGTGTTCTCCAATTCTTCTCCCGGGTTCCCGTTGACTTCGCGTCCCACGATCAAGCTGGCAGGAAATAAGCGGAGAAGCTTTTCGAGCCAGGGTGGGTTGCTGAACCGAATGTTCAGTGGCTCCTCGAGCCCACCCAAAGATAAAATCGACACCATCCCCCAGGCCACTGCCATCGACACACCGTCCGCCCCCGCTCGCACCGACGAACCCGCCCCCGTCCAGAAGAAGTTTTCGCCCCCGGGTGGTTTCTTTGGCCGTCGGACCAGCGAGGAACAGAGCAACCCCGTTGGCGAGAAGAAGCGCCGGAGCAGCACCGTCACCAAGGCCGCCACCTTCTTTAGCAACGCCAAAAATTCCCTGAGCCTCAACGGGTCCCGAGACAACTCGTCGGGCTCCGGTCCGATCCGCGAGCTCACCGCGCTGCAGAAACTCGGGACCATGGACCCGGCCCTGACCGTCCCCCAGGGTTCCTTGAACAACTCCGCCGGCGAGTCGGTCCCCACCCCGCGCTCCTCGTTCAAGGTCGGTGTCACCGAGGACCAGAACCGAAAATGTCGTCGCACCATGGAGGACACCCACGCCTACCTGTACAACTTCCTTGGCACACCCGCGCCCGCGCCTGGGCCGTCCAACGACGCTGCTGCTGCTACCACCACCACCACCACCGATAGTAACCGTCCTGCCGGGGAACCCGCGTCGCCCCGGACGGAGGAGCCGCCCCCCGGCGCCGTGGAGACGGACAACGGGTACTTCGCCATCTTCGACGGGCATGCGGGCACCTTCGCCGCCGACTGGTGTGGCAAGAAATTGCACCTGATCCTCGAGGAGGTCATGCGTCGGTCCCCCAACATGGCGGTCCCCGAGCTGCTCGACCAGGCCTTTACCAGCGTCGACCAGCAGCTGGAGAAGCTGCCCGTCAAGAACAGCGGGTGCACCGCGGTCGTCGCCCTGCTGCGGTGGGAGGACCGGGTGCCCAACGCGCACTCGGCCACCGGGTCGGCTGCCCTGGCCCCGCCGCCGCCGCTGCCTCCGCCTCCGCCGCGACGTCGACCAACGCAGATGCCGCGGACGCCGGCGCGGCCGGGGAGACGCCGACGCAGGCCTCCGCCGGCGGGGCGGCGCTGATCCCCAAGCTCCAGGAGAAGGCGGTCCGGCAGCGCGTGCTGTACACCGCCAACGTGGGCGACGCCCGGGTGCTCCTCTGCCGGAACGGCAAGGCCCTCCGGTTATCGTACGACCACAAGGGCAGCGACGAGAACGAGGGGAAACGGATCGCCAACGCCGGCGGATTGATCCTGAACAACCGCGTCAACGGCGTGCTGGCCGTGACCCGTGCCCTGGGGGATGCCTACATCAAGGATCTCGTGACGGGGCATCCGTACACCACGGAGACCGTGATCCAGCCGGAAGCGGACGAATTCATCATATTGGCCTGCGACGGGGTGAGTTTTTCTTCCTTTCTTCCTTCCCTAATTTTCCATTATCTCTTCGTTTTCACCGGATGAAATGCTGATGCTCGGATAGCTGTGGGATGTCTGCAGTGATCAGGAAGCGGTCGATCTGATCCGACATATCCCCGATGCCCAGGAGGCGTCCAAGGTGCTCGTGGATCACGCGCTGGCCCGGTTCAGCACGGACAACCTGTCCTGCATGGTGATCCGCCTGAACAGCGAGCGGGTGCGGGAGGTCGTCAACGGCACGGCCGACCCGATCGGCGTGGCGGGCGACCCGTCGATGCCCGCGGAGCCGGGATTGAGCGAGGCCGACAAGATCGTGGAGAGCGCGCGGCGGAGCATGGCCAACGCCGGGATCACGGACGATTCGGAGGCGGGGGAGAAGGTCAAGGAGGAGATTCTGCAGAAGATGTCCAACGAGGAAGCGGGGCCGGAACTGTCGGTCAACGAGCACGCTGAGGCACCGCCGTTGGCGCCGCCGCCCAAGCCGGATGGGTCGTGATTGTTTCTTTTCTTTTCTTTTCTTTTCCTTTTGACGTTTAGTTTGCACTGTTTTGGGTTGCTGGCGTGGGTCGCGGGCTGTCGGCCTTTCTTGTCTATTATCTGTTCTTTCGTAGGGATCCCTACCTCTGGGACTCGTGGGTCGGGGTATGGTTGATGGTTCCAGGTGCTCTGAAGAGCCAATTGATTTCTTTTCGTTTTCGATTCTGTTCCGACATTCCGATCCTACCACCCTGTTATGACCACCTTGGTTTGTTCAAGGACTGGGCTTCAGGGGGGATGGATCTGAGCTGTCTTATGTTGATCTCCTGAGCGGGTGCTCCGATGCTGTACATGTTGATGAGCTGTCCGGAAGAAGAATACATCTATCACCATATCATCCACCAGTATCATCCAACATCTACCGTCTACCATCTACTGGTCGATAGATGAGAGATCTTTGAATAGTGTATTGTGTACTGGGTTACAACGCCGTGAAATCTAAAAGTACAAATTCGATATGGACATGAAACTTCTCCTTCCCTTCACCTACTCAGTCTTCTCGGTCGGCGGCTCGACCGCCTTCTTCTCGTTGAAGACACCGTCGGCCAGGATCTCAGCCCCCCGGGCGTAGGTCGGATGCGGGCCGGGCATGACGTGGTCCCGGGACTGGTCGAGCTCGCCGTGGCGGACCCGGTCGGGCCAGGCGGCGGCGAACTGGGCGTCGTAGAGGTCCGTCCAGAGGACCTTGACGAGATCATCCGGCAGGGAGTTGGTGTTGGCGGGGGTCTCCTCGACCTTGTACTCGACGCTGGCGGGGCCGGCGCTGAGGGTGTGTTCGAGGGCGTTGACGCGGGCCGCCTGGGACTCGGCGAGGGCCTGCTCGCGCTTGCGGGCCTCACGGCGACGACGACGGGCCGTCGGGGTGAGGTAGCCGCGGAGGCGGCGGGCGAAGCCGTTGGCGATCTCGTCGGCCTGGATGGCGAGGACGGCGGCCATGTCGGCGACGGAGGTGGCCTTTTGGTCCATGAGGGCGCGGGCGCGGTGCTTCTTCTCCATGAGCCAGCCGACCTTGTCGGCGTACTTGTCGTCGAACTCCTTGGCGGCTTCGGGGTCGCGGGGTCGTCGCTGGGCGAGCCACTGGTCGGAGATGGTGATCATGTCGCGCGGAGGCGCCAGCTGGCGCTGCAGGGAGAATTCCCGGAGGAGATGGTAGGCGCGGAGCCCGACCTGGGCGTCGTTGAAGTGCACGGAGTAGTAGGGGACCCACATGTCTTTGCGGAGAGAGGCGGGGACGGTTTTCTTGCCGTGGTAGACGAGTTGCCGGAGGACGTTGTGTTTCTATTCAGTTAGTCTTCCTTCTAGCGGTAGATCTCTACACAAGTAGAGAGGCTCGGCTCACCTCGAGATATCGCGTCAACGAGTAGACCACCTGGTTGGTGCGCATGTTGTGGTAGACGAAGATGTTCTTGCCGTGCGTGATGGCATTGACGGCCTTCCGTAACCGGACGCCCTCCTTGAACTGATGTAACTTGAAGGCATTGGAGTTCTGTTCTCTTGATCGGCCCTGGATGAGGCTGTGGTTCTCGACGGGCGGACGACGGACGACGTTCCAGGTGCCGATCTTGGTGGGATCCAGGATCTTCTGGATGGACGATTTGGGGGCGGAGGCCATGATGACCTGACTTGTGACTCGAACCGTCAGGATTGCAGACAGCGAAGGGCGACGTGAAGCTGTAAAATGGTCGAGGATGCAGACATCCCGAGGAGAAGAAGAGGTGAGGACCGGATCATTTTTTCGACCGGGGCTAAACCCGATCGGGAGCAGCATCATCATCATCGCGACTTGGGCTTCATTTTCTCTTCTGTCTGCATTCTTCTTTCTACGTTCTTCTTGTGACGTGCACTGGCACGCATTGACTACTCACTCACGACATAGGGGCCACCCTAGCATGACCCATCCCCACCATGTCGCTGAGCGGGGATGACCCCGGTCCCGATGCCACCACGCGTCGCGAGACTCCCTGGCTGCTGCCGACGGTATGGACAAGATCCTCTGAAGAGACACATGATAGGAACCGTCGCATTGACAGATGTAATGCTAGAACCGCCGCCTGCGACACCTCTACGGTCTGTCGCTCCGCAACCTCGTCCTCACCCCGCCCAACCCTCCCAATCGGAAAAAGACCATCGACGATGAAGAGATCCCCAATGCCCTGCAATCGCCCTTCAAGCGACTCGCCCTCGATGCGAGATCCGCCATACCCCAATCTCGCTCATTCACCAATCTGCCCACGGCCGGGGTCGACGGCGACAAGGACAAGACACCGGCCCATCGTCCAGCGTCGTCGCCCGCGCGTCGGCCCGTCCGGCGACGCAGTACGCTGCCCGGGACCGACCTCGACCCGCGTACCCGCGAGGGCCAGCTGCAGGCCATCACCCGGAGTCGCATGGCCGATACGTGGTTCTCCCTGCACACTGAGGCCGAGGCCGGAGCCGGATCCGGGGATGGCGCCGCTGCTGCCCCGCCGGTCTACGTGAGTGAGGTGGTCGAGAATGCCACCAACCCGAGCTTCCGCTTCTTCGATCTGACCCGATGCGGTCCGGGCGTGGCGCGGGGAGATTGGGTGATGGTTCGGGTGTGGGCGCGGGCGACCCCGGCGGACGCCTACGCGCTCCTGGTGGAGTGGCAGCTGTCGCTGCCGTCGCTGCAGTTCCTGGGCCGGTCCCTCGACGGGTTTCACCACCCGCTGCCACCCAACTCCCTCATCTTCCACTTTCCGGACGGCGTGTACACGAGCCTGACCGACCTGCCGCCCGCGGCGTCGGCCCCGGTCGCCTCCCGGGCGGAGGGGACGGCCCTGCCGACGGCGTCGTACGACGCCCTGATGCGGCTGGCGAACCTGGACGAGTGCATCCAGGACGCGCGCACGACGCGGGCCCGCCTCGAGGCCCAGATCACCGCCATTCTGGAGACCCACCGACCGGCGCATGCGACCACGAGCGAGGCCGCCGCCGCGCGCGAGACGCTGGCGCTCACGCGACAGGCGGTGGCCGCGGAGCGCAAGCAGCTCCGCCTGGCCACCCGGCGCCGCGAGGCCCTGGCGGCCAGCCTGCGCGCGCGGCGGGACGCCATGGCCCGCGGACGCCAGGTTCAAGAGCGCGCCCGCAGCCACCTCCCCGACGCGCGGGCCAAGCTGGCCGCCAGCACCGCCCTGCTGGCGCAGACGGGCACGGACACCCGGGGCCAGCTGCGGCGCATCGCCGAGGACCTGCTGGCCATCTACCCGATCGAGCCCGTGGCCGACCAGCCGCTGGCCTTCACGATCGTGGGGCTGCCGCTGCCCAACTCGGACTTTGCCGACGTCGACGACCGCGACCGGCTGGCCGCCGCGCTGGGGTGGACCGCACACCTCGTGCACCTGCTGTCCCTGTACCTGTCGGCGCCCGTGCCTTACCCGATCCACCCGGCCCTGTCGCAGTCGCAGATCCACGACCCGGTCTCGGTCGACCTGGCCCCCCGGCGGTACCCACTCCACCCGGGCCCGGCGCCGGCACGCTTCGACTACGGGGTCTTCCTGCTCAACAAGGACATCGAGTTCGTGATGAACACGCAGGGGCTGCGGGGACTCGACCGACGGCAGACGCTGCCGAACCTCAAGTACCTGCTGTACGTGCTGACGGCGGGGCCCACCGCGATCCCCGCCCGGAAGGCCGGCGGGATACGGGGGCTACGACTCCGCGCGACGCACGCGCCCTGAGGGAAAGAATCTTCGCGATCATTCTGACTGGGGGGAGGGCCGACTGTGTGGCGCCGTTAGTGCCCTTAGGGGGATTTCTTTGCACGGATTGGTTGGTCGGATTCGCGCGCTGGTCTCGGCCTGTCCGACCCGTCACGAACCCCCCGGAGCACAGTGGATCACGCCCCCCTTGGTCCTGCATGCCCGGTGAGACTGCTGTGCGCGGGGAATGACCAGGATGGGGTCATGGGGATGGGGATTTGTGCCAATGGATTGTGGCGAGGAGCGCGCAAGGGGGATTCTGTCGTCATTCTGTAATCTACTGGAAGTCAAGATGATTCTCATTATCAATAAATATATGGATGTATATACAATATTACAGGAACTATAATATGGGTGCCGGTATAGATAAGTTGGAAATAAATCCAGATAAATCGAGCTCGCTTTGCGTCGGCCGTTTTCCTCCCCGCTCCTTCTCCTCCACTCCACTCCTATCCTCCATTACCCTCTCCGCTCCATCTCCCCATCCTATTCCACCCCATTGGCTCTGTTTTTATTTACCTTCCTTTTCTGTCGCCTGTCGGAGTCATGCCCGCCAGTCAGGGCCAGCGGGAATCGACCGTCTACTCCCAGGGCCGATCGCCTTCGCCCCGACCGTCGCTGTCCCAGTCCTCCCAGCACCGTCGCGGCTACCAGGCCTGCGATCCCTGTCGGCAACGCAAGGTGAAGTGCGATCTGGGGAGTATGTTCGATCGTCGACAATGACTGGCTAGATGGCTAACGGACGGATTCTAGGCGTCGATAACCCCCGTCCCCCGCCCTGCGTCCGCTGCCGCCGCGAGAGTAAGCGATGCGAGTTCTCCGCCACGAGACGGAAACGCAAGGCCTCCGAGGTCGAGGAGTCCCGCGAGGATGCCCTGCAACGTGATAAACGGATGATGGTCGGGGAGGTCGTTGCCGATGCGTCCCCCAGTCACGCGTCGTCCTATCCTCCTCCTCCCACACCGGCCCCCGACGCCGCGATCGAGACGACGACCCGACCGACGTGGCCCGACAGTCCCCCCGTCCCCCCCGCGTCCCAACCACCACTCACCTACCCGGTTAAGGCGCCTCCGGCCCCATCGACGAGGTCGTTCTCCGAGTCCCGCGGGTCTCGACTCATGTATCCTGGTCCAGTTCCGGGCGCGGGTGTGGGGTCGGGGTCGGGGTCGGGGTCGGGTCCCGGGGCGGGATCCGGGTATGGACTCGAGGGCGGCCAGCCCATGATGAACCGCACCGCCGTCGAGCTGCTGTCGCCCGCGATCAGTAACAGTCATGATGCGCTTCACTTGCTGTCTGAAGCGGCCGGTCGGACGGAGGATCTCAATCGCCAGAGCCGCGAGAATCGCTACGCCGCCCGCCAGTCCGTCTCGTCCTTCAACTCGCCCATGTCCCCCATGACCCAGGCGGGCACGCCGCACAGTGCCGGGGGTTCGTTCTCGCGGCCGCCCCGCTCGGGAGCCATGCAGGTCGGTCAGTATTACCAGGCGGGCGGGCCGGAGTCGATGGCTGCGCCGGGAACCGCCGACGACCGCGCGCCGCCCAGTACGTCGTCGGCGCCCCCGCGCGACCCGGGCTTCCAGGACGCTGTCAAAGCGTGGTCGCGGTTGCGATTCGTCCGCGCTGGCTGGCTCTCCGTGGAGGAATGCATGGCCTATGTAGCACAGTCGGTCCTTTCCCTGTCCTTTCCCTGTCTCGTGGCGTCTTTCCACTAATATCACGGCAGCTACTACGAGCATCTGGCTCCCCTGAGTCCCATCGTCATCGCGGACTTTGCCCCCCCGTCCACGCACCGTGCGCTTCTGACCGACGAGCCGGTGCTGGCCGTGACCATCCTGACCACGGCCTCGCGCCACATGAAGCCCAAGGGCGACGGCGCTTACACCCGCGCCTTCTACATCCACGACCGGCTCTGGTCCTACCTCCGGGGCATGATCGAGCGTCTCTTCTGGGGCCAGGAGAAGTTTGGCGGCGGCGGCGTCGGCATCAGCAAACCGCGGTCCTTTGACCTGGCCGCCCCGGCGACCCGGAGCCCCGCTAAGGGGAACTTGCGGTCGCTGGGTACCATCGAGGCACTGCTGATCCTGACCGACTGGCATCCGCGGAATCTCCACTTCCCGCCCGGCGACGACGAGAACGCGCTGCTGGACTTGGATGCCCACGCCCACCTGGGCCGCGCCGACCGAGACCCCCACCACCCCGAGGTCGACCTTGACCACGCCCCCCACCGCGCCCCGATCACCGCCGCCGAGGGCCGGCTGGCCTTCCAGAAGTGGCTGGAGCCCGCCTGGCGGTCCGACCGCATGTCCTGGATGCTACTGAGCACGGCGCAGGCCCTCGCCTTCGAGCTGGGCGTCTTCGACCAGCGGAGCGAGGTCCGCGTCGCCACCGAGTCGCCCGCCGAGCAGACCCGCAAGCGCCGCCTGCGCCGTCTCATACTCGTCTACATCACCCAGAGCAGCGGCCGTCTGGGCATCCCCTCCATGCTGCCGCTCCCCCAGTGGACCAACGACATCCAGCCGACGGCCGAGCCGGGCGCCGACGGCGACCAGGCCGTCGTCGACCGCATGCACGACTGCTGGATCGGCATCTCCAAGATCATGTACCAGAGCAACCAGCTGCTCTTCGCCTCCAACGAACAGACCTCGGAGCTCATCCGCAGCGGCCGCTACCGCGACCAGATCGACCGCTTCCAGCCCTTCCTCCGCGAGTGGCGGCGCGACCTGGACTCCATCCACCTGGCTCCGGCCATGCGGAGCATCCTCATGATCGAGTACGAGTACACCCGGCTGTACGTCAACTCGCTCGCTCTCCAGGCCGTTGTCGATCGCTGGACCACCATGTCCAACGAGGCCGCCCAGGCCAAGCCCGCCTCGTCCGGCAGCGGGGGATTCCATGTCCTGATGGAGCTGTATCGCGTCAACGAGCCCTACATCCAGGAGGTGGTCGACGCCTCCCGCCGCATCCTCACCACCGTTCTCGAGGTTCTGGTGCCGGGGGATCACCTAAAACATGCCCCGGTCCGGACCTGTTTTCGTATCCTGTCTGGGATGATTTTTATCCTAAAGGTATATCCACCTACCCCTCTCCCTCCCCTCCTTCTGATAGACCATTGATACTGACGACTGCAGACCTTCACCCTAGGCGCCAAGGAGGATGACGTGCGGGTCTCGTTGGACCTGCAGGATCGGGTCATCGAAGCCCTCCGGACCCACGTGGTAGACGACGTCCATCTCAGCCACGCGATCTCGCGCCTCCTGGAGCTGCTCACCACCAGCATCCGCACGCGATTCCTCCGATTCGCCCCGCTGGACCGCGGCGGAGACGGCGAGGCGCCCGACCGCAACTCCGCGCCGGTCTCGCGCCCGCATTCGCCGCGGCCGCGCGACGGTCCCGCCAGCCGACGGGAGGGTGCATCGATGGCCCCGTGGACGCCGGCGCCCAGCTCGCAGAACCTCAACTACAGTGACGGCACCGCGCCGCCGCCACCCCCACCGCCCGCTCATCAACCACCGCAGCAACAGCAACAGCAGCAGCAGCAGCAACAGCAACAGCCTCCGCAACCGCCATCACAGACGGGGTCAACGCCCATCTCAGCCCACGATCCCCTCGCAAGCATCCCCGCACAGCCAATCAACTCATCCAACATCAACGTCTCCTTCATGCCGCCCCCGCCCTCAGTCTACTACAACTACTACGATCCGCACGCGACGCCCCCCGCGGGCAGCGACCTCGACGGGCTGCCGCCGTCGCAGTCGCTCAACGACCACGCGGCCGTCCTCCCGGATTGGTTCGCGCTGCCGCTAGACCAGTTCTTCAACAGCTCGACGGCTGTCGTGGACCAGGGTCTCGGCGGCACAGGGCCGATGGTCGGCGAACTGGATATGTTGGAGGTGCTGCTCAATGAGCAGTATGATGGGAATAATAACCCGTCTGGAGAGGGTGGGGAGTCGGGGATGTCACCGTTTGTTCCGTGATGTCTTCTCTTCTTCTCCATCTTTTGCTTCTTTTTTACTGCTGACGTCTTATTGACGGAAGAGATGATCGATTGTTGGTTTGATTTTATGTGATGTGTGTGATGTGATACGACATGATATTCTACGGCGAATGCAACGCCACGATTGACTTGCGAGCGCGGAGGTTTACTCTTATATCTTTCTTACTTTGTTTCATGTTTCGTTGTATTTGCAGATGTGTGGACTGTATAATCGGGGGATGTCTATAAGATAGCATAGTGTCATTTATGCTTGATCTATTACTGATATCCCAGTGTGATACAGTAGATTATCTCCTATCAACAGTTTAACTAAACACTTGGGTACGTACAGGACATTATTCGTAGAGTAGAGATGGTCTACTTCATAATCCGTTGGATCAGGATATCTGTATGCTCATATCCACAATTAATAGTCTAGGCATGACTTGATATATGATCAATATGATTATTATGTATTGAAAGAGAGGGGTATTTCTAATCTACAGCATCAACCAAGTAATATACACAGCGATCCACGCCGCAATGCACGCAAACCAATCCAAGCAATCAATCAATCAGAGCAGAAGGGGGAGAAATCAATTGACACCCCCCGTCCCAAACAACTCCATCTTAATCCTCTCCGCCCCAACCTGTTTCTTCGCCAGCGCAGCCGCCACATCCGTCATGAAGCCTTCAGGTCCGCAAATGTAGTACTCGGTGCGGGGGTCGTCCAGGAACAGGTCCTCCTTGGGGTCGAGCTTGTCGAGGTCAACGCGGCCAGCAAAGTGGTAGTCTGCGCCTTGCTTGTCCGACGCGGCGGGCTGGCTTGTGAACAGGGTGACCTTGAGGTGGGGGGAGGCGGCGGCCTGGGCCTGCAGGTGGGCGTGGAAGGCGCGGGCGGAGCTCGAGCGCGAGCCGTGGATGAAGTGGATGGGGCGGGAGCTGCTGATGGTTGTGTTGAGCATGGACATGAGCGGGGTGAGGCCGACGCCTGCGGAGAGGAGGACCACTGGGGTCGTGGGCTTGGAGGTAGTGAGGGTGGGATCTTGAGCGGAGAGGAAGAAGTCGCCGAAGGGGTGCGAGACCTGCACGGTATCGCCGGCCTGGATGCGGTCGTGGAGCACGTTCGACACGTAGCCTGGGTTCTGGGGCTGGCGGCCGGACTCGCGCTTGACGCTGATGCGGTAGTAGTCTGGCTGGGGCTGGTCGCTGAGGGAGTACTGGCGGGGCTGGAGGGTGCTCAGCTCGGGGACGTCGACGCGGACGGAGATGTACTGGCCCGGGCTGAAGGGCGGGAGGGGCTGGTTGTCGGCGGGGCGGAGGTAGAAGGAGGTGATCTCGTCGGATTCGGGCTCCTTGCGGGCGACGACGAAGTCGCGCCAGTCGGTCCAGCCGTGGCTGGCGCGGTAGAGGGCGGCCTCGCGGTCGATCATGAGGTTGGCGAGGGCCCAGTAGGCGGTGGCCCAGGCGTTGCGGAGGTCGTCGGTCAGGGCGTCGCCGAGGACCTCGCCCATGGCCTCGAGGAGGTACTTGCCGACGATCTCGTAGTCGCGGGGCTGGATGTAGAGGGAGGCGTGCTTGTTGCAGATGAGCTCGACGGCGGGGCCGAGGACGGCCAGGTTGTCGATGTGGGAGGCGTAGGCCAGCAGGGCGCCGGCCAGGGCGCGCTGCTGGTGGCCGTTGGCCTGGTTGGCGGCGTTGAAGACGGACTTGAGCTCGGGGTGGGCGGCGAGCATGTTGCGGTAGAAGACGGTGGTGATGGTGACGCCGTGTTGCTCGAGCACGGGGACGGTGGCCTTGATGAGCGCGATCTGCTCCGGGGTCAGCGGCGCAGTCACGGCCGACTCGGCCGGTTTGGCATTGAGCTGGCGTCGCGCGCTGATGGCCTTGTAGAGGTAGTAACCCAGGGCAGAGGTGATGACCACCTGGGCAGCGATAGTTACGGAGCGGTTCATGGTGGTGTGTTTGATCCGTTGGTATTGAATGGATCGCGAATAGTGTTTGATAAGGTAAACCAGGAAGAGAGTGGCGAGAAGATGGAGCTGACCAGGTTTATATAGAAAAGGAAAAAAGAAAAAAATATGTAATACGAAAGAAAACACAAGAAAAGCAAGAAAACAACACGGTCAACCTCGCCGGGAAATTCCCGAGCACCCACCACTAGGCTTCATCTTGAATTTTCCATCCACGTGGTTGGACCCTGGTCCCCAATCCCAAGCCTGGTCCCCCCGAAGCCCAATCCAGGAGACCGGGGGTTCGGCAGAGGACCAAGGATCTCCGCGGGGAAGAATTTGATAGAGGCGAACTGGAGGGTTCCTGGGCTAGGACGAATGAGACGGGTCGGTGAGATCCACCCGGACCGTCGGTGGCTAAGTGTCATGCCATTTGCCGGAGCGTCGACTGGTCTGTTCCACGGGTGACGACAGGGGGCGCGACTGACTCATTGAGTTACGTTATACTGAAGCATTGCCTGCCAGGATTAGCGGGGATCTATCGTGAAGGAGGGCATCATACATCTGAGTCTCTCATATCACAGCCCGTCGACCAGGAGGTCAAAAGATGAAGTTATTCCCACATCCGGTTTTCCTGCCGAGCAAACCCCGATAGAGCGCTAACCGGATGCGGTTAGCCCGTGACTGCACCGGATCGGCCCGATGTCTGCCTCAGGCCACCATTGATATTGGTCGGGATGGTGTGTCCAACGGGTATCTGATGTATTCGACGGCTCTATATGTACAGGACACGGAAATCATATGGTTCTTTCGAAATAAGGGGGCAATTCAGGAACAGATCGGGAGACGACCTCACAGCTCTTGCGTGTCGAGTCCCCAGATCTCCCAGCGCCGTAGCGTCTCCCATCCCACCCGCTTCACCTGCCGCCGCCATACTCGCCCGTCCGCGGTGGGCAGAATGGGCGGCATGCAGATGAAGGGAGACTCGGCGTCCGTCGCGGGGTCCCCGACCCACGCGTGCTCGTCGTCCCGCTGGCGTTTGCCCAGCAACGACGGGGGCTGCAGACGCGGAATGGAGAGTTTGGAGTCCCCGGGGTGGGCACCCCAACGAGAGTCCGGGGAATCCGTCGTCGCCCGTCCGTCCTCGGGCGTGGTGCTGCTGGTTGGGGGCGCGGTCCCCGTGGGGGTCTGTGACTGCGACTGCGACTGTGACTGCGACTGCGACTGCGACTGGCACTGAAAGTCCACCGGGCGGTCGACCACCGCGCTGACGGGGATCGTGTAGTACCCGCCCAGCTGGAACCCCTTGCGTCCGAGCCCGATGATCTTGAGCTGGCTGAACGTCTGCGGGTCCCCCAGCGACTCGCTCAGTAGGTCCATCAGGATCTGGTCGTCAGCCTCCACCACTTCGGCCAGCGTGCGTGCCGACCCCGGGTCCGAGCAGTACCCGGTCCCGCGCCCGGGCACCCCCCGCGAGGTCGGGCTCGGGGTCCCGGGCCCCGTCGGCACGAGGAGGCGGAGCACCTCCAACTTGCGGAGAAAAGGGATGAGCAACCCGAGGGATTCGATGCCCGACTTGTCGCTGGCGAATCCTAGCTGCTCGAGCTGCGGGCTGGTGTGCATGAGGCGGGCGACCACGCCCGCGGACAGAGGCCAGTGCGCGGGGAGGAGGAGATGCCGGAGGCTGGTGCCGTGGCTCGTGCCGATGACGTTGAGGTAGCTGTCGCGGATGCTGGCCTGCAGGCCGGGTGAATTCGCGGGGCTCAGGGGAGGAGGCGGGGGCGGGCCGCGGTGGCACCATCCGTCTGGGCCAGCCCCTCCTCTGTCAGGCGCGCCGGGCGTCGGGGGTTGTTGACGTGGTCGGGATCCTGGGCGCCCGTCGCGCTGACGAAGTACAGCCGCTCCAGCCCCGTGAAGGAGCGGAGGAATTCGACGTGGCGTCGCGACGTATTATCTTGCCGCACACTCTTGATGCGGAACCGGGTGTTGGGGGGCGCGGTGGGCCAGGTGCTGTCGACAAAGGTGTTCATGAAGTAGGGGCTTTCGGACCCGGTGTTGCTCAGGATCGTCACGTCCTCGCAGACGGAGGAGTCGAAGGCGAGGTTGAACTCCTCGCTGTGCAGCGCGTACAGGTTCTGCAGCCCGAGCTTCTTCAACGCCAGCGGCCGCCGCGCCGTGATGCACTTGCGGAAGTAGTCGTGCAGCTTGACACTGGGCTCCTGCGCGTTCCGCATCCGCGGCGACCAGTGCATCTTGAGCTCGCGCAGCTTGCGGCAGTGGAACAGCAGCGTCGAGATATCGTCCGGGTAGCAGAGCGGGTCGATGTCGGTCACCTTCAGGTGCCGCAGGTGCGGCATGGCCGGGATGACGATCGTCGGTCGCGGGTGCCGGCTGGACGGGAAGCGCAGCGTCAGCGACTGGAGACGCGGCCGCTGCGCCAGACCCTGGTAGACCGTCTCCAGCATCTTGGTGCTCAGCTCCCAGCTGAAGCTCTCGAGGTCCTTCATCCGATCCACCGCCGCCCGCACCGCGATGTTCAACAGCATCGAGGCGTCCGGCACCCGACCGACGCGCGCGTGTTCCTCGAGCTCCTGTTCACGCCAGTCGCCCCGCAGCGTCAGCGACCGCACCAGCGTGGCGAACGGTCGCGTGATCACGGCATTCAGTCCCATCGTGAAGGGACTCGCGCTGCCCATACCCTCGGGCTGCTCGTCGCGGTATCGGATGCGGTCGTAGGAGGTGAGGATCATGTGCCTGTAGAGTTCGGGGAGGGCCATGTAGTTCAGAACGCGACACGTTCGGCAGAGACGAGCCAAGTCGCCTTGGTCATCCACCTGGTCGTTCCCAACGCCCGAGTCAGCCTTCCGTCTGCTGTGGGATCCGACCTTCCGGGGGACCGGAGGCACCAACGTACGTGGGAGATGATCGTCGCGATCAGGTTCAACGGTAAGGCCATCAACGAGCCTCCGCGCGGCCGATCGACTGTGACAGCGGTATCAAACATGTTCCGATTGACGGCCGCCATGACGCGACGCCCCCAGGTGAGGATGTCGCGGCATGGACTGAGGCGCTACGTCTGGGGGAGGATGAGCGTGGCGGGGCAATGGGGTATCGATCGATCGATGGGATCGATCGACTGTCGCAGGAAGAAGCGGATCGGCCGATATTAGCAGTGAAAGAAGTAGAAACGAGTCAAGTCAACGACCGGGGAGCGGAGGAGGTCATTGCGATGAGGATGACTGGAGTGAGATGGAGCCTGAGAATGTTGGAGACAAAGAGAAAATCATAGCATAAAACGGGGGGATCTGATTGGCGGTCGGAGCAGCAGATGCCCGAGCGGAGTGGAGTTATGCAGCACAAAATACAGCGGTTAGGCCCACAATCAAGAGAAACAGTATGCAAAAGGCATGGAATATTATCATTATATAGACAGATAGATTTGATATATATACAGACAAGACATAGAGATCAATTCGGACCGTATTCATGTCCCCGGCACGCCCCTTTCAATAAAATACACCCAATACCATACCCAAAACCAGTCCACCCAATGCCCAATGCCCAAAGGGAAGGACAGAAAGGCACAGACCCAGTGGAGTAACCAGAACAAGAAGGGAGAATGTAGAAAGAAAAAAATATACCTCCAGACACCGTGCTAAATCCAGAGGAAGAAAAGACCAGGATATCAGAGAGCATGGAATCGAATCGAACAAGGACAATAAATGCAATGGCACCCCCTCGACACCTCCAATGCGGTGAAAACGTCGGCCAGGGACTGCCGTGCGAAATGATAAAGGAACTCTAGCCCCGGTGGGATGCGTCGTCGGGCGGATCGTCCGATCGCGAGGGCCGGCCGTCCATATGCTGGTCCATCGGGCTGGACGCGGAGTCGAAACCGGCAGGGGAGGGTCCAGTGGAGGCCGACGGTCGCGAGGGCCCGCTGGTGCTCGCGCGATCCTCCGGCGCCTCTCCATGCTGCGCCGACCCCGACCCCCGGTCCGAGGAGTGGTCGTCCAGGCCGACCAGAGCCGCCGCATCGGGGTCATACCGTAACTGGGTGTCCCCATGGCCGAATTCCCCGGCGCTGGGAGGATCCCAGGGAGCGGCCGCCTGGGTCTGCGGCTGGATCACCCGCACCGGTAGGTCGGGACGGCCGGAGCGCGCCCGTGAACTGGGGGGCGCCCCCAGGAGGTTGGGGTTGTTAGACCAGTCGTGCGACCAGGCGTGCGGGCCGCGTCGTCGGGCGGGGATGACGGTGACCGGTAAGGGGGTGTCGGACCCTGGCCGGCCCGACCCAGGCGGGGCCCTCCAGGGGAAGGGCATGAGGTGCTCCATCCGCGACCGCGGGGGCTCGTCTTGATGCTCCATGAACGGGTCGTATTCCTCTGATCCCCGACGGGGCTCCTCGTATGCCTGGGCCGACGCGACTTCCCGGGGCAGGGACGCACGTCGCCGGCGGAACGCATTGAAGAAGGTCCGCCACCGGGGGTCGGTGTGGATGATCTGCGGAGAGTGTTCGCGAGTGTCCTGCGCAGAGAGGCCGTGATGGGCCAGGTCGTCGCCCGGTCCCCCGTCCCCGGTGGTCGACAACTCTTTGTCCCTCGCCGTTGCGTCCAGGTCATGCTCTTCCTCCTCCGCCTCGTCCATGTGAGGCATGGCGGCGGGGGGCGTAGGGCTGGAAACCGGGTGGTAGTGGACATTGTACACGGTGCTCGCCGCGCTGGTCGTGTCGGCGCGGCTGACGGGGGTCACCACGGCGGGCGGGGGTGTGGGACGCGCCGGTCGCCGACGCCGGGAGCCCACCGCGTTGCTCTCCAGATCGGGGCGGACGATGCCGGGAAAGACGACCCGGTTCCGCAACGGTCGATGTGTCAGGCCCATCATCCCTCCCCAGCCGGACGAGGCGCCGGTTCCCCCACCTCGATTGGGGGCATTCGACGCCTGGCGAGGCCAGTCCACCTCCTCGGACGGTGTCACCTCCAACATTTCGTCGCCGTCGAAGATCTCCCGCCCGAGGATGCCATCCTTGCGTTCATCGCGCTCTAGGGCCTCGATGCGCTCCACCCATTCCCAAACGACGACGCTCGCCGCCGCAGATCCAACCCAGCGGATGTACGTCCCCCAGCCGGCGCATTCAGGCTTCGCGATATCCAGGACGAAGAACACGACAGGGATCAGCACAGCGCAAAGGGACAAGAGCGCCACCAGACAGATGTTGCGCATTTTCGGGTGGAAGAAGGCAAATCGGTGTTTTGACAATGAGTAGAAAATAACCCACGCAGCATAGAGAAGATTGAGCGCGAGTTCAAAGAGATAACTGAGGGCGGGGATCGCATCTTCGTAGAGCCGTGGACGCGTCGTGTTTGACTGGGCATGGAACTTATCCAAGCAGCTGAACACCGTGTCCAAGACAATCAGCGCAAACCCCGCCCATTTGATCATGATCTTCTCTTTGTGTCGGGGAAATAATCGGATCAGGGTCTGAACCTGCGCAAGCCAGAGAAACGTGCTGGATATGACCCGAACCACACGGATCTCCATGCCATCGATCACCTCCGCGGAGAGCGCCTCGGCATCAGAGAACCCATGGATATACTGCCGTTCAGCTACCCGGAACGAGTCAGCTGTTGCGATTGTGAGAGATATGGCAACCAGGATGGCTGCAAGCTTCTGCAACCATGGGCGCCCCCCGACACCCACGACGGAGGAATTGCCGCTGTAGGAACCACTAATCATGCCATGACGACCCAGGAAGTTGGCGCCACCCCCGGGGCCGCCAACGTAGAATGTGCGTGGGGTGATCAGGAGGATAATGACGAGTAGATAGCTGACAACGGTGGCACAGCCGATGGCGTACAGCTGGGGGGTCACGGAGGAATAAAAGGGATCACGGGTATCAAGATTCGGGTTCGCATGACTCGGTGGCGGCGGTCCATTGGTACAGATCGGTTCGTAGACACCATTCGCGGTGAGGGTTATTGCGTATGTGTTGTTGAAATAGAGGAGGCCTGGCAACGCGTTAGCACAGCGCATGGGGGTCGTCCAGTCGTCTCGCACGGGGACAGAAGGCCGCCCGATCTTCTCCGGACAACCGCGCCCTCCACGACTGAGCGACAGATCCGAGATTTGACATACCATCACTAGGTAATAAGAAAGGAGTACAACCCGGTTCGTACGATTTCGTACTGGTTGTCGTCGGGTTCGCCCAGATCTGGCGGGGAGCCAGACGACCGTCATCCCCCATATTCGGACCACCCTCGATTGGCACCGAGTCGAAGCAGCAAACGGGATTCCCTATAAGACCATCTGTAGGGAATACATGTCGTGAATCGCCGGTTGGCGTGCGGTTTGCGCCCTTTTTGCTGCCCCGAGTGTTGTGAGGCAATGTCCGACAGTCGGTTGATAGACCAAATCAAGGGCTCCACCGTACCAATCACAGTCGATTCGGGAGTATGAAGAAGCAAGAAAGCGACCCAATCACCGAAGCTATAGGGAGAGTCAAGTAGTCGTTCACGGGAGATATTGTGTCGAGCTGAGAGTTGTGGTGGAGATGGCGATTTACTCCGTGCTGCGATCAGAGGGGGCGACTGGGGCCTGAGGCGCCGGTGATCCGCCACCATATCTCACCGCCTACCTTTTCTATCCAGACTTGTATACTTCTACATCTACGTATACAACGACGATTTTTCTTATTTATATTCACACTTGGGTGATTAGGTACAGAGCAGTCAGAACGTGTCTAATTAGACAGAGCCAACGCCAGTGAATGGCAGACATTGCATTGAAGTCAACAACAGCTTCACGGTGACTAAAACTGAGCAGGCGGATATGCCCGGACAAGATTGCATAAATGAAACAGGAGACTATATCCAAGTATTGAAGAGAAAATGCCATCAAAAGGGGTATATAAAAGGGAGATGACGAGAAAAATAAAAGAAAGAAACAAGCATGCAACGTTCATCGCATCACGGAAACCAGTCGTCTCCAGACCAATAGCTCCCCTCACGGAGCGGGCCCGTACGTCATCGGAAGAGGAGCAGAATACGGGGATACCAACGCGGCTCCCGTGGCCTGGGCTGCCTTGGCACGGTCTTCTTCTCGTTTCCGGATCTCGGACTCGTCTTGAATGAGAGTGCAGCAGGTGCAGCAGGTGGCTCGCACACAGTCCGACAGGATATCACCCTGGATCCCGTACGCTTTGCGCGTCCGTGTGTGTTGGATGGTCGCCATGAGCCCTAGGTGAATTGCGGTCAGCGTACTACTCGCCAGGGAGTTGGGTTGGGAAGGCTCGTCTACTCACATTGACAGCCACACAGCAAGGCCATACCCGTGCAGGATCCATTGCAGGTCTCGTAACCCAGCATGTTCGTCGGATCTTCCTTGCGGGATTTCCTCGACAGGCGGTACTGCGTTTTCCCGTACAGGATACAGGGGCAGAACAGTCCGATGCAACACGTCCAGATATTGGAACAGTCACACAGGCTGTGGCTCCAAGTACCGCCGTGGATCTCCTGATTCGGGTGGATAGCTTGCCCGGGTTGATGGTATGCCAACATGTTGCCCGGCGCAGGAGTGCGCGGGACCTCAGTGGCGGTCGGAGGAGGGAAATATGCCAGCTGGGGCGACTGCAGGGGATTCGCATCCGGCACGACGGGTGCAATCTGGAGTCTCGGTGCATGGTCGGGGATCTCGAGGCCCGTTTTGATCGGCAGCGGACCGGGAGACGATGGGGGGTTCCCATACGGATAGTCGGGGGCCGCCTGTTGGGGTTGTCGCGACAGCGGCACCTCGTCGGCGAAGGGGGCGTAGTTCGCCGGGTGCTGTTGGATATCGGGACTCCTAAGCTCGGGGCCATGGTGTGAGTGCGCTTTTTCGTCCACTGCTGGTTGCGGAGTCTCTTCGATCACGGTCGGACGCTCTGTCTGCTGCGGTGGCAGAGACTGGGGCGGCCGTTCTTCTGCGCGCAAGCTCTGCTGGCCGGGCGCATGCATTTCCAGTGGGGTCTCCAAAAAGGAATACCTCGGGTTGTTCGGGTTGGCCCCGAAGTTGGTATCCAAATGCAGGCCCCTACTCATGATGGCTCAATTGGTGGGCAGTGATGTTCCTAGATATAACCCCAGGTACGACCGGAGACACAACAAGAAACAGAAAGCAAAAAAAAAAAAAAAATAGAATAAAGAATAAGGACAACGGCAAAGGAAAAAAGGAGAAAAGAAAAGAAAAGAAAAATCGACGAGACAACAGTGACAGAATCCAGTCGCGATGGTAAATAGAATTATCCCAAGCGCTCACGCAGACTCTCCGGAGCGATAACCGATGACGCACTAACCAGCCCTCCACCGAATCAGAGAGCTACCGGGGGAGAGCATCGATGTGGAGAAGTCAGTCTGTTTCTTAGGGAGGTAAAAGGAGATGGATAGGAGAGTCCGCATGAAGAATAAGTCAAGTTGTAACCGGGGAGGAGAGACGACCTAACTCCTTCAACCAGATACCACGGACTCAACCAGCCAAGCGACCTAACCGATCCAAGGAATCCATCGCGAGAGAGTCTCACTCAGCAGTGCTCCTGTGGGGGCGGAGAGAGACACTACACAGAGAGGCAGAAAGAACTAAACCACCTAGTGCACGGTAAAGACCAGTCAGGGACGAAAGATGGCAGCCAGGCTCGGAAGATCCCGTTGGGGCCGACCCATCTGCAGGTTCTCATCACATCACCGGAGTCTCCCTTGTCACACTGGTCTGTGCCAATAACAGGACGCGAATCTCCTGTCGGTCGGGATGAACTGCGCCGCAATGCCGCCGGGCTGTCTGTGATGGGGATGTCCGTCGGGATGTGATGGGCACGAACGACTAGGGCAGTGGGTTAGTTCGATGGTGGCGGCGCCTCTGGTGGTATTTTGTCGATCGTGTACTCTGTGATTTGTAGAGGAATGACTCGACTCGAGTGAGTGACGGAGGCGATGGGACTACATACTGACTATGGTATATAGGATGTCTGGTTCGATTTCTATCGCGCCATCTATGTATGGATGGTCAATATATGCAGCGGTCCATATCCCGACCCCGGACATCTCATTGCATACTGAATGCATGCTGATTGCCAGGCGGATCGTAAAACCATAGGAAACTAAAAATAAGAAACTAAAACAAAAAAATCACAGGAAAAAATGCCATGGTATATACTCGCTACTCAAGCTCAAGTCCCACAATTAATATCGCCATATCCATAAATCCAGTCAAACAACAAACACATGCGACCGGTCGAAACAATCGTCCCATTCCACATTCCCTGATCCCCAGAATCGCTGAAACAGCGGTTTCGCCTGCAGCGGCACGGGGGTACCGAGATCGCGACTCATCTCGGTTAATTGCTCGTCCACAAAGGCACGATCGGCGGGACCGGCGTTGGCGGCTTCGACGCCGGCGACGATGAGCGGCCACACCATGCCCTTCTGGATGGGGTGGGAGCGCATGGCGCGACGGAGGAGGAGGAAGAGCACGCGGGCGTGGGCGGCGCGCGTGGCCTCGAGGGGGGCGCGGCGGGAAGCAGGCCGGCGCTCTGCAGGGCGGCGATGCCGAAGAGGGAGACGGCGGAGTGATAGATGCGGCCGAGGAGGAGCCACTCATCGTGGCAGGTTGCGGCTGCGTTGGCCGTGGACCACTGGTGAGGGGAGAAGACGCTGATGCGGTCGAGGAGGGCCTGGGCGGCGGATTGGAGCGGCACGCGGACGCAGGCGGGGTCCGTGGCGAGGGATCGCAGGTGGTTGATCTCGATGATGTTGCGAAAGAGGGATGGGGGGCAGGGCAGGACGGGGAAGAGGCCATCGCCGTAGATCTCGGCGACGAAATCGATGAGGTGGACGTGAGAGGAGGCGGCGATCTGGTCAGCTGGGGGGGTGGTGGTGTTGCCGATGACGCTGATGCTGCCCAATTCACCATCATTAGGGAAGGTGGTTGGCAAATGGGGGAACTGGAGCGCCTACATGACGAAGTACAACAACGATTGCTTCAAGGCCGGCGAGGAGCGATACAATTCGGGTAGGCCGCCGCGGAGCATGATCAACTCGTTCGCGCCGACACAATGATGGCGCCAGTTGGACGAGAGGGACTGCCGTGCCTGGATAAATGAAGGCGTTAACAAAGCATGACCACAATATAGAAGAAGACGAATCTCACATCGGTAAACAAGAGCATCAGGACACTGGCGATGGTCAAGTCGCTCGTCCGGGTGATGGCGTTGCCGATAGCGTCGGCCAGGAGCTGGATAGCCATCCCTCGGTGGTGGTACAGCCGGGATCGCACCTCGACCAGGGCGCCGTAGTTGGTGTTGAGCATGAGACTCTGGATGCGATGGCCCAAGGCGAGACAGACCAACAGGTGGCACATGGCCGGGGGGAGATGCGGGATGACGGCGTGGGAGAAGCGCGTGATGTACGGGTTGGGGGCTAACTGATGGAAGGCCGCAAAGCTGGGATAGATGCAGGCATTATCTAACGTCCGGTTAGTGCGAGGGGAAGGACTCGTCTCTTTCGTCCTGTTCCTCCGGCTTACAGTACGACGCGGCCTGGACGACCGCGCTGGCCTCGGTTCCCAACTGCAGGCGCGGGATGGTCAATTTGACGACGGCCCGTTCCGGGCTGCAGGAACCGGGTGGCGGATCCGGATCCTCTGCGACGAGGGCGGCATGATTGGGCGAGGTAGTCTGACCCCTCTCTTCGGGCTCGCTGGCCGGTGGACGACGTCGTTGTCGCGTGCGCGAGGTGACCCTCCCCGGGGGGATCCACTTGAGGGGCTTCTTCTCTCCATACCCGGGACAGGTCACCCCCGATGCACGACACTTGTTGCAGGTTGGGGTTCCAAAGTCACAGACGAGTCGACGCCGGAGACATTCCCAGCATTGTCGACGGCCGGGTGGTCGTACTCCCGAGGTGGATGTGGAGGAGGAGGTTGATATTTGGGATTTCATACTAGCCGTGCCAACCATGGACGGCATGGTGTCCAGATATCTAAATTGCGAGAGACAGGGCGACAATCTTCAATATATGCCCGTCCCCCAGACCGTTTGGGCCTGATGATACTGACGAACTGATAAACTGACGAACAGACGAACCGACAAACTGACGAATGGACGATCTTGACGGCGTGGCGGAGTTCAATCATGGATGGATCCTGCGGGGACCAGATGGGGGAGTGTCATTGGCGAGCCTCAGGCCACCCCGGGTCTTGGCCACGGTTTTCTCCTAATGAGGAAAGATAGTCAACTTGGATATAGATATATATATAGATGTAGAGATAGAGATAGAGATATATTTAGAGATGGCAGTTGATCCTGATTGCCTGAAGATCATTGGAATGATCTTCTTTCGGGACTCCTGATCGACATGGTATGTATCCATATAATCCATATAATCCATATAATCCATAAGACCTGGAGACACGGCTTGTCTCCCTTATCCCTTCCCCCTTCCCCCTCCACTTCTACTTCATATTCAGATAGTTCACAGCACGGGCGGTGATCAACCGGATATCATCCCGTCCCTCCCGTTCAACCACGTTGTGGGATGATTGGTGGTGGCGCCGTTTAGTTCCAGGATGGGACCCAGTCGGGTGGAGTACGGTCTTGGAAGTTGGACCTCGGGACTGTACGATCATACCTATCCATCATCGTCGAGATCAATCTTGAACCAGTTCGATGCGACGGAAACCCCTCGCGATTCATCTCAGAACGGGGATTGGATCCGGACTGAAGGAAGGGGAAGGTCTGCATTCCGACCTGTCCGGCCAGATATGCAGACCCAGGTCATTCGCAAGGAAGTCGGAGCAGTCTGGGACGAGTCGATTCGGTTGGAATTGTTTCTTTTGGGTAGCAAACTGAGGGATAAATGTCTATAAGATTGTGGACTTCCTCCCTTGTGTTCTTGATATATCTCTCTATATAGAGAGAGAGAATATAGAGAGAGAAAGAGAGAGAGAAAGAGAGAGAGAAAGAGAGAGAGAGAGAGAGAGTACTTCAAGAGTACCTGATCGGTACCTCCAGACCGTGGACAACAACACCTCCGATCCCGTACCTCCCCAGTACCGGCCGGGTACCCACCAAGGCGGTGACGGGCGATCCGTCGTCATTTCTCCCGCTCGAACTTTTCCTCCTTCTTTTTCTCTTCTTCTTCTCTCTCCTCCATCCGCTTCGCTTTCTCTTACTTCCACTTCTCTTACTTCCACCTCATCCTTTCCATCCCCTTTCCATCCACTCCTTCCTCGCTCCACCCTTGTCCTTTCTCGTCTCATCACTGCCTCTTCTTTCATCCCCCCCTGTCTCCTATTCTCGGTTTAATTCTCTCCCACAGTCCATGCAACAGCCATCAATCATCCATCCAATCCCCTTGCAACGCCACAACGCCACGCCTATCATTTCCTCCCATCTGGGAATCGCTTAATTCCCTTCAGAGCCTGTAAGATCCCTCCTGCTCGTCGGATCGGGACTGCCTCCCTGTCGTCATTCGTCATTTGCTCTTGTCCGGGGGAAACTAACCGCCCTGGTGACGCCAGATCCGCAACACAACTCCCCCTTCCCCCTACACACCCCCCCCAGCCACACACCACCCTTTCTCTCCCCAATCGTCACTCGTCGTCCCCAACGGAAGACAAGACACGTCTGCCTCGAGTCCCGTCGATTTCCTGCGTGTGTTCATCCTTCTCCCTCCCCCCGTGCCGCACGCCGACCAATGTCCTCCCCATGTCAAAGCCTCCGTCTGCATCTGAGCATACTTGGTCGGAACCCCTGGTGACCCCGGCGACCGCGAATCCCCATGACGGCGTCCACCCGTCCAACCCGTCTCCAGGCAAGCAGCCGCGCCCCCCCCTCGTCCAGGATGAGGACGGTGTCTACAATGCCGCCTCCCCCTCGCGCGCCGAATCCCCCACCTCGTCCCAATGGGCCCAACCCGTCGCCCAGTTCCCACTGAAGCGGGCCACCACCTTGCCGCTGGAGCGACTCGCCCGCCCCGAGCGCGCCCATAGCCCCCAACTGTCCGAGCGAGACAGCATTTTCGCCACCCACTACCTCCCCTCCGATACCGACAGCTCCGGCGCGACCGGCAACCCCAGCACCACCACCGCCGCCGCCACCGCCGCCGCCGCCCTGTCACGGCCCCCGGCCCCCCCGTCGTGGTCGTCGTCCTCGCGGCGTCCGCCTCACGCGTCGCCCTTCGATTCCGAGGCGATCTGGGGCGGCGGGACCCCGGCGTCCCCCTCGCCGGCGACGGGGCAGGCCTCGGTGGACGCCCGCGCCAGTCGCAGCCTGCTCTCGGCCTCCCTCAGCGATGATGTCGTCCTTCCCGACCGGCCTTCGCGAGCGGAGCGCCCGTCCGGGGCCCCGGGGAGCGGAACGCCAGCCGGAGTCGCCGTGGGCGCGTCGAGCATTCCATCGAGGCCAACCTGGCCAACGCCGAGCTGGCGTCGCACGTCCGCAGCCGCAAATCGAGTCACTACCTGGGCCTCTTCAAGGAAAATACCACCTCGCCGGATCGGAAGCGGCGGGAGGACCGGGGGCGTGCCGACGAGCTTCCGGCGGCCGGGGACGCCCAGGCGGACCGGGAGCCGTCCGGGGAACCTCCCGCCCCGCCCGAGGCCACGGGTCGGCGAACCACCCAGAGCGTGCCGCGCCTCTCCTGGCACGACCCCCCGGTCATGGCGCCGACGCCCCCCGACACCGACCTGCGGCACGCGCGGAGCGACGACCTGTCCATCCGCCCGCCGACCGCCCTGCCGCGCAGCCTGCTCGAGGAGATCCGCAACTTTCACCTGACCCCGGGCGGCGCGCGGGGCTCCTCGTTCTCCGAGAGCATCCCCACCCAGTACGCCGAACGGGGCGGCGACTATCTCAACAAGGGGACCCCCGGGGACGAGACCGCGGACCGCGGGTCGCGGCGGGGGTCGTCGGGCGGTCCCGTCGAGGACGAGGAGGACGAGCAGATCGCCTCGGCCGTCTACTTCCCCCACGAGTCCGTCGCGGTGTCGGAGGCGGTGGACCCCCGGCGGCGCTCGGGCGCCACGGACGAGCTGCCGGACGGAGCCCCGCCGCTGGCCGTCTCGCCAGCCCCGCGGAATCACCTGCTAGTGCCCACGCGACAGAGTCCGCCCGAGGGGCCCGAGCCCAGCCACGTCGACATCTCCCTGCGGTCGCGGACCGATCGTAGAATCTTACACGGCGACCTGCAGGGTCTGCAGGCCCCGTCCGTAGACGACCGCCCCCCGCGCCGTCTCTCGGCGCCCTCCTCCCCGACGACGAGTCGACCTGCGGGTCGGAGAACAGCTCGGTGGATGGCAGCGAGATCTCCGTTCTGGACGAGGAGTCGAGCGTGACCGACGACGTCGACGTGCCGCCGACCGACGACGTCGACGTGACCCCGACCGCGACCCCGACCCAGGGCGCCCGCACGTGGCGGCACCGCCGCAAGCAGCACGGCCAACTCGTCGGCGCCGTCGAGTTGAAGCCCTACCGCCATCAGGTCGGCGGCCACACCACCGTCTTTCGCTTCTCCCGCCGCGCCGTGTGCAAGCAGCTCAACAACCGCGAAAACGAGTTTTACGAGCGGATCGAACGCCGTCACCCGGACATGCTGATGTTCCTCCCACGGTAGACCTTCACTCCCCTCCCCACACCCTCTTCTCCTAACAGACCCACCGGAGTGCTAACGGGAGATTTGGCAAGATACATCGGCGTCTTGAATGTGACCTTTTCGAAAACCCCCAAGCGACCCAAGGCGGCCTCCGAGAGTCAAGAGCAGCCGCCAAACGCTGCCGATCGACTCGTCAGCCGCGCCCGGGAGCCTCCCCTCGCCGAGCCCGCCTCCGTGAGCGGCGCCCCCCTGTCCGAGGTCGTCGAGAAACCGCGCATCTTCAGTCAGAGCCAGGTTACGGGTATCATCCCCAAGGTCATCCTGGAGAACAACCGCCACATCATTCCCGCTGATCTCTTCTCCCGCCCCCAGCGCCCCCGCACCGCCGACGGCGTGCGCCCGAGTCGGCCGCGATCCGCCCAGGGCCCCGGGGCGCCGCCCGATCCGTCCCCGCTGACGAGCGGCCGTGCCGCCGGAGAGGAGGACCCGGTTCCCACCACTTCCCCCCGCAAGCCGCTGTCGCGACCCATCTGGGGCGCCACGACCGTTAACCGGAAGCTGCAGGAGCAGGTCCTCCGGGAAGTCTTCAGCCCCCCGGCCATCCACCACCACCGTCGGCACCCGCGCGGCCATCTCAACCTCCCGCGCACCACCTCCGACGGGGGCCGTCGCCGCGCCAATCAGTCCGAGGACCAAACGGCCAGCAGCCGTCGCAGCGCCCCGGCGCCCCCCGACCCCCCGCGGTCCACGGCCATCGACATCGCGACGACGGCGGGTGATTCCCAGGGGTTGTCGTCGTCCGCCTCCACGGCGTTGGACGCCGCCACGTCCTCCCGCCTAGAGAAGATCCGAACGGAGGAGGCGGCGCCGCCCCGGTCGAATTCGCTGTCGCGCACCCGTCCGGTGCGACGCCGTCATTCCGGCAGCGGCCTGCAGCGGCTCGGCAGTCTCGACGCGGAGCACCCCGGCGGAGACCTGGTGTTCGTCGACGACGACGGGTACGGTGGCGACCAGGAGGACGAGATCTTCGCGATGGAGGGCGATGCGTCCATGCCCCGCCGCCGCCCCCGTCGCTGCCGCCCCCCCGCCTGCCGACGGCCGGCGACCGTCCCCATCTCCGACCCGTGCGCCGAACGGCGGAGCCGAGGAGACCGCGCACACGCCCTTCGACCTCGTGCGCACCGACCCGACAGGCACCGGCGGCGGCGGCCGGTTCGCGCTGCCGTCCAACCCCAAAGAGGCTCAGACCCGGAAGGACGAACGCGTGCAGTTCTTCCTGCTGCTGGAGGATCTGACGGCGGGCATGAACCGGCCCTGCGTGCTGGACCTGAAGATGGGCACGCGGCAGTACGGGATCGACGCCGATGAGAAGAAGAAGAAGTCTCAGCGCCGCAAGTGCCAGTCGACCACCTCGCAGCAGCTGGGGGTCCGGCTCTGCGGCATGCAGACCTGGAACGTCCGCAAGCAGGAGTACACCTTCGAGGACAAGTACTTTGGCCGCGATCTCAAGTCCGGCCGCGAGTTCCAGGATGCGTTGACCCGGTTCCTGTACGACGGCGTCAGCTACTCGAGCGTGGCGAAGAAGATCCCCATCATCCTCGATCAGCTGGCCCGGCTCGAGAACATCATCCGACGGCTGAAGCGCTATCGCCTCTACGCGAGCAGTCTGCTGATCCTCTACGACGGCGAGCAGGCCCCCGCTGCGGACGACCCGCGGTCCGGACGCGCGCCGAACGACGGACACAACAACCCGAACGTCCACCTGAAGATCGTGGACTTTGCGAACTGCGTGACCGGTGAGGACGGCGTGCCCCCCACGGCGCGTTGTCCTCCGCACCATCCCGACGACATCGACCGCGGCTACCTCCGGGGGCTGCGGTCGCTGCGCATGTACTTCCAACGCATCCTGAAGGAGATCACCGAGGACGACTACATCGAACGCGGCGAGGGCGAAGCCATCGGCTTTCGGGTGCAGATGGCCGGGCACGAGGTGTCGTCGGACCGCTACTGGGATGAAGGGGTCGTGGAGAGCGATCCGGGTGAAGTTAGTATGTAGCGTCCGTTACGGGCTTTGTCTTTCTTTCCCTTTTTTTTTTGTTTTTTTTGTTTTTTTTTTTTCCTATTCTGTTGTTTCTTCTTCTCGCGCATCTGCTTGGTGTCTGTTTTGTTTGAATCTCTTGATCCCATGGCTTTCAACGTCGACCATTTGCGGGCTTCACGGCGTCACAATTTGCATGGCAACGGCTGGGTGGTTCTCCTTGTTCTTCTCCTTTTCCGTTTCGACTTCCACGTGATGCCAACGACCTCCTAATGACTGGGGAAGCGCACCCGGGGGATCAGTGGATGGGTCCCACGGTGGCCATAGGTACGATATTGACGATTTACGGCATCTGACCCCAGCAAGAAGGCCTTCTTCCCTTATGCCTGGAGCATCATCCAGGGGGTCTTCTGCTCATTCTTCTTCGATTTTGCTTTTCATGCGGGTGTCCTTCCATTTTTCATGGCGTGTACGAGCTTGGGTGCTTTTGATTTCTGTTACCTGTGGGGATTTTTCCTCTTCTCGGACCTGTCTTATTCCTATACCTGCCGGGGATTGATCGCTCGATGTCCCTGGGCTTTTGTCTCTTTTTTTCTTGTTCTTTTCCGGTTTACAGGCGATGGCATTCCCGGTTATGACATGTACATAAAAGGTGGCCAGACATTAGACCAGATCTCTTAATCATATTCATAATCGATCGACATCATCTGGCTCTTTTCTAGCGTAAGTCACGTGCCGGTGAAGGCGGTGAAGCAGCTCCGATGATGACGACCTTCTTGCTCCACCGCCAACTCTCCTCCCTTCCTGCAGCAACCATCGCAAGGAAGTCAGTCGTCTTGCTTGGGAGACCTCATCATTCGACGCGATTCGGGGTGATCAGGTTCCCTTTCTCGACATGTCCTCATTTGACACCCGCCGGTGAAGTAGTGGACCAGAACTTATTAACTGTCCGCTGATCTCCCGGTGCGTGAGTTGGTCAGGTACACTCTGTACCCGATAGGTCTTCGCTCATCTCGAGGGTATCTACCTGCTAGGTTCTTTGGGAAGATTGCTAGACTATTCATATAGCTATCGTTTATCTATCGACAAAGCCATTGCATCATCTACGGGTACCGCCGTCGGTATAAGCTCTCGATTAGCTCTCACGCAAGATGCCCCGCTCCCCTCATAATGGCCAGCAGCAACCGGATATCGATAAACGGGACTTTGACCAAAACCGTCCGTTGCTGGCCGGGCAAGAAGCTGGCCCCCATGCCGACGACGGCAGCCGTTCTCCGTCCGGGTCGGGTTGGAGACTGTCCCGTGACGATGGCCTTTTGAACGACGTGGTCGGAGAGATCGTGGAGAGAGACCGCAGGAGACTCGCCCGAGAGATTGTGCGGATATCCAGCTTTGTGCTGGGGGTCATCACTTGGTATGTTGCTTGATATCTAGGATGGTTGTCGTGACGGTGTCTGACCGAGTTTCCCATCTCTAGTCTCGGCGCCGGCAGTATCACCGCCTTTTCCCTATACGGACCGCTGTTCTTGACTCGCCTCCATTACACGCAGCTTCGGGTGAATGCCGTCTCGATCGCGGCCGAGGTGTCCATGTACCTGCCCGTCCCGCTGTTTGGATACTTGTGTGACCGGTATAGCCCGTCTCCGCTGGCCCTATTCTCTGGGATTGTGTTTGGGACCGGCTACTTTCTCGCAGCGTTCGCCTACCGCAGCGGTCCGCCACCGGACGCCGGCGGGGAGGGATGGCCGTTCTGGGTCATGGTTGTCGCGTTCGTGGCCATCGGGACGGCCACCAGCTCCATGTATCTCGCTGCGGTGACGACCTGCGCCAAGAACTTCGGCCGGGGCAAGCACAAGGGGATCATGCTCGCGGTGCCCATCGCGGGCTTTGGTCTCAGCGGCATGTGGCAGAGCCAGGTTGGCACATATCTGCTGTGCGAACGTCTAGAAGACGGAAGTCGCGGCGACGTCGACGTCTTCCGATACTTCTTGTTCCTGGGCGCACTGCTCCTCGCCATCGGCGTCATCGGCACGTTCGGGTTGCGGATTGTGGACGACGAGGAAGAGAGATACATCGACGCCACCGTTGATGAGCTCGAGCGGAGTGGCCTCCTGGATGACAGCGCATTCTTCCGGGCCGGCCGCGACGAAGGAGATCGGTATGGGACCTTCTCGCGGGCCGAAGGCAGCAGTACCGAAGGGGAGATGTCTGCATCCGAGGAAGAGCGCGAGGCCGCGAGGCTCTATAAGGTCCGGGAGGAGGAGGAACGTCAGAAGAAGACCTGGCTTCTCAACTACGAGACGAGGACGTTTCTCGCAGACCACACCATGTGGTGGCTTGCTCTGGGGTTCTTCTTGGTGACGGGCCCGGGGGAAGCTTATATCAACAATGTGCGTATCTTTCTCATCCTCACCTTTTTCTACCATTGTTAGGGGTTTTACAATTGTTATGATTGTCATGAATGCTATTTATTATTGTGATGATTGAAGCTGACACCAGACCAGCTGGGTACCATTGTCCAAACGCTCACGCCGGGGAATATCCCGGCGAATAGGTCCCCCGCCGGACTGCCCGCGACGCACGTCACCACCGTCGCGCTCACGTCGACCGTCGCTCGACTCCTGACCGGTTCGCTTTCGGACTACTTCGCCCCACCCGCATCCCATCTCTCACCCAGCCATTCGGAAGACGATGACCTAGAGCCGTCCACCCGTCTCCGTCTTTCCCGCCTCTCCTTCCTCCTTCCATCCGCCTTTCTCCTCCTCCTCGGCTACCTCATCCTCGCGACCCCCCTACCAATCCAGCACCCACAGCTCTCGCATCTCACGACAGCCCTAGTCGGCCTCGGCTACGGTAGTGCCTTCTCCCTCGTCCCAATCATCATCTCCGTCGTCTGGGGCGTCGAGAATTTCGGCACCAACTGGGGCATCGTCGCCATGGTCCCGGCCGTGGGAGCCGCCTTCTGGGGGATCGTCTACTCGCGGGGGTATCAGGACGCACTGGACGGGGGGAGCAGCACCGACGACGGGGAATGTCGCGGATGGCGATGCTTCGGGTTTTGGGCCGTGGGGTGCACGGTCAGTGTGGGAGTCGCCATGGTGGCGTGGTGTGTAGCGTGGAGGGCATGGAGACGGAGGGGAGTTGTTGTATAATCTTCCTCCTTTTATCGATTTTCTATTTTCAGTATTGCTAGCGTTTGTTGTACAATTGTGGCAATGGGTCTTGGATAAGGTAACTGCATGTTTGTTATAAAATTGGTTTGCGTTGAACTGGAAAGCCAGGTGTTGCACGGCATTATTACTTATCATTTATAGTTAGGTTAGTTTCAGTTATTGGAGAAGAAAACTATAGTTCGATTATTCTCTCGAGACTAATATTGGTATTGTCTATATATTGTTGGGATATCAGTCATAACAAGCCTGCGCAAATTGCCGTTCGATATCTTGTTGCATTACTAGGAAATATATATATCTTGATGTAGAAGCGGGAGTAAAATAGCAAGTCTTATGTTATACTGTACGTATAGGCACTCTTGAGAATTGATTTTATCTACAGAATATATATCTGCCAGTGCCATAAGATATGTATATGTATGCTCTTTCATGCAGATCGTCTATTCTCAACATATGCAATGCATGCAACATAATACAAACCCACCCAACGCACTGCGATGCAACCTATATGATATATGCGAACCCATTGAACGCTGCAAAAAAGACAAAGAACCAATCCAGTCAACGAAGGAAGATCAATCAAGCAACCAATAGAGATATTGGACATGGTATACACCGTAAAGAATAATCCCAATAGAGTAAACTACGGATGTCAGGCTAGATCATATTATATCATATCATACACCCGTTGCTGTCGGGTCCGTTCCCATAAAGACTTTGTAGAGGCGTTTACTGGCGGCGGGGCCGATGCGGGCGTTGGTGAGGGCGCCGTTTTTGTTGGCGGATTTCTGAGTTGTTAGTTTTCTATTTTCTCTCTTTCTCGCCTAGTATATTGCGGTGGGGGGGGGGGGGGGGGGGGGGTGATAAACAAACCTTGACATCCTCCAGAGTAGAAACACCCTCCCTTCTCATCCCCCCGACGAGATCCATCACACTAGGGTATCGCTCTGCAATCCCGTAGGCCATGCTAGCCGTGATGCGGTTCACCTCTTGGAGCATCTTGATGAAAGTGTCAGACTTGTTGTCGCCGGATTTGACCTGGCCGGTATCCATGCAAAAGGCGGCGTCTTGACCGTTCATGCGCTCGCGACGGTACGGCACTGTGGAGACGTGTTCGGTGAAGGTCTTGATCCAAGTGGCGGATTCGGCGGGCGTGCCGGAGTGGTGGATGAGACAGGTGTGAGTGACTTGGAGGGCGAGGAGGGCATCTTCGACGACATCGTCGGAGATGGGGTCGGGTTGCTGTTTTGTGGTGCGTTGGCGGGATGAGGAGGAGGTAGACGGTGGGGGGCGGCGGCGCGGCGCACGGCGGCTTGGAAGGCACGGTTGCGGGCGGTTTGATTCTTGCGGAACCAGGCTTTTAAGCCCTCGATGAGGTAGATGGGGGAGCAGTTGGGGTAGGCGGTTCTGAGGTTGTGGACGTGGGTTTGGAGGTCGACGGGATGTGATGACTCTGAAGGGTGGGTGGATGGAGTCGCGGTGGCCAGGTTGACGAATTCTTGGGCTGTGAGCAGCACGAGGACGTGCGCTTCGTCTTGGACGTGGGGGACACACGGCTCCCAGTATCCGAGACGGGGGTTGTACTGGGCGCGGACCTTGCGGCGCCACCGGACGACGTTGGGAATCGCGCTCGCGAAGAAGGTCTGCTCGACTCCCAGCCGGGTCATGAACTCGGCCGTTTGATTGCCCACACTTGTCTCTTGCAAGGTGGTGGCCAGGTCGACGATCATCTCCGGGAGGGATTCCTTCTTGTCGATCTTGAGCTTGTTGACGGCCGCCAGGTCGGCTGTCCGCTGCTTCTCCCGCGCCTTCTCTTCCTTCAGCCGCTGCTTCCGCTCTTTCTCGACTTGTCGGTCGTGCTCTCGCTGCGCCTTGGTGGCTTCCCGTTCGCGGGCCCGGGCATCCTTGTCGGCGGTGGTCCGTTTCGAAGCTGTTTTGCGAGGGGCTGGTCGGGGAGATGGCGGGTCGTCGAGGAGATCTCGGTCTTCACCGTCCTTGCGTGGGGGGTGGATTTTGGGCTGACTCCCCGTTGACGTAGGCCGGGACCGAGGCTTTGGGGCGTCATAGTCGTCGTCGTTAACGCCGTTGGACTGGGATCGGTTGTGAAGACTGGCGAGGAGATTTTCGGTGCGACTTGAGAACTGGGGACGGGGGCGCGAGATCATCTCGGGGGCGGCGGTGGTGGCGGTGGTTGCGAGATTCCACAGATCTGCTGGGTCGGGGACGGCGAAGGGATCGCTGAACTCGTCGATGTCGTCGTCATCGTCAATGGTGATGGTGTCTGGGGGGATCGGCGGGGCGGAGGAGGTGAAGGTGATGGGGTCGGACGTCAGATCCCCCGGGTATGTCTGCATCGGAGCGGGTCTGGATGGCAGGACATCTTCGTCGGAGAAGAGCACGAACGGATCCTGGGCATCGGGGCTCAGTCGACGGCGTTTCGAGGGATTGGAGGCAGGTTCATGGTGAGCTTGATTGACGGTCGTAGCGGAGGTAGGGGGAGGGGGAGGGAGGGGACGGGGAGAGGAGGAGACCAGGTCAATGACATCGGGCATGATGGGATCTCCGGTCCAAAAGAGGAGCCAAAAGTGGAGACTGAGAGAACAAGAAGAGAGAGAGAGAGAAAGAGAGAAAATGAAGCCAAAGTCGCGTCGCGATGCCGGCACGTGCCGCGTACTCACGTGACGATATCGTTCTTCGACTTCATCTTCGTCACTTTCGTCACTCTTTTCCTTAGGGGGTCTCTTTTCATCCCCATCCCTTTCTGGGGCAGACAACAAGTGAATTAATGATCTCCTGAAGAGAATGATCGATCAGGTATCACCAACCGCCACCCGTTTGTCTCCAACCCGGTGGAGATCGAATCGCGACGGGAGGACAGACGGATAGCCACCGATGGACCCCGATTTGAATTTCCACCACCGAGGTCGCAAATGTGATCGGGCGAGGGTTCATCCATCCTGGACCCCAGGGACCCCCAGGGACCCTTGCGTGAGGACGGGGTGGCATGGAGGCAGGTGCTGAAAAGAGTCTAGCGGTGGTGCCGACGACCGCGTCTGTGCTACGCTTGGATGAATGGGGGGATCCCCTCCGTTCCCTGAATCCCTCCGTGGAGTGCGTTCCCTGACCTCCCTCGGTTCACTGTGATCATGGTTGCGATCGACATGGGTTGGTACTGGGAGAGCCGTTTACGCCCGGATGTAACAGGAGTGGAGGCATTGGAGGGAAGGGGACTATAAGACTGATACTACGCGACTGAACCCCATCAAGACAGATCGACTGGAAGCCAGAACGAAGGGAAAAAGAAAAGGAAAAAAGAAATAAAAGAGGACCACGTTCTGGGTGGGTTCACTGGGTTGGAGAGCAGACCAAGTGGGCCAGGGGGACAATCAAGCTTCTTCATTCGCAGAGAGTCGCTCGTTATTTCGGTTGCATCCTCTTGTCCACGCTGGAACGGAGGTTAGTCGGGTCGACCGTGGGACAGAGGTCCAAACAAAGTCTCACTCTGCTGTTCGACACGGTCTGGTTCTTGGTTCCTGGTTCCTGGTGGAGGACGAACGATCGATGTCGATGATGGTATAGAGTAAACAAATAGCCAAATTAATCGATGTAGGAGCAATCTAATAGCAAAATGAATCAAATAAATATAAGGCACTACCATCAAACCAAACAAAATAGTAGAAACAGAAGAAAGAAGAAAGTAATCCAGGAAGAAAGAAAAAAAAAGGGAAAAGGACCGGTGGTTGGCGTGCGGTTCAGGAGGTTATCCAACTTCCCCTTAACTTCTTCTTCCTCGCCTCAACCTCATCTACTCTCTCCTCACTCTTCCCTCCATCCTCCTCTCTCTCCTCCTTCGTCTTTCTCCCTCCCATATCTCGTCTGCTGGTAATTCGCTTTCTTCTGTTCCTCTTCGGACCCCACTGACTGGAAATAGTCCCTTCTCTTCCCATGCAGGGCCGCCAGACACGTCCAATTCGCTGAGATCAACTCGCCGATGTGACCGACCTCATCCCCCCTCCCCCATTCGTGTCTCGAATCGTTCGCCTCGATCCCCAACCGGTGCCATAAAGGGCCATGACGCCCTCGCCGCCTGGTTCGCCGACGGGCGCATCCCCGCGACCCTTGAGTGCCTTGATGCGCACTCCGAGGAGTACCAGTCGCCTGAGTATGAGCAGTAAACAAGGCAGTCGCGCCTCCGATGAGGACAGCAAGACCGCCGTCAAAGTCGGTGCGTATCTCTCTCCTTCTCTCTTTGACTCTCTCGTCCTCATCTTCTATGCGGTCAATGCTCATTGGTTACAGCCGTTCGCGTTCGTCCCCCCCTCAAGCCCGACGACCCCGGCTACGAATTGATCCCCCAACGATTCCAACGGTCTATGGTTCACGTCACGGCCGCCACCAGCCTCGCCGTCGATGTCCCCCAAGGTCGCAAACTCTTCGTCTTCGATCGCGTTTTCCCCGAGACCGTGAACCAGGATGGCGTGTGGGAATACCTCTGCGAGAGCGTGCATTCCTTCCTGCAGGGCTACAATGTCTCCATCCTGGCCTACGGGCAGTCGGGCGCCGGCAAGTCCTACACCATGGGCACATCGGGGCCCAGCGAACAGGGTGACCCCCAGTCGAGAGGTCAGTGTTCTTCTCCTTTCTTTCTGGAAGTGGATGATTGTTGATATTGATTTGGTCGATCGCAGGTATTATCCCCCGCGCTGCCCAGCTGCTCTTCGACCGGTTAGAACCCCCCAAACAGAACCGGAACAGTTCGTCCGGCTTGCGCACGCCCGCCCGCTATTCGGTCGGTTCCGCCGCCAGCCTCAACCGCGCCAGCGTCGACAAGTCCTGGCAGATGAAGGCCACCTACGTCGAAGTAGCTCTCCCCCAACCTCGTGGTGGTATCCTCCCCCCCGCTAAATTCCTCTTCCTCCCCTCTAGATCTACAACGAACAATTACGCGATCTCCTCCTTCCCGATTCCGTTCCCCAGTCCGATCGCGGTTCCGTCTCCATTCGCGAGGATACCAAGGGTCGCATCCTCCTCACCGGCCTCCACCAGGTCACCATCAACTCCATCGACGACCTCATGGGTGCCCTCAGTTTCGGCTCCTCCATCCGACAGACCGACTCCACCGCCATCAATGCCAAGTCCTCGCGTTCTCACGCCGTCTTCAGTTTGAACCTGGTCCAGCGGAAGCCCGCCGGCGCCGGCGCCGGCACCGCCCCCGCGACAAGCGCATGTCCATGCCCATTGACGGTGCGTCCGGTGCGCCCGACGCCGCCACCGTCACCGTCGAGAGCAAGCTCCACTTTGTCGATCTGGCTGGCAGCGAGCGGCTGAAGAACACGGGCGCCTCGGGCGAGCGTGCCCGGGAGGGTATCTCCATCAACGCCGGCCTCGCCGCTCTGGGCAAAGTCATCTCGCAGCTGTCCTCCCGCCAGGCCGGAGCCCACGTGTCCTACCGGGACTCCAAACTGACCCGCCTCCTCCAGGACTCCCTGGGGGGCAATGCCTACACCTACATGATCGCATGCGTCACCCCGGCCGAGTTCCACCTCAGCGAGACCCTCAACACCGTCCAGTACGCCCAGCGCGCCCGCGCCATCCAGAGCAAGCCCCGCATCCAGCAGGTCGCCGACGAGGGCGACAAGCATGCCTTGATCGAGCGCCTCAAGGCCGAAGTCAGCTTCCTGCGCCAGCAGCTGCGCCGCGCCGAGGCCAGTCCCGACCGCCGCCGCGGCGACGGCCCCGCCCCGGAGCGCCCCGAGCGCGCCAACGACCGCGAGATCGGCCTGCAGAACCAGCTGCTCGACGTCCAGGAGAGCTACAACGCCCTCAGCCAGCGCCACGCCCGTCTCATGGCCGAGCTGGCCCGGGGGTCCGAGGGGGAGAAGACCCGATCGGCCGATGCCGCCGACGCCGACCCCGCCCACGACGTCGGCCGCAGCTCCGTCGAGCGCCTGCAACGCTCCCACTCCTTCGCCGAGTCCGTCGAGCAGGTCGTGCTCGAGTACGAGAAGACCATCCAGAGCCTCGAGTCCTCCCTCTCCGACACCCGTGCCTCCCTGTCCCAGACTGAGAGCACCCTGCTCGAGCGCGAGACCACCTGCGCCTACGTCGAGGCCCTCAACACCCAGCTGCAGGCCCGCGTCCAGAAGTTCCATGACCGCGAGTCCGGCACCGAGTCCTACCTGCACGAGCTCGAGTCCAAGCTCGAGGGCCACTCGTCCGGCGAGGAGCGTCACGCCGCCATCGTTGCCGAGCTCCGCAAGGAGCTGACCCGTGCCCGCGACAGCGAGGCCCACTGTGAGGACTATATCTCCACCCTCGAGGAGCGTCTGGCCGAGGCCGACCAGGACATGGAGCTCCTGCAGCGCGAGGTCGACCGCCTGGAGCACGTCGTCGATCGCCAGCGCAGCCTCGGCAAGCTGGACAGCCTCCTCTACGAGCTCGACTACGTTCAGAACGTCGCGCCCGAGGGCCGCGCCGCATCGCCCGAGGCGCGGACAACCCCCCCGTCCGAGCCACGGCCACCGGCCCCCCAACACGGAACCGCGCCCCCTCCCTCGAGGTTCTCACTGAGGCCGTCGAGACCGCCATTCCGGACTCCGACGAGGGCCTGGTGGATCCGATCCCCGCCACCATCGAGGAGGAGACGGAGGAGACGGGGGCGGTGGCCCCGGCCGTCGTCCCCACGGCCGACGACGACGACCTCCAGGTGCTGGAGCGCGCCACCAGCCGCCTGGCATCGTCGCCCCCGCCCGCCGACCGGACGTCGCTCTCGGCCCCCAAGCCCCCCAGCCCCACCCCGTCCGGCGTCGTGGCCGACAAGCTGGAGACCGTGTCGCAGGAACTCTTGGATCTGCGCCTGCAGCACGAGACCACCCTGACCGACTACGAGCTCCTCGAGGCCAAGTACGAGGACGCCCTAAAGACCATGGCGGCCCTGCGGCAGGACGCCGCCGACGAGGCCCGTCACGCAGCGGCCCGTCACGCCGCGGCCCCGGGCAGGATCCAGTTTCCCCGGCCACCACCACCGCCACGCCCCGCCTCCTGCCACCACCGCCTCCTCCCGCCCGGTGTCTTTTTTAGAGGAGCCCGGGGCCCCCGGCGACTCGCAGAGTGGCACACGACGCTCATTCTCGCAGTCACTGTCCTCGGAATTGTCCTTGGCCGGGGAGCCTGCGCCGTCGCGCGATTCCTCCTCTGACGGCCAGACGGAGCCCACGGAGGTGACGGGGACCTCGACCCGCGGCCTCGCCGGCGGCGATGACCCTGACGCGCTCGCGCGGATGCGCAAGCTGCTCGGGGAGCACGAGGAGGGCCTCGGCCTCATGACCCAGCGGTACGCCGCGCTGCAGGCTGAGCACGAGGACACCCTGAGCCTCATCGAGTCCCTCAAGACCGAACTCCAGCGGCCCAAGTCCACGTCGCCCCCGACCACCCCGGGTTTCAAGACCCCCATGATCCGCCGCAAGACGAGCACCAGCCTGATATCCACCGTCGATCGCGCCCACCGCTCCCTGACCTCCATGCGTGCCATCGCCACCGAGGAGTTTGGCGACCGCCCCGACGCGCGACAGAACTTTGAGGTCCACCTGGACGCCGCCATGCACGAGCTGCAGAGCCGCGTCGAGCGCATCCAGTCCCTCGAGGCCGAGAACCAGAGCGTGCGGAAGGAGATGGAGATGAAGTCCACCATCATCTCGGGGCTGACCCGCGAGCGGACCAGTCTGCAGGCCGGCGGGTCCTCCGTTGACCCGACCTTCCTCGCCCAGCTCCGCGACCAGATCGTGCAGCAGGAGACCCTCATCACCCAGATGACCGAGGCCCATGCCGCCCGGGCGCAGCAGCTCCGGGACGAGATCACGCAGCTTCAGGGCCTCCTCCAGACGCAGGAGGCGGCGGCCCGGTCGCACGACGTCGGCGCCGAGGAGCAGGACCGGAAGATCGGCGGCCTGGAGGGCGAACTCGCCGAGTGGCAGGGCAAGCACGCGGATGCCGTGCGGTCCCTGGAGGCGTCCGAACGCCAGCTGAGCGGCACCCTGCAGGACCTGGACCGCGCCCTGGCCGACGTGGACGCGTTGCGCGGCGACCGCACCGCCGCGGACGACGAGCTGGCCGGCAAGGAGGCCGCTGCCCGCGAGCTCGACGAGGAGCAGCGGGAGCAGGAGGCGCGCGTGGCTGAGTTGCAGCTAACCATCGCGACGCTCACGGCCCAGGTCGCCGCCCGGGACGAGTCGCACGAGGCCGCCCAGCGCGAACTGGCGGGCCTCCGCGCGGCCCAGGGCGACCAGACGGCCACGGCCGGCGACGCGCTCCAGTCTCGCATCGCCGAGTTGGAGCGCGAGATCGAGGCCCAGCGCTCGGCCTCCGACGACGGCCACCGGACGGAGCTGGCGTCCCTGCAGGAGTCGCACCGCCAGGAGCTCGTCGAGTTGGAGACGCGGACCCAGGCGGCGGCGCAGGCCAAGCACGAGGCGCAACTGTCGGAGAAGGACGCGGCGCACGACGAGGCTCTGGGGGCGCTGCGGTCGGAGATCGCCGCATCGCGCGCGGAGCTCGCGAAGCTGCTGGGCATGGTCGGCGGGCTGCTGAACGCTGACGTCACCGCCGACAACCTGGCGGACCAGCTGCAGGACATTGTGGCGCAGAAGCAGCGCTTCTCCGATCAGTACGCTGAGATGCTGGGGATCAACGACGACCTGCGACAGCAGCTGGCGGCCCGGGGTGAGGACGCCGACCGGCTGGACGCGCTCACGCAGAGCAACGCGGACAAGGAGGCCAAGGTGACCGAGCTGGCGCTGCTGGTGGCCACGCTGGAGGACACGCTCCGGCAGAAGGACGACCAGGTGAAGAAGAAGGAGACGCTCCTGGCGGCGGCCACGACCGAGAAGGACAAGAGCGCGCGGCTGGTGGAGGAGCTGGAGGACCAGATCACCAACAGTTTCGACCAGCACCACAACCGTCTCTCCCTGATCCAGCAGGAGCGCGAGCAAGCGCTCATCCAGGCCAACGCCAAGATCGGCACCTACGAGAAGGAGATTGAAACGTATCGGGTGCGCATTGAGCAGTTGGAGGTAGCCGCCCCTCTTTTCTCTCTTTCTTTCCTGCTTTCTTGACGCTAATCCCTTGCCAGCTCCAAATCAAGAACACCGCCCCGGATGTATCCCACGACCGCAGCAGCTCGTTGACGTCGAATCTGCGGAAGAGCTCGTCGGCCGCCTCGCTCCCCTCCCCCCCGCCGGCCATCCCACTGCCGCCGCTGCCGACGATCACGGCCGGCACCAACGGCAGCAGCAGCGTGTCGCCGCCCAGCTCGCGCCACGCCAGCAAGGAGATCGTCAACGTCAACAGCCAGCTGGTGGAGGACCAGGAGGCGCGCATTCGGACGATGGAGAAGCACCTGCACGCGGAGAAGCAGCTGACGGCGACGCTGGAAGAAGCCCTCGGGGACCTCGAGGCGCAGAGCAACAAGGTCAAGTCGGACAGCGAGGCCTGGAAGAAGAAGGCCTGGCAGCTGGAGGACGAGCTGAGCACGCTGCGCAAGGAGCGCAACTCGCAGCGCCTGTCGCTGCAAGCCGTCGAGGAGGAGCGGAGTGCGCGACGCGAGGCCGAGGCCGCTCGGGCGCAGCTGGAGGAGCGGATGAACGCTCTGAACAAGAAGAAGAAGAAGAGTACCCTGAATTGTTTCTAAAAGTTGAGCGTCCCGTCTTCTGCCCCTTCCCTCCTGGTTTCTCGCTCTTTTCTCCATTTTTTTTCCCCCTTTCTTGGTTTGGTCACCGACACGATGTTTATTCTCGACCGCTACTACCCTGTATTATGAATTCCACGTGGATATATTCCCCTTCTGTCCTCCCTTTTGCTGACTTGTTGATACCTTTTCTGCTTCTGACCTGTCTTGAATCTTTGTTCTGCACATTCACCCCCTGCTTATACTTTGTTCTGTCTTTATGAATCTTGATTGTTTGACGATGCCAAGCGGTTGGCTCTATTGCCCGTATAATCTTTGATATCCTCCCCCGTCCGAGTCTAGAGACCGATATAGATATAGATGTAGAAATCCAGTCCTATCAGGCGATTGATGTGACCGATATGCTTGGGCGCCCGGCCGGCAAGTGCATTGGCCACGTCTGATGTGGTATTACACAAGTGATACGATCACTTTGAGACCGAATTACAAAGTATACAGATGCTTCAATCCTTGCCAAAAAAGGGCGAGGAAAGAATCACGAACTCAGAGAGCCAACCAAGCGAGCATGTGACCCTGAATCATGTGATTCGTCGTTTGTATCGTTGAGCAGTCGAGCGGGCCTGTACGTGTTGTATATCGCGACAACTTCTTTCACCCCCAACTCCTCATTTGCGGCATGCTCACATCCGCGACGGCACGGGCATGGCGTCCATGCCCATCTAGTCGGATCTTTGCGGTACCCTACTCCACTGATACCCCCCGGAAGACCCCACCGATGGATGACGATCGTCGACTGTTCGACTACACGTCGGGTCGATGGATGTGAGAGTCCCAAAATGATGGCCCTCCCATCCCCCTTCCTTCTTTGCGACCTCGATAGCTTATGATCTCGGCAGTTACAACGAGAACGCTCGCCTCGCTGAGCGGCGCGGGGAGTTTGACGTCGACGCGCTGAGGAATGCCGCGGCACGGTCGATACGGAGGCGCGACACCGACGTCAAAAGTTTGGTCAAGCTGGCTGAAGGAGGCTTCAATCGTGTGCTACAGGTTACCATGGTCGATAACTCTCAGGTACTCGCCCGGTTGCCATATCCTTCAACAGAACCCAAACGACTGGCCGTCGCCAGTGAGGTGGCCACCTTGGCTCTCCTCCGTGCCCATGGTCTCCCCGTGCCGCGCGTACACGCATACTCGATCGATGCGACCAATCCAGTTGGATCAGAGAATATGTGCCCATGGAGAAATTACCAGGACGACCATTAGGGGCGGCCTGGTTCGATCTCTCAGAGCAGCAGCGTCTCAAAGTACTTCTGCAGTTGGTCCAGATCGAGGCAAAGCTCCAGACCATCGAGCTTCCAGTCAGCGGAAGCATCTACTACGACAGAGACCTGCCAGCCGACGCACCGCGGATTGCTATCCCAGACTCAGAATTCTGCATCGGTCCCAGTACCGCCCTCAAGTGGTGGTTCAAGGAACGGGCGACGCTGCCTATCAACCGCGGTCCCTGTGAGTCTTCCCCTGCCTTCTTGGCCCACCCACTTCCCTTCTCTCCCTCCTTTCTCCCATTTTTCTCACTTTGCCAGATGTCAATGCGGTCGACGTTCTTCGCGCCCCGGCCTTGAAAGAGATCACATGGCTACAGGAATACGGTCGGCCTCGCTTTCCTTTCCAACGTGCCTACCGCGAGTCAATGGATTACAGATTATCCCAGCCAAGCGACCACATTCGCTCACTCGAAGCGTACCTCGAACTCGCTCCGAAACTGCTTCCGTCGGATGGGTCGTTGGATCGCCCTCTCCTTCGCCACCCGGACCTTCAGCCCAACAACATCTTTGTCTCGGATGATCTCGACATCGTTGGATTGATTGATTGGCAACACGCCTCGGTGCTGCCGCTCTTCCTCACCGCTGGGATTCCCAAATACTTTCAGAACTATGAAGACCCGAAATTGCTTGCATTTCGCCCGCCGCCTCGGCCCGATCTCAGCGGCCTGGACGACGAAGAAAAGGCCGACGTTCTCGAAGACTTTCGGTGTCGCCATATCCACTTTTTCTATCTGGCGTTCACGCAGCGTTTCAACGAGCCACATTTCCGCGCCATGGAGCAGCCGACGAACATGCTCATCCGCCGCATCTTCACCCACGCTGGCGAGCCTTGGGAAGGCAACAATATCCCCCTCTAGGCGGACCTGGTGCTCATGACCAAAGCCTGGCATGAATCCTCGAGCGGACCATGTCCGATTTCGTTCCCGTCAGCCGAGGCGGATGATATTATGCGTCTACAAGACATGCAAGAAGAAGTGGACCTGCAACTCAAACGGATCCGTAGTTTTATTGGCGTTGGCGTGGACGGTTGGACCGATCCAGATAACTACGAAGCGGCCTGCTTCCGTTCTCGCCAGATGAGGAATGACGGACTGGCCTCCCTCAACACGGAGCACGAACGCGAAATGACAGGTCGTCATTGGCCGTTCAATGACCACGATGAGGATGAGTAGCACGCGCAACTATCTCTCCAATGGCGCGACTACTACAAGTCAAGAATACCAGCGGGAGAGAGGGGTGACAAATGAATAAAAATCGTCGACTCCCGAGTCTCCTAAAATTACAGCTAGTCAGAGTGTTGTATTGGGTTTGCTTTGCCCCAGTATCTTGCCAGCCAGGGTTTCACTCAATGCCAGGCTATCGCAAGGCACGTCATCTGGGCTTCCCGAGCACCTGTGCCATATTTATCGGAGCAAATGACGTGCCGCCACATCATTTTCCTGACGCTCGAGGCAGTTGCAGCCAACCCCGTTGCTGCCCAATCGACGACTGTAACATGGACTCTTGACGATCAGTTATCCTCCCTTCCGTCTACAGGAAGCCAATGTTGTGGAAGCATATAAGGAACCTCCTCACCTTCATAAAGATTTCACACGATCCGCAAGATAGTGAACCTTGTGCTATGTACAGTGAAATCGTGAGTTTTATATGGAGTGGCACTTTCTCTAGTAGCGCTCGGTCTCCTTGCTGGTTGGATTTTGAATAGGCCGGATTGCAATGAGAGCCTTACGAAACCTCGGCGAATCCATTGTCAGAGGCAACGCCAGGACAAGGCTTGTCAATCCCACTGTCAGTCGTGGGAAGACAGCTTGGCCAAGATCGCAAGCAGAGCTAGAGAGAATCGGCATTCGCTTCGACTACGATGGGGAAGTGACGGAGAGCGGCGTGGTCTACCACAGATATCAGTGCCAACCCAATGCGGGAAAAGTTCCTAGTTCAATCAGGGACTGGCGAGAAGATAATGGTGGTACGCATGCGGTCATCAAGAAGGATGGAACCAAAGAAGAGGTCCAAGCTGCTGTGGACGAGGCAGTCAAAGCAATGTGAAATTTTCCTTGGGGATACCTGTCTCATGCACTTAGGTCAGTAGACAAAGCACGCAGTAAATGGTGAAATGCCAAAGTAGAGCTACCAGCTCGTCACGGCCTTTTGTGCAGCTTGTTTCATTCATTGGAATGAAACACGCCACTCTCTCTCCCCGACACCCACTCCATATCTTTTATAATAACGTAATTATGAGGATTGAGGCAAGTAATCCCATTTCAGAACACATCAGAATGAAGCAAGAATGTATGCTCCTGCGGTTCTATGCCAACAGACGATTAGGGCTCGCCAAGACGTCACATGACCCTATCTTATCGGCCGCGTGTTCTTATCGATCATCGCGACTTCACTTTAACTTCATCTTCATCTTATCCTTCTCTCTACCTCTCGGTCTTTCTCTCCCCTCGCAATCCGATACAATGCCCCCTCCACACCCCAAGGTGGTTATCATCCACCCCGACCTGGGCATCGGCGGGGCCGAGCGCCTCATCATCGACGTGGCCCTCGCGCTGAAGAACCGCGGCCACGAGGTCACCATCTACACATCACACTGCGATCCCACACACTGCTTCGAGGAAGCGCGCGATGGCACACTCGACGTGCGCGTACGTGGAAACACAGTCTTCCCCGCCCACGTCTGCGGACGACTCTACGTACTCATGGCCATCTTGCGCCAACTCCACCTGACCGTCTCCGTGCTCCGCGAACTCGCCGCCAAGCAAGACAACATCTTCATCATCGACCAAGTGCCCGCCTGCATTCCCATTCTTCGAGCGTTCGGCCCGCGCCAACAACAACCGTCTACCAAGCAGCGCATCCTCTTCTACTGCCACTTCCCGGACCAGCTCCTCTCGCGGCGCAGCGAAGGCAGCCGCTTGCTGCAGCTCGCGAAACACCTCTACCGGTACCCGTTCGACCACTTCGAAGGGTGGGCCATGAGCGCCGCCGACCAGGTCGTCGCCAACTCGCGCTTCACGCGCGGCGTTATCGCCTCGGTCTTTGGCGCGGGGCGCCTCGGCGACGTGCGCGTCGTGTATCCTTGCGTTGATATAGATACCTTCACGGGAGGGAAGGAGAAGGACTTCCAGACCGACGATGACGAGACCGCGCAGCCTCTGTGGGACGGGCTGAAAATCTTCCTGAGTATCAACCGGTTCGAGCGCAAGAAGGACCTGGGGTTGGCGATCCGGGCGTACCACGGGTTAGGGGCGGAGGGACGACGAGGGACGAGGCTCGTAATCGCTGGTATGCCTTCTTCTGCTTTCCATTTTACCCCATTGTTATATGACTTCAGAAAGTAAAACTAACCAACAAACCAGGCGGCTACGACAACCGCGTCTCCGAAAACGTGGAATACAAGCACGAGCTAGAAGCACTGTGCACGAAGCTGGGACTCGAAACAGCGACCGCGCAAAGCATGATCACAGCGCTGGGGGTCCCGAACACAGTCGACGTGCTATTCCTGCCGTCCGTGCCGACAGGATTCCGAGACACGCTGCTAGCGCAGGCCCGACTGCTGGTGTACACGCCGATAAACGAGCACTTCGGGATCGTGCCGGTGGAGGCGATGCGGGCGGGGGTGCCTGTGCTAGCGTCGAACACGGGAGGGCCGCTGGAGTCGGTCGTGGAGGGGGAGACGGGGTGGTTGCGGGATGCGACGCGGGCGGAGGAGTGGACGGATGTGATGCGGGAGGTGCTGGGGTGGGCGGAGGAGGACGGTAGGGCAGCGCGTATGGCTGCGACGGCGAGGGAGCGCGTGCGGGGGCGTTTTCGTTGACTGCTATGGGGGATAGTTTGGAGAGGGAGATTGAGGGGATGTTGGGACGGGAGAGGAGGCCGTTTGATGGGTTAGGGATGGTTGCTGTGGGTGTTTTGCTGGGGGTGTTGGCTGTTTTGTACTATTTGTATAGACTGTAATTAATATAATATTCTATTCTACCCTACTTTATCTCCATTTTTTCTATCTCAAATGCAAGGGTTGTGCTAAACGTAGATTGATCGTAGTGTACTGATCGCAATGTACTGCTAGTGTGGAAAATATTGTACTGATCGTAGTCTAAAGTAGTATTCTGAAGAATGTACTCGGCTACAAAAGATATCATGGCACTTTTGGACTTCGTGAGTAATCCTGTAGCCTTATAATGCGACAGTAGAAGCGTATAGTAGCGCAGTAGTAAGGGCTGTAGTAGACAACTACAACTCATCCCTCATAATCGACAACGGCCCCTTCTTAACCATCATCGTCAAAATCTCGTACAACACATCGGCAGCAGCCCTACATAACAGTTAGCCAATATCACCAATGGCAAAAGTAACACATACATAGTGGAAAGCTCAGCATTGGTATCATAAGCAGGTGCCACCTCGACGATATCCGCGCCGATCAGGTTCAGACCGTCGAGGCCGCGGACGATGGTGCGGAGTTCGCGCGTGGACCAGCCGCCTGTTTCGGGGGTGCCGGTGCCGGGGGCGACTGTTCAATCATCAGTATCTGGCATTTGAAATTGGGTTTCTCGGAGGAAGTGCCTGGGATACGTACAAGCTGGATCCAAGGTGTCGATGTCGATGGAAAGGTAGACGGGGTTTTCAGTGCCGACGCGATCGCGGATCTTCTTGATAATGCCGTCCGTTCCTGAAAACGCGTGTCAGTGATAGAGAATGGGAAGGACGGGAGTGAGAACCCACCGATGGTGTCGATCTCACGGGCTTCAACAATTTCAAACCCGCAGTAGCCGTCATTCTCGTAGTCCGAGGGTCCGGACAGAGTGGTGCGGATGCCGGCGTGGATGTTGGTGTCGTTTCTCAGGAGACCTTCCATGGCCGCGTGGTAGAAGTAGGTCCCGTGGTTGATGGCGGCGACCTTGCTGGGGGAGCCGCCAAAGACTTTGGGTTTCCAGGAGTCACTAACTAGTTAGAATGTAGGTATGGTATGGAGTAGGGTAAGGCCGTACAGATGGCTATCAAAGTGAATCACCGTGACGGGACCATATGCCTTATTAATGCTGCGCAGCAAAGGAAGGGTAATGGTGTGGTCGCCTCCCATGGTGATAACCCGCGGCAGGGTCTTGCCAGCCTTGGAGAGGCCGTATTCATCAGCATTGGTGTAGGGCTTGCGCATGAGGATGCTGTTGTGGCCTTCTTCGATCTGCTGGATGGCCCACTCGTTATCGTACCTGGGGGGTTAGTTAAAGACAAGGAGGAGGGCGACGAAGACATACGATGTCACAGGAACGTCACCGCAGTCGAGAATCCTCAGATCGCTGACGAAGGGATTAGATTCTAGCGGGACGTTGTATCCGCCGCTGAAGACCGCTTGTGTTAGCCTTGGGCACTGATAAGTAGGCACTGTGCGGAACGTACTAGAGATTGAGACGACGAGAACCTTGTCGGATGCCACTGGGCCCAAACCGGGCACCAGGCCGGTAGGACGTTCCGGTGTCGAAGGGGGCGCCTAGGAAGGCAATATCATACTTTTCGTCCTCGCTGGCTAGACAGGGAAAGTAGGGGAGACGGCCAAACGTGGAGATGCCGGAGAAGACAGAGTCGGCCTGTAGATGTGAGCCATGACCGCATTAATTGGTGGTACAACGGGGATATACCTGCGTACCCCCATCCCCAGGAAGAGTATTGTACCACAGACTCTGATGGGGACCGGCCAAAGGCGTCTGGTGACTGCTGTGGGCCGACACTGCAGCGGAAAGGGCTAGAAGGGTAACAGCAAACATGGTGAAGAGAGGTCGGGATATGACACGGATGAGGACATGGATGGGAAGGATAGTCGAGGCGTCCTGGTGTATTTATGCCTCGCTGTCTCTGCATGCTCCACCGTTGTCATTGTATTTGGCCATCCTTGTCTCCACGGGAATCTTTCCACTCCCAATTCCTGTTGTCATCACCGTATCAAGCCCATGATAGGGCGTCTTCACCACATCCAACACCGCATGAGAAGACTGTCCACGACCTGCAGAATGATAGCAACGGCCGACCATCGGCGACAGATGATCGACCTTCTTCTCCCCGCAACTTCTCGTTCCAGCAAGCGGGTCCTGCGTTGGAGATGGGAGTCTGCATCTCCCCACAACTTCTTGTTTGAGCATAGACCGTCTGTCTGGTCGATGGGTCCACGGTATGTGGCGGACTAGAGTAAACTTTGGTTAGCGTAGAGCTCAATTGGCATGACATGTTGTAGATCGAGAGATAACATCTTGACGTTGAAAGAAGAGAACGAGTTGGAGAGGGTCCTGAGGCAGCGACTGCGTTCCCAATCGGGCAGTTGACAGGAGGACCTTATCGGCCAATCACAGCGCCCAATTGCTTATCGTGAAATGACGTCACTTATCTACGCTGATAAGAAAAGGCTTCAATTTGTCACGGATTGATTTGGAGATAGAATATTCACCCATTGATTCATCTACTAGACATGGACTAGACAAAGATACACTCTCTACATCCCCTCATTCTGAACCCCGTCCATCCGCAAAAACGCCAGGTTCACCTCACGACGCCAATCACTGAGAGCCACAATCACCCACTCCAACGCCCCCACCAGATACAGCGCAATGCACTGGCCCACCCAGAGGCCCTGGAGTCCCCAGTCGTGACGAAAGGCCAGCCAGATCCCTAGTGGCAGCGCCCCGCCGTAGTAACTAACGAGATTGACCAAAGCGCCAACGTGCTGGCGCCCCATCCCGCGGAGACTCCCGCCGCAGCTCCCGTTCAGGCCATCTGCAATCTGGAAAAGCGCGACGTAGGGCAAGACCTCAGCGGTGAGGCGCACAACTCGGATGTCAGGGTTGAAGAGGGCCGCGAAGTGATGGCGTGAGGCCATCAGCGCCGCCAAGACGACGACACCCAGCAGCATGCTCAGCACGGCAGCGGAGTGGGCCGCGCGAGCGGCGCCACGAGCGTCGCGGGCACCGAGCAGGTTGCCGACGCGCGCGGAGGTAGCAACGCCCACGCCAAAGGGGATGGTGTTAAGCACTTGATCGGCCGTCATGATGACGCTCTGCGCCGCGAGGGGGACGGTCCCCAGGCGACCAGCAGCCAGGGCGACGATCTCAAAGGCCCACCACTCGGTGCCGACGTGGATGACGCCGAGGAGGGCCAGGCGGGCAAAGGGCCCCAGGTGGTGGGTGGCTTCGCGTGACCAGCCGCCCCAGCCGGCGGACCCGGCCACGAACCGGGCGTACAGCACGAGGAGCGCAAAGGATAGCCAGTAGGAAAGGCCCGTTGCGCAGGGGGCGCCCAGAAGACCCATGCCGAGGGGGTAGACAAAGAAGTAGTTGAGGAGGGCGTTGAGGGGCGATGTGATTAGCAGGACGTACGTCCCGGGACGCATGATGCCTGTCCCCATGGATTTGGTCAGCGAGGGCTCAGCAAGGGTGGAGAGAAGCGAGACGAAAAGACTTACCCTGCGCCTGGAGGTACTTCTTTATCAGCTCAAAATAGATATACCCGAGACCACCAGGGATCAAACAGGTAAGGAAGCGTGCACTATCGCGGGACAGCCGGGGGTCCTGACCCAGCAGGAGGAAGACGGGCTCAGAACAAGCCCACAACACGGCCACGGGCACGTAAAACAGCGTCAGGACGAAGAACCCCCGCTGTAGGAGAACACCCAGATCGTACTTGTTGGCGCTCCCGGTGAACGACGAGGAGGCTAGAGTGTCGAGGGCGGTGGTGCCGCCGAGGGCAATCATCCAGGCCGTGATCATGGCGAACATTAAGGAGAAGGCGGCGGTGGCCAGATTCTCCGGCGAGGAACGGCCGACAATGAGAACAGACACGGTCTGGAGACTATTCTGCAGCGTGTAGGCGAGAATAACGGGGATTGACTGTCGGAGAAGATGCACGAACTCGGTGAGCCAGCTCTCCTGCTGGGGGTGGGAGAGCAGCGACGTCTGCTCGTGAGGGTCATCCTCAACTGTCGAGTGATCTGGAACTGGGAAACTGCCGTACATGGTGGTGATTGATGACTGAGAATACGGAGCGTAGTATATAGAGAAGTCCTCTATATAGAGAAGCGTTGTATATAGAATAGTATACCTATATAGACAAAGCGTTCTATATAGATATACATCGTCTAGACCTACCTATGATGGCAGAATGTCAACTCCATAATCCAGCTGTTCGTATAGTTGCATGAAACATACCACTGCATCCTCTAATTGGCTTAATGGTAGACGTTCCTGTCTCTAACGACCCACCGTAGATCGCGTCGAGACTCCTTGCTTAGGGCCTGGATGGATGTATGCACGACGTCCTTATCAGCGCTCCAAACATTACCCCAAATAGGAAACGATGGACATCGTGATTTTCCGCGATCTAGATCGTCTAGCTGGCCTGACTCCGATATCGCTGTACATGGTCAGACTCGATAGAGTAGACGATGATCTAATAGTGTCGGAAGAAAACGGTGAAACTCATTAGTACTGGTCCTGGTATTTCCGACATGATATGGCCATCCCATGTTAAGTGATACCAAAATTAGGGCTGGAGAGATGTTGATATCAGACTTATCGCCACGCATGATTGGCGTTGGATATTTCAATGTCATAGGCAGTGGCGTGCCCTAATTCAGTCTGATATCGCCATGTCTTCTGATTCGACATAGATCCCCTTGATATGGCGCAGAACATCTGTAGGATAGTTTATATCGTAGACATGTCCAGTATACAGAGACCTGTTGATGGTCCTGTTATCCATATAGTTCATCCCAACCATGGGCGTCGATGAGAAGCATCTGCCCGTTCAATCCGACGGTATCGCCCAGACAATCCAACATGGAGACATTCATCCCCAACCGACCTCTGATCCACTGGATCCACTCAACTGGGGCGCGTTCCAAAAGAACAGTATCCTCGGGATCGTCATGTTCAAGTGGGTTTACTATTCACCATCCCCACAAGCCTACAGGCTCTGAATACTCAAAGAATGATAGATACTTCCTCTTCACCTACATCACCACCACCACCGTCCCCTCCTTCCCCTCCATCCAGAGCCAGTTCGACATCTCCTACGCGCAAGTGAACTGGACAGTCGCGCTCCCGGCGCTGGGACTCTCGGTGGGTCCGCTCATCTGGTCCTCGCTGGGCGATATCTACGGACGACGGGTGGTCTTCCTCGTCGGGACGGTAATCGCGCTCGTCTCGACGGTGGGGGCAGCTGTGGCAGACAGTTATGGGGGGTATATGGTGGCGAGATTCTTCCAGGGGGTGGGCGTGAGTCCTGCGTCGTCGGTGGGGATGGCAGTGGGTGTGTTATCCTCTTCTTATTCTTATCCTCATGTATCTCTGCATATAAACTAACAATACAGTCAACGATCTCTTCTTCGATTACGAGCGCGGCCAAAAGTTAGGGTTGTGGGTGTTGGCAATCGACTCGGGGTTATTACTGGGTCCAACGTGTATGTTTTTATATTCGAAAACAAATGGAAGGTATAAACTGACAACTCAGTCGGCGGCTTTCTCAACCTCGTCAGCGCCGCCTGGATCAACTGGTTTAACGCGATCCTCTTCGGGGTGCTTCTCGTGCTGGAACTGCTTTTCATGCCAGAGACGCTCTATCCCCGGAGTCTGATGCTGCAGTGCACGTCTCTACCAACATCCACATCATCATCGGATATCGAACGGGGTGTTTCCACCGACAAGAACACCCCCAAACCCAGAGAAACACCCACCCCAAGCTCAGTCAGCATAAGAAACGAAGAAAAAGAGCAAATCCCCCGAACTAAAACCCTCCCCTTCATCAACATCCACCCCATCCCCGGCCTCCGCCACCCCTCGATCTTCGCCGCCATGCAGCGCTTCATCCTCACCTTCACGCAGTGTCCCATCGCAGCGGCGACAGTAGTGGGCTACGTCTTCACATGGTACTGGTGGGTGCTATCAGTGATCACGATGATCCCAGCCGCGTACGCAGAGTGGACACCCCTAACGCAGGGTCTGCTCTTCTTGGGTCTACTGGTGGGGACAGTCGTGTCCGAGGTAGGCTGTTCGGGGCGGTTAAGCGATGCGCTGGTAAATAGACTAGCAAGACGCAATGGGGGAGTCAGGGTTGCTGAGATGAGGCTGTGGCTGGGATGGCCTGCTGTGGGGGTGACGGCCTGTTTGTCTTTCTATTTCTTTCTCCCCTTTCACCTGTTCCTTCCGGATATACTGACGACTATATACAAACAGTGGGATTGATCCTCTGGGGAGTGAGCATCGACAAAGGATACCACTGGATGGTGGGACAGGTTGCGTTTTTCTTCTGTATTGCTCCTATTCCATATATTGCATATCCATCTATGGATGTCCAGAAAGAGTCTAACCCAAGCAGTCGCATCAGGAATCCAAATCGGCAACACCATCACAACCAGCTATATCATCGACATCCACCCCTTACAATCAACCAGCATCGTCATCTTCTACGCTGTATTTCTCAACTTGAGTGCCTTTATCAATCCGGTGTGTCTCCATCTCCTCCTATAAGTGTATATACACACCCTGGACATTGATCAAAGTCTGTATATAACATAAAAGACTAACGCATGGTAGTTCTTCATCGCCCCCTGGCAAGAGTCCACCGGCTGGACCTGGACCTTCACCACCCAGGCTTTGATCGTCGTTGTCCTCAGCGGGAGCGGTCTCGCGGCGTTGCAGCGGTTTGGGGCGTCATGGCGGGCGAGAGCGCCTGTGCCGGGCTGGGTGAATGCGGAGTTTGATTAGATTCTTGACCTTCATCCTTATATACCTCTATCAGAATAAGACACTTTGTTATACCCTGCATAGTAGCTATGTCTGTATAGGTAGCTTGAGACAGAATAATGAAAATTCTAGCTCATTCTCAGATCAATATCCTAAAGCTACCATATGAATTGATACTCTTCGTAGAAAAAGTCTATGGGTACTGCCCCATAACTCAAACAAAACGACATCAAACTCCCAGTCACTCGCCAGCATGGATAGTGAGATCCACTGCACCAAAATACCAAATCAATAATCTGGTAATACTTTTGATGAACAGATAGTCCCCAACTCAGGGCAGCAAAGACTTGGCCCCTCGATCATGATCGATCTTCCACTTGGCGCCTCGCACAACAAGGAGGCCGTCGACCGCCGCCTGGAATATGAATAAACAGACGACAGCTACGTCACCGGCCTCGGGATCTATGTTTGCCCCAAAATAAGCAGCACTGGAAACGAGAGACATGGAACTGCCCACCAGCCCCTGTACTGTACTGGGTTTGCTGTAGTTCTTCCACGCCCCGCTATTGCCAGCTTTGAGGTCGACCACTCCAGCGGCGGTGTGAAGTCCAAATTCAATGCTCGCTATCATCAGATCAAAGGTAAGCATGGCCTGGTCCATGTTCAGGGTCTTGTCCTTGTCGTCTCCGCCGTCCTTTTTTTTGCCCCCTGTTCCGGGTAAAAACATGGCAAGAAGATGGGCGCCGCTTTTGTAGACCGTAACACTGCTGATCTGATATAGAATTAGCTTTGAGTCCGGTGGAGTGGGTCATCTGAGGAGGGGTTTTCCCTACCGTTCGTCGCAATGCCAAGCTTGGGATGTCAGTGTCGGAAGGCCATGAGTTGACAGTTGTGCACAGGTCATATATGATCCCCAGACACTGGAGAAATTTCTTGAACTTCCCAGCAGGGACCTTATTAGTCGCACTACTGCTACCTTTCTTGGCCGAGTTCATCAGGAACATGATGTGTTTGCGTACTCCATCGATCGTGGTTCCTGCCACAAGGACGCCGCATGTAAATGTGTGAAAGTCAAACTGCATGTCGGCACTGACTTTTTCACCTTCTAACCCAAGCAGCCGACCCAAAAGATCGCCGTTTAGGTTCTTGATGATTGGTGGTGCGGACTGGATCACGATCTTCGTAATCACCGCCGTGGGAACGGCAGTGATAAAAGCGATGGCACCAAAGACGGTCAAGCTATGACCCGTTAACTTCTTGTACAAGCCGCTAATAACGGGAATCTTAATCTCTGTTGTTCCGTAGTTCTTGATCATCGTGAAGACGCCGTTGACCGCATCAATCAGGCCATAGACGAGCTTTCGGAGCATTGTGATGGCTGTGTTTCGAAACTCCTTTAGATTATCGGTGGCTTTTTTCGCTGAGAGAGACTGTCCAACGGCCCATAGGTCGCTGATTATCTGGGCGATATTTTGCCATTGGGTTATGACTCTTGTCAGAGGCTCTTGGGCTTTCTTCCACCAGTTCGTTGCCAGGTGGTCCGGGTTCCAGTCCGAGTCTATATCAATTCGTTAGCCATGCATCCTGACTCGTTGCCGATATATCTAAGCTTACCATCTATCGGTGATGGCATCAACATGCCACCGTTCTTGAGCCTTTCTCCCATCCAAGCAGTTGCGGTGTCGGATAAAAGGACCTCCAGCGGTGATTCGTCCGCATCTCTATGGGCGCTTGCTTTGATATCATCAGGGGGGGTGTAGTCTGTAACATCCTCCAACCACTTATCCAACGCCTCCTCAATAGTAGTCTCGAATTTTACGGCCTTGCTGGCCGCATAGTCGATCCCAGAGGTGACGAGGGCGGAGACTTGGTCCTTGGTCCGAATGATGTCGTCCCACTCGAATATAAACCCCACAAAGTCTCGGAGCTCGTCCCATCCGATCTTAATCTTGTTCCAGACCTGGAGGTAATCATTAGTACATTCTGGTCTGCTTCCGCCGGATGGATGAGAATTTTACCCAAGTCGCCACGTGGACGGCTTTCTCGACTGTGTTCACCACAAATTCGAACACTTTGTTCGCAACATGACATATGAAATGAACGGCATCGTCTGTATTTCATTGACCTTAGTTTCAACTTTTGTTGTTCATTATTAGCTTTATATTAATGCACTTACCCGCTTTCTGGACCACCCAGTGGACCACCTCTTGTACCTTCTTCACAACATAGTGGAATGCATCCTCGACAAAATCGAGAAAGCCTCCGGGGGGTGGAATGGGGTCCCCGTGCTGTGGGTTGCCAGTCTTAACAGTACCATTCGGAGGCAACTCCTGGTGGAAGGATTTGAGTAGCTTGAGATGTCCCAAGGCAGCTTGGAGGTGCTCGTCGCTGGGCATATTCTCGCTATTAAAAAGAGGTTCATTCTGTTGGGTTTTCAGCTTCTTCATGTCGTCGATCGTCTCAATCCCTTGAATCTTGTCGTGTAGTCTGTCTACCACCTTCTTGGATGGATCGAAGACCCTATCAATGGAAACTTTCTTGTCCGACAGTTCCAGCTCCGCGATGGTCATGATCGGAGAGGCCATCGACGTGGTCGGGATAATGAAGCTCAGAGCCCCCTCAACATCCGTCTTGTACCACGCGGAGTCTGGGTTCAGGGTCACATTTTTCCCATTCAAGTACCCCGTCACCGCAGACGAAGACGAAATCCGGACCGGTGTGTCTGCAAGAGGAGACCCATTCTCATGCAGCACTTTGATGGTGGTACTGTAGCTGCGGACCTCGTACAACCCCTCATCGTGATGTAAGTAGAACGGCTTATCCAGCCATCGTCTAGTGTCCGATGCTTGTTCCAGGTGACCCAGATTTCCATCTGTTTTGGCGAGAATCACCGAGTTCCACACAGGGCCGATTGGATCTCCCTTACGGTCCTTTGGAGGGGGAATCGTCATCGGTGCAGTATATACGGCTTCGCCGGCCGGGAGGATCAAAGTGGTCTTGGGATTGGGGATAGGGTGGTTGGGCTCGGGCTCGCCCGGTGGAGATGACAGCATGTAACCAAAATCGCCTTTCTCGTTGGTAAACCATAGAATTGTCGTCAGGCTGTCTGCTCGTCCCGGCCGATATTGCGTGATTTCCATGGACTGGCAGCCTCGCACATCCGCGTCTCCGCTCACCAAAATCGGGTCCCGTGAATGTGTGCCGACTAGATGGAAACGGGAATAGTAGATTCCATCTGCGGTGGAAATGTAGATTCCCATCGTTGCAGCTGAAATGTCCCCCACAGAGGCAATCGCCATCGCTGTGCCTGGTTTTTCTCCGTCAACGACTTTCTGGGCCAAGCTTTCATTCCCATGTGGACGGAGTGACTTGCCTTGGGGACACTTCACTATGCGTGTCACATCAAGCGCAACTTTGCCGTGTAAGTAAAGAAAATTGCCAATGATTTGCATTGTCCCGTCCTCCTTCTTATATAGCACAGCAATACCGTGAAACTGATCGAAGGTTGCCGGAACAATCTGTATAATTCCCGTGGTGTCTGGCGGATCCAAGATCTCCCACGCCCTCTTGAAAGTACCAAATGTCTTCATTGCTGACCACTTACTGAAGGAATCGTTTGTCAGGATTTGCGTCGTAAACTCTGACCATGTCTGTGGTTGATTGCGAAGCTTGTGGACAAGGACGACCAGGGGGTAAGTGGGTGTATGAGAATGCTTCATTATCGGTGTCTAAGAACACGCAAGCTCCTTGTCAGCCATGCCATTGGGACTGGTAGGACTCATATACCATGACTATCTGATCAACAGACTCAAATTGCGTGGAGTCTCCTTCAACCGTCTCCAGCTTGGCACCGTGAACCAAGGAATCTGGCGCAAATGGCTTTGCCAACACCACCTGGGACGTAGTAGAACTGGTGGAATAAGCGAACGCAAGATATAGTGTGCGATAAAAATCCTGAAGAACCTGGAACGCTTGGATGGGGGCGTTATCAGGAATGTCAAAACAAGCCCCCAGATTGAGAACATGCTGGGCATCGTGTTCATTGTGACGGACTATATTGATCTTGGGTTAGATTGGGATCTTTCCGGTATTTCTTCAAATTCAATGGACGTACTGATTTCAAGCCTTGGGTTCTCATCATCCGACAGACCAATGACCATATGGCGATCGTTTTCGTCCATGACGTTATGGAACTGTCTTCCATTGTTACCGGGTCTGTTGGTAGGACCGGGTTTAAAAACCGGGGCGGGGCCCCCGGAGACCATGTTCGTCATGAACTCGGAGCTGACATTGACGGAGGCCATTTTGGATTGGATAACTGTTTGTATTGGATAGATAAGAGAAAGGCTAGGGATGTGAACAAGCCAGGACGGTCGTTTCCCGGGGAGGGCTGTCGAACGAGGTTTATATAACCTTCGTCAGGTATGACCAGCAAGGTGGAAGCAGATATGGGAAGAGCAGGTTCTTTGCTTTTGCACGTCATATCGCAGGTAATCCTGAGAATTGAGAGACCTGAAATCAGCGGTCAGTGATGCAGAGTGCTGTTTTTCTTTTGTTATGTTGTCTGGAGGTGCATTGCTGCAAGCTCGAGGCCTCCCTTCCCCTCATCGTGCAGAGAGACAGCAAAGGCAGCATGGGCGAGCCACTCGTAAAACGCAGTAGCAGTCGAAATGGGCACATGTAGCTGTTGATCATGTATTCAGTAATGGCTTTGGACTCAATTGGTCAGACTGGTCATACCTCTGCGAGTCCCGACCCCTCCCTCACCCATGCGAGGACATAGAGGGATACGAAGGGAAGCAAGGCTGGAACAGAGGCACCCAGAATGTGTATTCATATTTGAGAATCCATAAACTAGAGGGGATCGGAAAATATACAGCAGAAACATATCATGAATACTGAATAGCAAGCTTGGTTCATTCCATGACCCCGCTTTGGACAACCATCCAAAAGTTGAAAGAATCCATGATAGAATAGACCATATGCAAGACACTTCACTGTACATGCACGCCCCTCTTGAGCTCTTTTTTTTTGTCACCTCACAGGGTTGGGCATCCCCTCCTTGAACAAATGAGGCTCCCCCTGGGGTTTTTTTCCAGCCAGCCAACCTGAATGCCAAGCTGTGATGTGGCGTTTCTTAACTTGATACTGAAAAGCGGGTATGTATATGGGCGACCTAACAGAAAACCTGCAGACTCTGTGGGAACGCAGGTTGGATTGCGCATGCTAGTATATATGGGTGTCTGGGGATGTCAACCAAGCCCAAGGAAGCTTGAAATATAGTTGGTTTTTTTAGACTAGTGGCATGGTCGGCACGCCCCAGAGCGTAGCGTGACAGTGGGAGGACCGATCTCATGATCAAAATCTTGACAATTTTGATCATTCTCGAAACTATGAAAAAGGTGCGAGGAGTTGCAAAATGCGAAGAGTTAAACCAAGAATGTATGTGGAAAACACCAAGTCAGTTGACGTGTTAGCTCGTTGCATCTCACTCTTCCATAGATATACCGTATATACTACGGAGTACATATACTCCATAATATTCTGGATAGAAATGGCGAAGATAGTGAAAGACCTGACGACTTCTATATTGTTCCGTTAATTCAATAATAAGCGTTGATAAAAAATAGTAATGCGTCTATTATACGCCAGGATATCATCGCCCGATAACAGCAACGCCGTCCTATCCCAGCGCCTGAACGAACTAAGCATACAAATCATGAAAAAAGAAAAAAAAAAGAAAAAAGAAAACGGTAGAAAATAGGAAGAAGATGAAAAAAAAACTACAAATGTCCATGCAACTTCACCCGATACAAACAAGTATCATCAGCGCCCCAATTGTTCTTAGCCCGGATCACCACATGATCCACCCTTAGAGACGGCATGTCGAGGACCGCATCGAGGTCAAACGTCTGCACATGCTGCGGACGGTTGATGTCGTACGTCCACTGGCCGACGCGGTAGAACGACAGGCCCAGGAGCGGGTCGCCGTAGTAGGCCGACTCCGGCTGGCCCGGGTAGGCGAGCTTGAGGGTCTCGATGACGGTGTCATGCAGGGAGAAGCCCTCGCGGACGAGGGGCGTGGACTGGCGGCTGAGGTGGGCCAGGCCCTGGTGCCAGGGCGTGTTGGCCGCGCCGTCGACGATGGCGAACCGCACCCACAGCTCCATGTCGCGCGGGGCGACCTCCGGCCGGATCGTGGCGCCCTTGGGGATGTGTTCGACGACGACCTCCTCGGGCACGATGCGCTGCTGGAGCAGGACGGACAGCTGCGACATCCCGCGGCGCGGCTTGCTGCACCAGCATTCGCCGACATCCTGCCACGGCGTCAGCGCCGTCAGGGCCGGCTGGGGCTTGCGGGCCATGCTGCCGGGGAACATCTTCTCGTAGTATGATTGCTTGATGCGGGATGATGGGCTCGTTCTGTGCGGGTCGATGATGACGCCCATGCCGAGGGAGAGGAAGTTGGTGCGGGCTCGGCCCGTGCGCCCCCCCGACTCGACGACCGTGGTGGCCGCCGGGATGTTCTTCACTTCGGTCTTGATGGTCTTAACCTCGCGCGACAGCGACGACACCTGCGTGCCCAGCTTGAATACCTCGTTGAGACTGTTCAGGGCGGCTAGTTTGGTTCCGCTCGGGCTGGCGGACGGGCTCGTGCGGCCCAGGGGGAAGAGGTCGCGGGCGACGTCGACGATGACATCGCCATACGACACGGCCGCGCTGATCGACCCGACGCCCACCACCACGAACCACATGATCCGGACCAGATAGCCGAACAGCCATGCTACTCCGCGAGGGTTGGTGGAAGAAGGCCTGGCGGGCGAGGCACTTTTGCGTTTGACCGACTCGACGACGGCCGGCTCGGGGGTGCGGGATTTGGACTTGGAGAGCGACGGTGGGGGGACGGGGACGACGAGAGCATGGAGAGCGGCTCGTCTTCCTCCGCGATGGGCTCGTTGACGAACGCGAGCCCCGAAAACCGGCGGGGCGGCGCGCTGATGTTCTTACCCTGCGGGCCTTTCTTGGTCGGCCCGACGCGCTGCAGATCGTCGTCGTGGACCTCGCGCTCGACATCCCACGAGATGGTGGAGTCATTGTCGGCGAAGTGCACCTGCAGCGAGCTCTCTAGATCCGCGTCGTTCGGCGCCGTGGGTCCTAGCTGCATCATGGGAGTCGGATAGTGGAGATTGTTGGCCGCCTGCGAAGCCGGGGTGGACACTTCGGAGAAGGTATGCGGGACCGGCGGCGTCGGGGTAGGCGAGTCCATCGCATCTTGCAGCGAGCCCATGAGCTGAACTTGGTCCGGGGTGGGTTCCCGCCGACGGACCGGCGAGGCTGTCCGTTTCCGTGCCGAGCGGGTGTTGTGCTGGTCGTCCTCACGCTCCTGGGCCATCTGAATGCCCTCGTCGATGGCGTCGGCGATTTCCGCTAGACCCATTCGAGGTCGCGCTCGTAGCTCGCGTGGCAGCAGAGGGGTCGATGTCGAGCCGTAGGCGAACGAATGCTTGGTGGGAAGGTCGGGTAGCGTGGGTTTGGCGGCCGGGTTCATGTCACGGAAGTAGGATTCGGGGGTCTGCTCCTCGGGGCGAGTTGGGGTTGCGCCCTTACGGCGGGCGGCCGCGCGCTTGGGAGGCATGCTGTAGGATTCAAGACTGAAATCGGGACTTCTAAAACTAGGATAGCAAAGGTGTATGGCTTGAGCGGGCGTGACGAGAGCTGATAGTAGTGAACTCCGGCTTGCAACTGGAGCTCCGGCCGAGGTCGTATCGGTCAGTCGCAGGAGTAACGAGGCCAAATGGATGAAGGAAGGAGACAAGATCAGACACGCAGCAGCGGATCGCCCATTAATTATTCCACCAGACCATGAAGTGGGCTCCGCCGCAGCGCCTCTCCACAGACAAGTGGTGTCGAGCGGGAGGGGACAAAGAGACGGAGTTGATGAAAGACGGTTGCGACCAACAATGCAATGGCGTCCCTCCTTTGTCCACTCTTCAAAGAACTTTTTAAATAGATATCCGTCGAGCAGAGTGTCGATCAAAGACTGGCTGATGGGTTGCACTCTGAACAGAGGTCGACTTCGTTCTCCGGACGAGACGCGACGCGGCGGACCGGCAACCAACGTCGGGACAATCGAGACGGGGTGGGCTCGAGACGAGATGTACTTTCCGGGATGGAACTGGGAGGGTGTTGCGACCGGGATTAGACGCGTATCGGTGGGATTGCGGAAGTTGTGAAGAAGTGGGAGGAGGGCGACGATCAACAACGTCCAGTCCAGAAAGTCGAGTTATCGATGGATGAAGGTACGTTCCCAATCGGGTAAGGCGCGTTTCCGGATGGGGTTAGGCCGGTATGGACATGCATTGGTTATGCATGCTGACTAACATACATGCAGAATCACCTATCTACGAGGATTCCGTCTTGATCGTGGCTTGATGCTTGATTCTTTGTTCGTTCTTTCCCTTTTTACCGAATTCTACAGAAAGCTCACTAGTCTGGCACCCTAAAATAGCTGAAACGAGGCGCTCTTTGTGTCTCGACCTCTTTGTCGAGTCAACCAGGTGTTACACTCGAGTCATTGTGTAGGTGAACCGGTATAGGAACAAGAAAAGATGATGACCGTCCAAACCGCCCATCGCGTCTATAAGTGCTATTGACTCCGATAATATACAGTGACCAACGCTCATGAAATACAAGTCGGACCGGGCTCCCCCACAGGGGCAGAATCCACCCGACCCACCGTCGTAAAGATCGTCTAACAGGTCCAGGCGCCCACGATGCCGTCCTTGCGGCCTTCCACCAGAAATCCATCCTTCAGGCGCACCCGTTCCACTGTGGCCGGCAAGGGGCCCTGCGACTCGTCGAGGCCAACGCCGGCGCCGCAGTCCCAGTGATGCCCGTCCGCCTTGTCGTATACCTTGACCACGTTCTCCTCGGCGGCCGTGACAATGCGTTTCGTGTCGAACATCATGCTCGTCACGGGTCGATCGTAGGCGTAGGCGTCGTAGATTGATCCCATGCGGAGATCCCAGATCTAACCGGTCAGTTGCATGCTCAAAGGACATTGTCCCGGGGGGAAGAGAAACTTACCCGGACACTGCGATCCGTGCTGCCGGTCACTAGATGGACGTCGTCGAATTGGAGACACGTCACGGGCCCCGTGTGACCCACCAGGCTCCGGTGCACCTGGCCGCTGCGCAGGTCCCACAGGCGGACCAGGCCGTCGGCTGTGCCACACGCCAGGGCGGCATCGAAGCACTGCACGGCGCCGACAAAATCGGCCGACGCATCGGGCTGACGCCCCGACGGCCGCCACTGGCCCTCGGTGCTCAGGGTGGACGCCTGCGCCGCGGCCCACAGCACATCCAGCGTCTGCACGCAGCGTCCGCGGACCAGATCCCACTGACGCAGCGTCTTGTCTGCCGACCCGGAGATCAGGGTGTTGCCGCGGAAGTGCAGCGCCGTCACCTCGTCCACGTGGGCATCCAGGGAGAACACGGCGCAGTCCTCCAGCGAGGTGGCGGGCGCGGCGCTCTCCCCCTCGTCCTCGTCGCCGCCTTTGCTGATGTTGCTGCGGCTGGGCACCGTGCGCGCGCGGCTGAGATCCCACAGTTTGACAGACGCATCCATCGACCCGGTCGCGACGATGTTGTCTTCGATCTGGAGACACCGGACCGACGCGTTGTGGCCTTCGAGGAAGCCGGTGCAGCGACCCACGTTGAGATCCCACACCCGGACGGTGTCGTCGAGGGCGGCGGTAATCATGGTTCCGAAGGGATAGTCGAAATCGAGCGCCGTGATCATATCGGTGTGGGCTTGTATTTCCTTGATCTCGGAGCCGGGGGCGAAATGTTCGTGCAGGACGGGCATGGACCGTTTCCCTAGCGGGTGAGAGGATGGATTAGCAACCAACGTCGTCTCCGCCGTGCGCGGGGGAACCGCATACTTGTGGATCGCTGCTTGATGCTCTTGGGGGAGGGCAGCTTCTGATAGATGGATTCGGACATGAACGAGGCATCCATGGCCGGATCTTCCGTGGCCGGGGCCTCGTCGGCGCTTTCGGCGGGCTTGGAGGTCTCCGAGGGGGTCGGGGTGGTTTCCTCCTCGATATCCTCCAATTTGTTCTCCAGCTCGGTCACTGGATGAATTAGTGTTATTCATAAGACGGAAGGAAGGTCAAAAAAGTACATTCATGCTCGAGATCCGCCTCCTCCGTCTCGAGACCGGCCAAGCGGTCGAGGACGATCTTGCGCATCGTATGGAGATTGGCAATCTTGTTATCGATGTCGTGAATCTCAGAGCTGCACATGTTCTTGCGCACGCCCATGCGCTCCATGCGGCGGGCCAACAGGTCGCGTTCCTGCTTGAGCTCGGTGGGGCCGGAGGGTAGGGCGGCGCGCGAGTCGCCGCCTTCGAGAAGTTTCTTGCTCTTGGAGGAGCGTCGGCGGTGGGCCTTGCGAAACTCGTAGTCATCCTGAGAGACCTGGAAGCCTTCGAAGAGAGAGTAGGAGCTGGAGTCATCGGGGATGTTGGCGAGGAGGTCGTCGGGCAGGGAGGAGAGGGCGCGGGACTGGATTTCGGAGGTGGACAGCTTGGAGCGGACCAGGTCGGTGGGGGTGGTCTGGGTCAGAGAGAAGACCCGACGTTGGGTGTTGGGACGGCGCAGCTCGCGCTGGATGTCGGCCATGGCATGGTGGTAGTGACCGGGGGGGTTGGCCACGTCGGGGGCCGGTCCCATCAAGTGGCCTGCGGTGGAAGTGACTTTTCGGCCAAAGGCCTCGATTTGGCGGCCCTAATGGAGATCGATCAGTTGGTGCATACAAACTACGGAGGAGGAAAAGAAAAGACGGACGGTGATGCCAGTTCCTAAGAGGCCGTCTTGTTCGACAATGTCCGATAGACCGGAAGGCGACTCATCCCGGCGGGGTCTATCCATGACACCGCCTGAAGAGATCTCACGGAGGGATTCAGAGACCCATGCGGGAACCGACAGTGGGGTATAATGAAGGTCAGACGAGTTGAGTCGTCCGAGCAAGGAGGCGGGGAGGAACGAAGAGAGGTAGAGAACGAGGGGGAGAAAAAGAAGAGAAGAAGATGTGATGCGGTCAAGTTGGAGTTTCGGGATGGAAAAGAAAGTTGGCTGGATTGGTTACTAGCGCGGTATGGGGGCGGTTTGGTCGGGGGATTCGGAGTGAAATGGGGGGTAATATACAGTATGGGACGGTATCACCGAGATATCAAGGCCTGAACATAAGACGATAATATAGATCATTCTATAATATATTATGATATATTATGAGATTTTCCTAGTTTCGGTGTATTCTGGTAGTAGACTGAATCGAGCAGATGACCCTCTGACCGAGCTGTTCCCATGGTTGTGAAGGACGATCCAGACATTCCTGACTCTGTCCCAAGGGAGTTATAGAGAGAAGACTCGGAATGATCGTGAACAGCCGAGGTCAAACTAACTTGCATTGATAGAATACTTTGATAATGTATAGAAATACTATAGAGTAATTGATCAGGGAGATTCTAGATATATCTCTATAGATATTAGATATCGATAAATGTAATATATTCAGGTGTATGGGTATTGTTGTATAACGCATAAACATGTGCCAGATCCGACTAAGCTATCCACTTGTGCTGCTTCTCATCTCATCTCCGACTTCTTCTCCTCCTCATCTTCTCTCTCCACACTTTTCTTTCCTGAATTCCCCCCTACATGATCGACATTTTAGTTGCTGGATTGATCCCTGTCAACGCGAACTATTTCCCTTTCTCCAATCTCCCATCGGTCAACCGTCATTGGATCCCTCAGACCCTTCTATCACCCCGAGTTTTCCTCCGCATTTCCATGGATTGAGGTCCCTCTCCTATTCGGTTCGACTCTATAAATACTAAAATAATTATTACTTCCTGAGATAACATCATGGACGCCGCGATCGATCTCTCCGACGCCTCCAAGGCCTTGGATCTGGCCAACATCCGTTTTCAGCTCATGTAAGTTGGACCTGATCCGATCGGGATGTCTACCCCGCGGCTGTTCGCATGCCCGTGGAACAACCATCACATCGATATCATATCCATACAGAGGTAAAATAATAATATAATCATCATCATACAGCCGTCTGGAAGATACCATCACCTTCCACCTCATCGAGCGGGTGCAATTCCCGCTCAATAAACCCATCTACCTCCCCGGCGGGGTCAATATTCCCGGCACCGAGGTCAGCCTCATGGACTACCTGCTGCGCGAACAGGAACGCCTCCAGTCCAAAGTCCGACGCTTCCAAGCCCCCGACGAGTACCCCTTCTTCCCCGACGTGCTCGAGACCCCGATCCTCCAACCGCTGCGCTACCCCAAGATCCTGCACGACAACGACGTCAACGTCAACGCCACCATCAAGCAGCGCTACGTCGAGGACATCCTGCCGGCCGTGTGTCCGGGCTTCGGGCGTGCCGACCGCGGCGAGACCCAGGAGAACTACGGGTCCGCGGCGACGTGCGACGTCAGCGTCTTGCAGGCGCTGTCGCGGCGCATCCACTTCGGCAAGTTCGTCGCCGAGGCCAAGTTCCAGCACGATCCAGAGACCTTTGTCCGGTTGATCAAAGCGAATGACCGCGCGGGTATCGATGCCGCCATTACCAACGCTGCGGTGGAGCAGAAGGTGCTGGAGCGGTTGGCGCTCAAGGCCAAGACCTACGGGACTGATCCGGCATTCCCGTCAGAGCAGGGGCCGAAGATCAACGTGAATGCCGTGGTGTCGATGTATAAGGTAATCTCCCTCTCGCCCCCGCCACCCGGCGACCCCGACAAACACAATTGATACTGACAATACAGGAATGCGTCATCCCCCTGACCAAGGTGGTCGAGGTGGACTACCTGATGCAGCGGCTGAAGGGGACGCAGTGGGAGTAATGGATATATATCACGAGGAACGATAGAATCACGCGTCACGTGGGAAGGAATAGATCTATAGACAGGCTAACTTTACCGATCGTAAGCTGTAAGGAATCATAGCACGAGAAAGAGGCAGAAAGAAAGGAAAAAAAAAAAAAAAGAAGAAAGATCTATGCACCCCCCCTCATATACTCCGCCATATCCTTAACCGCCCCCTCCAACTTCCCCCCCTCAAGCAACATCAAGCTCCCACCCGTCCGGATCCCCAACTCCTGGAACGCGCGCTTCGAATCCGACAGCCCCTCATCAGCGACATGATCATACGACACCGACCCAGAGCAAAGCGCATGTCGCTCCAGCACCTCATCCTCCGGATGAAAATAGAAGCGCTCAACACCGCTCCCAGCGGACTTCTTCTTCTTCTTCTGCGGGCGGGCCGCCTCCTGGTCGAGCTTGGACTCGACCTCCTCGTAGGTCTTGGAGAGGATGACGTAGTGCGAGAAGTTGTAGGGCTCCTTGTCTTCGATGGCCCAGGCGATCTCCTCCTGCAGCATGGTGTACATGGGGGGCACGACTTCCGAGGGCATGTTGATGAGGCGCTCGGTGAGGACGAGGCCGATGGGGGGCGGGGGGACTGGGAGAGGAGGGTGGCGAGGGGGCGAGCGAGGGGGTGGATTGGGCTTTGCGGTGGAGGTAGCGCGTGAGGTCTTTGATGACGGGTTTGTCCTGCAGCTTGTTAGATTGGTTGAGAGAGACCATTGTACAAATTAGTGTATCCCACCTGATGCTCCTGCAGGTTCAGAACAGACAAAAACGCATACGGATCCGACTCATTGCCGTCTACCTTGACGGTCGAACCGAGCGTCGGCTGCGACAGGATCAGGTCCGCCAACGCAGACATGTCAAAGTCGATGGCGTCGGTGTCGAACAGCTGACGGAGGAGGTTCTTCAGACCGTGAAAGTCGACCGCTGGCTGAGGATCAAACCATTCAAAGTCGACGTTCACCATGTCAATGTCCTACGTTATTGATTTGCGCGGTTAGCAGTCGTTCCTGGGGAATGGTGTGATGATATTGTTGCGGTGGTATACCTCGTCGTCCGAGTCCTCCGCTCGAACACGCGGGTCGGTACCCCCCATGTCGACGTCGCCGTCTTTGACTTGCTTGCGCTTGACCATTGTGTATAGTGTATCAATTGTTGGTATTGGTTAATTGATTGAGGAGACGAAGATGAAGATATGAAGACAAATCTTATCGGCGGTCGAAAAAGTTGCTCCGGCCCCGCGCTAAACCGCTTTCGTCTTATCGCTCCTACTACTAAGGGATTCGACAAGTCAACAACCCTACTCTACGGATATCATGCATGTTATTGATATATTTCTTACTTTTTTGAGTCTTGGGTGGATGGCTGAATAGGATCGAAACAATGTATTCTCCTACAAGTCAAGATTACTGCCTCAGCTGTCTTAACAAAGCTGTGTCCTGGTTTCAGAGAACTATCATGGTACGGAGTATAAAAGAAGAATATTATAATCGACAGCCAATGCATAATGGCACATAGGGTAATCTGATCTGCGATAGTTAGCGGGACCCGTTAAACCATTCATTTTGACTCAAAGCCTGGATCATAATCTCTTCTGCCTGCGCCATGGCGTCTGGTAACCCCGACTCATTGGCAGTCGTCCGTGCCCTACTATCCCGACACTCGGGGGCTCTCCCAACACCACCAAATAGTTCAGCATCCCATGGGCTATTCTCCGACAGAGACTCTCAGTAAGTTTATAGGAGACTTGATCAATTAAATGTCTCGATGATGGGCAGCTGCCGGCATTATCAGGTGATCTACTCCGTACGAGAGCATCAAGGACGACCCGTTGCCGTGGCAACAGAGAATTGTCCCCTTTGTTCTGTTCTCATACAAATCTATCACAAACAGTACTTCTTCCTGCTCACCTACCGCCGTCTTCCTTTTTCACCTGAATCGCGTCTTCTTCGACTCGGCTTGTTTCCTTGATTTGGTGAGACGAGAGCGAAACCACTATGGCGACTAAGGCGCTTGAGGCTCGTTTCGGGCATCTATCCGTTCATGACGACAATGATGGGCATCATAGGACTCATTCAATCCGAAACTCCAAGGTATGTGATCTCTCTGAAGCCTTTGCAACATGTATTAGGAGCACAAGTGACAACAGGAAGCAGGTTGCAACCACCAGCACACGTCGATCGGACGGAACCCGGCCACGAGAGAACCCCAATTCTGATATGTATAGACTGCACTGCACGATAATCGACGCCGCAGATTCCCAACAAAATAGTGGCAAGTCTCTTCGGCGAACTCGAAAGCCGCTTTCAGTTGTTTCGACGCAGACGCTCAATGAAACCGATAAGTCAGAAGGACACCACGTCACTGGTACAAAGCCACAGAGTGCACGCTTCGATAATGTCGCCCCCCAAGTGGCTCAAGCCAAAAGTGGACGGACATATTCCAGAGCTCTACATCCCCTCTCTGTTATGGTTTCGCAGACATCAGATGGTGTGTCCGAGACCGATGAACAGAATGTTAGTCATTCCAAGCGACAAGGCACTGCCGCCAACCATGTCGCTTGCCAAGCAGCTCAAGCAAAGGGCGGACAGGCAACTTCCCTGAGTCGACACAGCCGCTCTATTTCTCTGTCAAAAACACCAAATGCAGTGGTGAGGGCAGAAAAAGACTCCGCCCAGCTGACCAAGCAACCGGTTCCCAAGCTGTTCCATTTAGGCATGTTCGAAATTGGTCGACCCCTAGGAAAGGGAAAGTTTGGCCGAGTTTATCTCGCGCGAGAACGACACACTGGTTTTGTTTGCGCATTGAAGGTACTACACAAGGATGATATCCAAAGGGGACGGGTAGAAAAACAGGTAGCTCGTGAAATCGAGATTCAGAGCAATTTGCGCCACCCCAATATCCTACGGTTATACGGTCATTTCCATGATCGGAAACGAATATTTTTGATCCTCGAGTATGCTGGCAAAGGTGAACTGTACAAGCACCTACAGAAAGCAGACCGCTTCCCAGAGTGGAAAGCAGCCCAATACATCGCCCAAATGGCAACTGCTTTACAATATCTCCATCGCAAACATGTCATACACCGGGATATCAAGCCCGAGAATATCCTTGTGGGTCTTCACGGAGAGCTGAAGATGTCAGACTTTGGCTGGAGTGTCCATGCGCCAAGTGGCCGCAGGCTCACGCAGTGTGGAACACTGGACTACCTGCCTCCGGAGATGGTCGATCCAAAAAGGTATGAGAAGCCGTATGACGAAAAGGTAGATCTATGGTCCCTAGGGGTTTTGTTGTACGAGTTTCTGGTTGGACAAGCACCATTTGAGGACACGCCTGCCATGACGCAGAGGCGAATCGCCAAGGGGGACATGACAGTTCCTTCTTTTGTTAGCTGTGAGGCTCAGGATCTTATCAAAAAAGTGAGATCACCTTTCAGAATTGGTATCAACCAAGTACTAACGATGACCAAGCTACTCGTGGTTGATTCTGATGAGAGAATTTCCTTGAAGAAAGTTTTGGAACATCCTTGGATTCTCCACCACTGCGAGAGCCGTGCCAGGCAAGATAAGTCTTAAGTCACGGCAGGGGCGGCTTCATGTAATCTTGACTCCAGAGTCTTACGTAGTGTTGTTTCGGGGTAGATTGTGGCGGATTCTGGGGGTCCCCCCCAGAAATATGACTTCTTTCGGATATTTAATATTTTTCAAAGTGATATATATAATATCAAACTTGAACAATTTACCCTTTAATTCTAAGATCTATATCTCTGGGACTGGCTCGGTTGTTAAGCTTTGAACTTGGTAATCCTTACTATCTCATAATATATATATATTGAGTCTCACCTAATATGTCAACTCACCACTTCTCGCAACATATATAAAACCATGAAGACTAGCTTCTACTATAAAACACGTTTCGATTAAAAAATGAATAATAAGGATATGAGCTTCCATAATCTAGTTCCCCCACAAGGTAAGCTCAAACATCATGGTATAAGCCGATAAATTATGATATATACCTGCCTAGTTAGTAGATAAGCTAGTTTGGGGTCTCCGGGTTCTGGCGGATCCTACCGGATCCTGACCTCTGGAACTCGGCCCCGTTCGGGGTCTGACCCTCCGCCCCGGACCCCAATCCGCTCCGGATTAGGGCGATCCGGGGGGCGGTCCGGGGTTGGGGTTCCGGGGTCAGCCCTGCCAGTTCAGTTCAGCCAAGGTACAAGCACTTTTACCTCCAAGATAATGCTGTCTACAGCCATCCCAAAGATCGCTAGCCAATGTTTTACACAGTGAAGAATACCGTTCCTCAAAAGACAAACCTACTGGCAGATTCTGTAAGCATACAATGTAGGAGTAGGACAAACACGACAAACAACGAAACCGGGGCGCTTGAGGCGCCTGGGGCAGTCCAGAACCCTGCCACCGTCCTGCAACCACTTTATATCCCCTAGCCGGGTCAGGATCACTATGCACACAGCTGAGGCTGTTCGCCGGAACTGATCAGACTCAAGATGCTGGCCGACCTTCCGTTGGAAATACTGGATATGGTGATTGGCCGAGTAAGTCAATGTCCTGATCACGTCCTTCACTAGCTTACCGTTGAAGATTGCCAGCCATAGGGATCTGAAGCAGCTCTGTGAAGTCAGCACGCGTTTTCATAGTATCGTCATTCCACATCTATATCAGTCTCTTATCCTGGCCGCACCGGAGCTATCGTTAGAGGGCTTAGCTGCGATTTTGGAGAAGATACCCCGGAAATACTTGAAGTTCACACAAGAACTCGGCTTCAGCGTGCCGATCCATGAATTAGTCGAATACCGCTGTGTACACCACGGTGGTAATGGGCACCTAATTGATGACGCGGTTCAAGATCAGCTTGTTGGATCTCTTGCAAATGATGACTATATGAGCTATGAAGAGATGGACAGGATTACAGATGACGACACGGACAAGGTGAGTATTATGGATTTGTTTTCAACACCGGACACTTGAAGGTCTAATAGTGAGTGGATTGTCCCAGGGCTGCATCCGGGACTCTCTCTCTAGTTTAGCTTCTGCGTTGGATTCGGTGAGGTTTCCAGATGATCACTTACGAAGATTTCGGTTTGTACTGTGTTCCTTACCTTGGGCAATCGCTTATGTGATTCTAGGTGGGAGGTAGGAACATGTATTCCAGAGGTTCTCTTTTGCGGCCCAAACTCTCTTCTCGGGAATCAAGGGCAGATCCAATCCATTAAATTGATTACCGATGGTGAATGTGGCGCGAATAAAAGCGCGCAGAACTCTGTTAACCATGTCCAATTCAGAGACTTACAGTCCCTTGATTGGAGGGGTTTGAACCAATTCGATGACTTCGAATCCGTCAGGCAATGTATCAAAGCCCATGGCCACCAAATCAAATCACTTACTCTGGACCTTTTGACATGGATTCGTGCAGAGAAAATCTGGGCTGACGGATTCTGCCAACGGATGCCCCAACCCATAAAGACTCCTGATAACTTCTTCTCACAAAGTGTGCTTGATATCTACCCCCGAGACCAAAAGATTATCTTTTTAGCTCTGGAAGATCTCCATCTATCAGCTGTATCTTTCTATCATACCGGCATGGAAATGGTCCACGCTTTTCATATCGAACGCCTGAAGAGTCTAAGATTGCGGAACTGCCCAGGATCGCTTGGCTGGTTACGCATGATACTCAACTCTGGAAAGTCAACGAAGTTGAAAACCCTCGAACTTGCTTTTGATCTCAATAGCCTGGAGAGAGATACATACATGCACATCACGGAGACGATCTGCGATTTTGTTCATGACTTTTCTAGCTTGGAGAGTGTGTATCTAATGCTCCCTGAGCCCGTTAATTGGGGCAGGCTTATACATACCCTGTCAGGCCACCGTCACCTTAAGCGCCTTGTTGTTCATCATCTGGTGGATAGAGGTGGCCAGAATCTCATTGATGGAGATATACCATGGCCTTCACATTTGGATCACACGCTGCAAGAAAGCCAACTAACTTGCTTTGGAGCCTCTATCCCACCCATGGAGTATTGATCGCGATCCTTAAATTTGTATAACTTCTAATTGAGAACCAGGGCAGTTGTTTACAAAGGATTTAGCCAAGACCGTCATGCAAATTGATACATGTTAGGATAAGTGGAGTGGTCCTAGACAGACTTATCAACTCTGTGAAACCTAACTGGTCTTCTTCATCTCTCTATTCCTATAAGTATGGCGATGGTCAGTTGATTCCACCTATTCAAGTCTAAAATCGAAAATTATGACAGAAGTCTAAACTCGGAGCAGATTTGCCATATAAAACCAAGGAAATATACGATTTTGCGTTCAGTGCTGATGGTCTTCCGAGCCTCCAAGTACTCGCCTTCGGAGACTTCTCCCATGGAGGCCGCTATTTGAAAATCTGGTAGTGGCTGCCGAACCTTGAACCCCTCTGACATAATGTCTTGGAATCTTGTTCAGGACAACATGGATATGCTAGCAGCTTGCCCTTTTGATGATATCCTGCAATAGATGAGGTACACTTGCAGAGTGTGCACAACAAAAAGGTCCCATTACAAAGCCTTGAGTTTTGTTCGAGATAGACCAAGTCAGGAGGCTCGACACGTTCTGACTCAAGTGACGTCATGTTTTCAATTGACTCTAATGAGTTGAAGGAGCCCTATTCGTGTAAGTTCCCATTGCTTGTTGCATAAACATAGTACAGCAGCAAATATGCCTTAGCCCTTGACCAGGAAAGTGCACCGCGCTATAAATAGTAGCTCAGCGCTGTATTGACCCATCGCCTACTGTTTGGTTTGCACAAGCTTCGTCTCCTCGAAGTAATCGATATGAATCCCGTCCGAATTGGAGGTGTGTTGCTGTGATCTCCGAGTTGAATTTCATGGCGAATGAGCAAGGAGAGGAGAGGGCCTAAACGATACCGTCTACGAAGCGCGGCAGAAATAATATTTAATGATAAATCGTGCAGTAACTGTGTGACTAATAATGAATGACAGAGTCACTAGTTAAATTTAAACGCATACAACATCCCTTTGGATATGACCGCTGGCACTTGCGCTCAACCCCTGTATGCCCATATCTGGTAAGGATATGGCCCTTGTGACCCCTACTATGGCCGTTGCTGTCTTGAACTTTTGACAATGAACTCGCCCTGTGCATCGACATTGTTCTCGGGGAGGAACAAGCCGGAGGTCTACAGTGGATTCGATGTTGCGCATCCCTGACAGGCGTCGCGACGGGGTAACCCTAAGTCTGCCGATCTCGACTGGCGTCCTCGCTGAACTTTCAACCAATGCTGATTGCCCAGTCCTTTTGTCGGAGCCATTCTGGTCTAAACTCGCACTACGCCACGATCAGCATGGTGTAATGATCGTCACGCCCGTCCAACTGCACCATTGGCTCCATAGACCTGTCATCGCTTGAACGTTGGACATGACCCCACATTGCACGGGGACCAAGCATCCGGATGGGACGGAGAACGTCCCGTCCCCGCTTCACGGTGGGTAGATAGCTGTCCCCCTTCCCTGCGTGGGTCAAACGCTGCCCCGAGGGTCTGGCGATCAAATCAAGGAACCTAATCAGCCGAGGAGCGAAGTGTTTCTCCAGCGGGCCTGGATTCTGTTAATAAGAAAAACCTGGTCCTTTTCTTGTCTGATGCTGAATATTGTCGGCCATTGGTTTCGTTATCCCCCCAGTAAAATATCAAGTACCGCCACCATGGGCATCACCAGTCTGGCCAGCGTCCTTCTAGGACTCGCAGTGCTGTATGTCCTGAAGCAGCTGCTGTCGTCTCGAACGAACCGGACCCCCCTGCCCCCGGGACCCAAGGGCAAGTTCCTCATCGGCAACCTGGGGGATCTGCCGCCGCCGGGGACGAAGGATTGGGAGCATTGGGCCAAGTTCAAGGAGTCATACGGTAGAGTCCACCCCAGCATGCTTGTTGCCTCGTCACAAAACAGCCATTCGAGTCAACCACCAACAATGATTGAATAGGCCCCATCAGCTCCATTACCATCCTCGGCCAGACGATCGTCATCATCAACGACGCCCGAACCGCCTTCGATCTAATGGAAAAGCGCTCAGCCATCTACTCATCGCGGCCGCGCATGACGTTTGCCGGCGAACTGTCCGTCTCCCACCCATCCCTATCGCACTGGTCTCTCTATTCGACCCGTATAGTTAGTAACCGGGACATAACATGTAAAATAGGATCGGCTGGGACGATATAACTGGCATGCAACCCTACTCGGACAGCTTCCGCACCTACCGCAAGGTGATACACCGGGTGCTGGGGTCCAAAGCGACCGCTGCGCGCTTTAACCCGCTGCAGGAGGTCGAGATCCGCCGGTTTCTGCTGCGGGTTCTTGATCGCCCGGATGATCTGGTGCAACATATTCGGACGTATGATCTCATCCATTTCTTGGTCCTATCGCTTTTCTATTCCCGCGTATGAGTAAGGGTAGGATCTGGCGAACTCATATTGACGGCTACCAGAGAAGCGGGAGCGGTGATCCTGAAAATCGCATACGGGTATACGATCGAGCCACACGGTCGCGATCCGCTCGTCGATATGGCCAACGATGCCATGGAGGAGTTTTCCATGGCGGCAACGCCCGGGGTATGGTTGGTGGATACGATCCCCTGGCGTAAGACAGCCCACCCTCGCCCGACAGGATGAAGATAATAACGATACCAATCGTGCAACTAGTGAAACACCTTCCCGGCTGGCTTCCAGGCACCGGGTTCAAAAAGACGGCGGCAGCATGGCGAAAGACACTCCTCAACACCATCGAAAGGCCCTACCGGTTCGTGGAGGAGCAAATGAGCCGGGGGACATACGCCCCCTCGTATGTGGCCAGCTTGCTGGAAGAGGACTCTGGTCAGTGGACAGCAGAGGACGAGCGAGTCGCGAAGTGGACGGCTGCATCGTTATACCTGGGTGGCGCCGACACGGTATGTCCCTCAGACCATGTCCATTCCCTCCACTGTCCAACTATGCATCCATGCATCCGCAGCCAGGGAAACACGGCACTAATGACGGCGATGCAACCTAGACCGTCTCCTCTCTCGCCTGTTTCTTCCTCGCCATAGCGCGCAACCCAGACGCGCAACGCAAGGCCCAGGAAGAGATCGACCGGGTGGTAGGCGTGCACCGCCTACCCACCTACGCCGACCGCGAGAAGCTACCGTACATCGACGCGCTCGTCAAAGAGACTCTCCGCTGGCACCCCGTGGCGCCCATGGCTCTCCCGCACGCGTGTATCCAAGACGACATGTACTCGGGGTATCGGATCCCGAAGGGGTCGCTGATCCTGCCCAACATCTGGTTATTCCTCCTCCGCTCATCATAACAAATATGACAATGCTGACACCGTAAACCAGGGCCATGACGCACGACCCAGCCGTTTACCCCGACCCTATGGAATTCCGACCAGAGCGCTTCCTGGGCCCGACTCCCGAGCTGAATCCGCATACGCTGTCCTTCGGGTTCGGTCGACGCATTTGTCCAGGGAAGCTGCTCGCCGATAATACCATTTTTCTGAGCATTGTTCAGTCGCTGGCCGTGTTCAATGTTAGCAAGTTAGAGGGGACAGGCGAGGAGACGGGGTTCCTACCAGGCGTGGTGAGCCACCCGGAGCCGTTTCAGTTGCGGGTGCGGCCGCGGAGTGAGGCGCATGAGACACTGATTCGGACTGTGGAGGCTGAGCATCCGTGGGAGGAGAGTCATGCGAAGGAGATTGAAAAAGTTTAGTATGGGGTGGATAGAGATGGGTGGTTGATTGTGAAGATGGTGTCATCATGGGAAGTGAATGAGTTTCTTTTGGAGGATTTCTCTCATCTCGGACTTGTATATACCTGGTTTGATATTGGTCTTTATCCTAGGTCATAAAATTACGTATATCCGATGTTTACTATGATAGCTCTACAATAAAGGAATCTATCTATTAGAGGTGTGATAACTATGACCAACCCGGAGTTGGAAAATATGTCTTTCGAGTACCTATGTATGGGTGATGGCTTGCTGTCTGGTGTCAATCAATATGCCATAACAGCCTCAGAAGATATGATGCGAGATATCATCCTAAAAGGTCCTCACTCATTGTAAATCTAGACTGATTGATCTCAATGTTGTCAATAATCACGTCGAGCACGTGATACCACCAACCCTTATGCCCAGTAGATACAGCACCAAGCGAAGAAGAAAAAGACCGAAGATTAGAGAAGCAGCATGAAAAGAACAGAATAACAATGAACAGAACCAAAAGAACACACAAGAAGCATAACGAAAAGAAAAGCAGAGAAAGAAAACGAAGTCAAAATCCATGATATCATAACCCCTACGCCAAATCAAGATCAACAGCCTCAACCCCAGTCAAACCAGCATCAAAAATGGAAACCATGACACAAGCCCATCCACTCCCCATCCACAATCTACCAGCCCTTCCAAGCTTCCACAGTGGAAGCACTAGAAGGAACGACCACTACCAGGTTGTGTGCGGACCCACTCTATGATCTCAGCGACTTGGACCAACCCACCCAGGATATGATGTCATGGGCGTGTAAGCCAACATAAAGCGAGACGATATCGTCGTCGTTGGACACCCATCCATATCCAATCCATCTCACCAAACTCTCTCTACTATCAACATTCTCTCCTTCCTCATCCACTACTTCTCCTCACCAAACACCACCACAACAACCACCACAATGTCGCAGACGCACTCCAATGTCGGAGCCGGCAACCTCTACGTCGCCGGTGACCAGCGTAACATTTCTCGCGCCGAGGCTCAGCAGCAACATGAGCCCTACAAGGAGGGTGTGCCCCACAGCCACAAGAACCTTGACTCGAGTATGTCACCACCCATCCACCGCCCATAACCCATATGGATCCAGGGAAGAGATAACTAACGAAACGCAGAGGACGGACGCTCCATCGCCAACAGACTCAACGCGCAGGAGCGCAAGGACGACCCCAGCCATCACCACAACCGGGAGTATGATCCCGAGGCGGAGCTGAGCAAGCAGGATCCCACCAAGCCGGTATGCTCTAACCATCTCTCTCTCATTCTTTGACATGTGCATGTGACTGATGATTTCTTAGGCGGTATTGCACGGCCACGAGCCCTCCAAGGGCGCCAAGATCGACAAGGAGATCCAGCAAGAGGAGCAGGAGATCTTGAAGAAGAAGGGCGTCGCGTAAAGGTCTTGCATTTCCTAAAACAAGATGTCGATATGAAACGGTTGCATAATACGAACAAATGTGAACAGGATGGGAGTTTGGGTTATGGTGATTGATTGATTGATTGGTTGATTGGCTGTGCCAGGTTTAGCATGTATTATAGGGTACTATGTGCTGTTTTCCATTCCGGGTTCATGAATGAATTGATATGTTGAATGATTTTGGTCTGCTATGTTCTGCTTCGTCTGATTATTATATACATAAGAAGTCGGGGGATGATTAGGTACAGCGGGTTATTCAGTAGTCGTTGCTCGTAACAAGATGTCATGCACGGATGTCCAAGTTAGGTCCAAGTTAGGTCCAAGTTGAGATCCAGGCCCAGATTTAGGTCCAAATCCAGTGGTGTCCAGGCAGGTCGTAGGCAGATCTCCCAGGTACCAAAGGCTCAAACGTAAAGTGTGAGAGATCTCAACCAGCCACGAACTTAGGATCGTCGTCGTGCGGCTCCGCAAATACACTCTGCCAGTAGTGTTCCACATTCCTGCAGACGTCGCCCTTCCCTTTCCAAGCCTTGAAGTCGATGTCCTTGTTGCAGCTGACCCACTTGATCTCCTCCCAGTACGACCGCTCCGCGTCGGATCCGAACCGCGTCAACACGTCCGCCGGCGCCGTCCACGCCCGGCCCTCGCTGCCATCCGGCTTGATCGTAGGGGTCGTCTCGAAGGACGTCCCGAAGACGTCCTCGCCAGGGTTGAACTTGGGGTAGTTGGCGTGGATGAAGAACACCCGCGGGGGGTTGGCGACGGCCGGATCCTGGACCCGCCATTTGCCCTCGCTGGTCAGGGCGTGGTCGGCCAGGGGGTCGGCCTGCGCCATGGCGGAGGCCGAGATCTCGCCCTCCTTGTCGTGCCCGATGGCCTGTACGCGTTCACTCACGGCGTAGAACGGTTTCCCCACGGCGGAGGCGGCGTGGAGCAACGTTTCCTTGTCGCCGTCGCTCGGGCCGCCTTGCGACAGGAGTCGGAAGTAATGCGATGGGCCGTAGAAGTTGTAATACGCCGCCAGGAGTAACGTGTTCCAGTGGGTCTTCTTGGAGACGAGGAAGACACCCGTCTCCGTCGACTGTCGCTCCGTCATGGGAGGAACCGGTTGGCCGGAGATCTTGTAGTACTGGGGCGACACGGACGACGTCCAGAAGTCAGGCCAGGTAACTAGCCCTTTCGACTTGAAGGGTTCATTGTTGAACAGGATCTCCGGCTTGTCTAGCGCAAAGCAATCCGCATCCATCCAGATGACCTCCTCAAAGGACGAGAACAGGACAGCAAAGACCTTCAGTTGGTAGTATTCGATGGCGGCCTTGCTCATGACGTCGGACAGGATGAGGCAGCGTGCGCCCATGGTGGGAAGGATATGTTCGCAGATGTGCTTCTCGTATTCGCCCCCGTCCCTCATATACACCTCGACCGGCAGCGTCGACCCCGTGCGGCGTAGCATCCGGAGAGCCGCCATGAACACAGGCAGATAGGTCTGTCCCGCCGTTGTCACCAAGCCCCGTGTACCGGCCGAATGCACCGGGCGCAGCCGACTCGACGTGCTCACTTCGTGGAGGTATTTGGCATGGGCCTCCTCCATCGCGTGGAGATCGCCATCGCTGAGGGTGACGAGGTCGGGTCGGGGTTCGGTTGTTGAGGCATTGAAGTACTGGGCGGGGGCGGGTTCCCGGAGTGTTGGCTCGGAGGTACCGGGCGCGTGCGATTCAAGGATGGGCTTGAAGGCCTTCCAAAAAGCCGCCTGTCGTTCGTTTAACGGGACTTCGAAAACCGTGACGGGGACAACGGAGGCCGGAGTTGGCGTCCAATTGAGGTAAATGGTGCAGACCACGATCAATGCGGTGACCGCATAGAAGATGTTGCGCAATTTATTCGATCGAAAGACAACCATATCGGCGGTTTAGAGGGTATTAAAGTGTGAGGAATGGTATCTGGTATTTGAATGACCTCCGATAGGTCTAGAAATATGAAAGACGGTCCTCCTCAACAGCACGTTGACATGGCAGGCGGATGGCGACTGGGGGGAGTAGGCAGGAGATCCGTTCCTGTTCAAGTTCCGGACTTGTCGACGGGTTTGCGACTGACAAGAAAAGAGAGACAACGCTGAGAAAATGGAAGAAGAACCAAATGCAGTGGACTGCGGAGATATCAGGGGGTAACGGTGATCAGGAGATGGAAAGAAGTCGGCCATCTTGATGACGGGAAGCCGAAATTCGCCCCCCGGAAGGCGGTTGGCGCTGGCAGAATCGGTCTTTCTACCGTTGGGCATCAGACCTGGTGGGACTGATATCTTCCTGAATAGAGATGTACAGGAATTGGATAGAACTTGACGAGAAAAGGGTGGAAAAGTAGAAATAAACATGATTAAAGTAGGAATCGAACCACGTGGAAAGTCCGTTACCCAAACCAGTTTAGCCCCATATCAATGTCTGCTATACTTCCGTGCTGATTCCAGTCGTGATCATCGTCGATCCATCGCCTGGTCAATTGAACCATACCTAGGACTCGACAGGACGCATAGGGACCCAAGGCCAAGAACGGCAGGATGAGCCTGCGCAGGAGAAAATACAGGCGGGACAAGTCGCATCCTATCATCCCCGAGCGCCGGCCTATCTAGAACCCTGAATGATAGACTGCACCATTGAGACAGTGTGAGGCCATTATTACTTCCCAGGAGACTAAGAATTGATGATTGTTCCCGGTGTTAAGTGAGCCTCTGCTGGCTGATCTGGCCGGTAGAACTTGTTACACACTCATACCAACCACGTTGGCAACAGCGATTGAGGACGTGGGGATCTAAATCTGGAATTCGGGCTTGTTTTTATCAGGGTCTAGTGCACCATTGCATCAAGGGACGAACAATCCGCCCGCGAAAGAATTGTAGGGAAACGGCTAGGGCATTGAAAACCGGAGATCACCAAGATAATCCGAGCTCCTACTGTGCGAGCTCCTATCAGGAGGAGGGTATGTTCACGGGACTATCGTTGCGGTTGCAGACAGGGACTGTTGGTTGGTCCCATGAAACGAAATTGGAGAGACCTATATGTGGAAGGAAATTGGGTTTAACTAGGAACAGTTTCTGTAATTCCAAGGATGAGAGACCGAGAAGGACGGTGGACGGCAATTTCAGCAGATCTTTGATGAAATTATTCTACCTCAGTGCGGCTATGTGTATTGAACCATGGCTTAAGAATCAGATCCTGATGTAGGCAGCTCCACCAAAGGGAAGCTGTGCCACCTCGTCCACCATTGCTCGTGATCGTGCTGGCTGACGGGCCAGATGCGGCAGAAAATGTCTTCGTAGGGGTCGATTTTCGCGCCGGTACTGTAGATGCCGCTATGGTTAGTGTGTTTGTGCCTTCTGATAGTCAAGTGATCGCGACGATCATCGCGCGGATTACGCTCGACTGTAAACGGACGATTGAGGTGGTCGACCATCAGGATTAAGCCCGCTAAGAGTTGCGAGTCGCCGCCCAAGTCGCCTCCACCTTCCACAGTCAGGGACAACCTCTCTAGCGTCATTGAGGAAGACTTTTTCCCAGAAGATACAGCACGGAAGATGTCACGCGCGAGCGTCCGGTCTAGGGCGCTGTTGATCAGAGCGTCTCGGATGTGGCCATTTCGGGGAAAGCGCGGGATGCCGTGGTAGTGCATCTCCGGGCGGGAAAATTGGTCGCCTGTGAAGAATGCCCGGTCAAATTCGTCGAAGGTGGGATTGTCCGGGATTATGGCCTCTCCGTCGGAGCTCACCCCTGAATCTAGGACGCTTCGGTTAGACGCGTTGAGGGTCAGGTCGAGAGATCGCAGTGAAGGGAGCGAGCCCAGAGCTTGATAGGCCATCACTTCCGTGGAATCGCCCTTGGATCTGCGGAGCGGGAGCTTCAACTCTTCAAGCAGAGGACAGGACGTGGATATTCGCTTAACGTTCACCAGTGTCAAGCTTTCATCATCAAATGGCGAGACAGAAAGCTTACGCAGGTTAGGCCCGTGATAGGGGATGACTGCATCCAATGGCAAGTCATGTTTCCAGTTGCATAATGTGAGACTCGACAGTGGGGGAAGGCTCAGGAGAAAACGAGCAACTGTATCATAGTATCTTCCAGATACCCGGGGGCTGAAGGCCGACGGCATGGTCAAAAGCAGCGTGTGGAGTGAGCTAAAGTTGTGATTAACAATAAGATATTTCCACATTTCCTCCTCGACATCCGACCAAAGCTTTAATATCTTCAATGAGGAAAAGTCAGTGCCGACGGCCCAATACTTCATCCAGTCTTTGGTGAGTTGTGCATGGTCATTATCGAATTGCAGGCAGACAAGTCCTCGCTGCGAGAGCATTTGTCCCTTGAGCTTAAGATCAAGCTCTTTTCGAAAATTTAGAGCGTTTTGTATAGCATAGTCGCCCACTGTGTGATCCAAAAACATATAGACTTCCCTCAGATTGGGTGCCACGCCCGCCACCAGTTGTTGGACTGCATCTGCATGATGACTGGTAATTCCATCCGAATCATGATGACTGTCTTCCTCGAAATTGATCATGATAGAGTAAAGACACACGGAACGTAGAAGTTCGAGTTCATAGCTATGGACCGGATGTCCATATAGACAGGGGAGGTTCGAAAGGTCAACATGGAGCCGACATTGTGGGCGGCAATGATGAAGAGCGCCTAGAACACAAGGGGGAAGCAACTCGCTGCATTCATATACCAGATCTGTCAGACCTGGCAGCATCTTCAAAAAAGTGGCCAGTGAGTTCCAGTCTTTATTCAGCTTGTTGACGTCCCGGATGGGCTGCACGTTGTCACTGTACCAACGCATCCGGCCATCGTGTGGTTCAAATATCGACGCTTCACTTTCACCACGTTCTACACGCGATGTTTTCGGTCGTTTCCATTGATAGTCATGTTCCCAGTCGTCGTCATGGTCACCGTCATGGTCACCGTCATGGCCACCGTCATGGTCACCGTCATTGCTATAGATCAGGAGACGACGAACGTATCGAAAGCCTGCGGACCGTGACAGCATCTCGGTGTATCCCTGTACATCGATACTCAACTTTCGAGGCCCGCCATAAATGATTTTTATTGTCCGGAAGAGCAGCGGAGTGGCAAGCGAATAGCAATGCTTGCTGGTACAGGCGACAGCCAACAGGCTTGGTGGATGCTCATAGTTCAGCAACTCCAATATCTGTATCAATGTTTCGGGGGGCAGACTTTCCAGTGACCCACGAGGCATATTGTTGTAGTCAAGGGTAAAATCTTGACTACTGCATCAAAAAGCCGAACAGCAGTTTGGGAGGACTTGAACGGACGATATCCCCAACGAAAAACAAAGCAAAGTGATCCAAAAAGTGGGGTGTTTTGGGATGTAGTCAACATGGCATATATGGAATGAGAGATGGAGGGAAGCTTGAAATCAGGTACATATAAGGTTGGCCCGGGGAACCATGCTAAGCCGGATATGGAATGTCAACACCAGCCTGGATAGGCAATCACTCCACATCGGGAATAGTGTCACTACGATCTACATGGCATTCAAGGCAGAGATCAAGCAAACAGCACTGTATATATATGCACACTATAGAAGGATCAAAGAATGACGAGTAACATAGTAGTCCAAGCCTCAGTTTTGGATCAATTTCCGCCAAAAAGCCAGTCAATTGGTCCGATGTTGAATCTTCCCAACTACTTTTCCCCAGTGGCCATATGTACGGGACCTATCCGCGAACGTCAAGTCAGCACCCCCGTTATTCTAGATGATCCCGAGAGAAGGTGGAGAAAGAGACATACCGGTCCAACTCAATTGGCAAGACGCGCGCCGTTCTCGCTCTAGCACTGGGCAGCGCCCTGGTTGCCACCGTGGCAGGTGCCGCGGCCGCAGTCCTTGACCTCAGTCCACTTGCCGCCCTTGCACTCGACCTGTTCGTAGAGAGATATCAGTAAACAGCGCGTATGTCTCAAACAGGGGAGCGTGGTCATACAACGCCGGTGCGATCGCAACCGCAGAAGTGCCTATCGCCGTTGGAGGCGGCACAAGGGCTGTTGGTGCGGCGCTGATCACCGCCGTAGCCGGCACCGCAGGTGTCACGGGCCTCGATGGTGGAAGCGCTGACGGCGGCAGCGGCCATGAGGGTGCAGACGATAGCGATGAGCTTCATTTTGGAAGAGTTGGGTTGGTGTTGTGGGATTGAAAAGAAGAGTTCTGTTTTGATTGGAGTTGTAGATTGTTCGGAGGCTTGCTGTTGATGAGGATGGAAGATGGGATTCTGTGGGGGGGGATACTTCGACGTATTTATACCTTTGTTGGTCAGAGCGGCCTGACAGAACTGGCATTCCTCGTCCTCCTGGACATGAAGGTGTTACAATGAAAAAAGGAAATAAAAACCAATAAAATAGATAAGGCGACCAATGTGATATCCAACGCTTTGAAGCCCTTCCTCGCGGGCCAATCCGGGGAATTCCCTTCTTTCGAGAGTGGGGAAGTGGTCTGGAGACACAGTGCGAGGTTTGCTTGCCGTCTGTGTTCTATGGGGTATGGCTCTCTATAGATCCACTAGGCAGTGTTTTCGATACAGCAACGGTAGCGAGTCGCTGCAGTAGCGCCAGAGACATTCCAGCCACTCAGTCTCCTGAACGTGCTCCTAGAATGTTTGGACCATTCACCGGGCTTTAGGCGTCCCGACTCATGTGTTCCAGTCTGCGGAGATGCAGACATACAGGGGAGCTTAGGGTGACATCAGACCAAGATATTCGTACGGCGATCCACGGCCTTTGAGAACTCAACATGCCAAGACCATCCAGAAACGAGTTTCTGCAAGAATGTAAGATGCATGGATTTGAGTCAGCTTACTTTGCAGTAATCGGGTAGCAGCTGGTGGTATCTCCGCAAGAATGTCATTAGTGCCAGCACAATAGGGTATTGACCCGACTCTATTGCCTTGTGGGCCCATTCATATTGAGGCTGGTTCCCGAGTCCTCTTTTTGTGATATCACGCCTGGTTTACCGAGTCCGGAGGTGGATGGTCACGCCCAAGGAATTTCAATACAGACCACGGACAGAAGCTTTCCATTAAAAGTAGCGGCCTCCTGGCACCATGCACAGAGATTGGTTCTATTGAAAAATTAATCACTGTGATGCATTTCCCAACGGGTCTCCCATCCACGAGGAGTCCCAGCTTCCATTTTTGATTGATTCGTGCAGGTGGTATGTCAAATCCCATAGATCCCGGGGAGCGACCGGTTACCTAAAATGGGTAAAACTGTCCAATCCAGCAGGCTGGCTGGTTGGCTGTGTATCCATGACATTCCATACGTCACAAATGCTCTAGGCATCTAGCTGTTGACCCTCGTGCTCGTGTTGATAATTCCAAACGACATATTTCCGGACGTTGGCATTTCGGAGCTGATCGGAGAAGCAACAACATACTGAGGCTGAGAACGAAAAGCCAATCATTCTGTAGAGTTCAAAGAATCCACAATTTTTGTTCCAGCCAAAATTGGCGCTAGATGAGCCCCCTTTAGGCGAATATTATCCATGGGTTTGATGTTCGAATATGCCCTCCGAAGTCGCTGGTCCACTGGTTGGACAGCAACAGTCAACGTCGACTCCTCTGTTACATCTCATCAGTCATCAAATCATATGTCCCATGACGTATGAAGTCCCATACTGTGTAACCGTTGTCTCCCTGTTTGGTCTCCTAGGTCGCTAATCGTTTATTGGAGGCCAAGAGCTTGCCGATGTCCGTTGTTTGGCCACAATCCGCAGTCAGATTTAGAACTCAACGCCATGGGATGATGCCCTGTCCTACCCTACCATATGTGCCCCTGCCAAGCTACAGTGGTGCACATAAGCCGGGAGAGAGAGCAGCTGAACCGCCTAGCCAATCAGACAGTAAGTCACCAGTGCTGAAGAGAGCGTTATTTACGCGCTTTCGCAGGGGCAGAGGCGGTAAGTATACTGAAATCTGAATTATCGGGCAGTTCAGGTGGGCTAGGGGTTTCAGCACGGCTGCGGCAAATCTCCCGGCTCGTTGAGGCACCTCCGCCATCACGGGAAAAATATCCAGGAGGAACCTGAGGCCGACTCGATAGATTGCCAGGGTGAACCACGAAGTCTTTCCATACGGGGTAAGCCAGTCCCAAAGCGGAGTTCCCGCTAGGCCTAGGCGCCACTGGGCTGCAGCCCCTTCTCCGGGGAAAGGTCATTAGTGCACAACAGTTATGGTATGGGAATCTGGATGATATGACTAGTCACCGGTTGGCGCAGGCACACATCAGCGATTGGACGAGTCGAGTGATCAGTGCCAACGCAGCAGGTATTCTTCAGCATCACATAGGAGGCCTTAGGCTTCAGATTTACGTATTTCTTGCTCCTGGTTCAAGAAATGTCTCATCGCCAATCGAAACCAAGACGTCGGGAGTATATGTCCCTCACAACAGGTAACGGGTTCACTGCGAATATTGAGCGGTTCATATGGAGCATATCCAGAACTTGAAAAAGATGCGGAATTCAAATAGGACCCGTCCAACCAGCATCCGCTGCTCATGCAACAACGTTTGAAATGGTATATTGTGGGTAGTATCACGTTGGCAGGATCGATGGTCAGAATGTGAGCAAGCTTACTGGACCTCTGAAAAGTCTAAATCGACCAAAGACTGAAAGTAGCGTCTCCTTGCAGATCTGGTACAGCTCATTCGTACTTCCGTTGATTGGCTAGGGCCTGAAACAGACAAAATGGAACCTGCCCAGGATCTGCAGCCACCGGAACATAACCGTGGAAAAGCAATCAACATGGTAAGCCGGATAGTTCGGGTAGATGGCCCAAAGCCTAAATGAGTAGGGTACTGTTTCAAGAGCTCGAGGCTGCCGACAGACATATATTGACTTTACTCTTGCAAAGAGTAAAAGCCATTAGACCAAACGGGCCTGAAGGAGGGTGGGGGAATCCCCATCAGCATCTCACCCAGGTATCCTCATGCATGCTCATGACAAAAGTCTCATGCCACCTCACGAGAAGGAGACGTGGGAAAGGACAACTGCAGCTGCATTGCTAGCGCCGTGGGGACCATCTTACAGGCATAATAATATCGATGGATATTGGATTCTTTGGAAGGATCCCAACCACTCCCTGTATTTCCACCATCGATCGGCATCCCCACATTGGCAGGAAACCAGAACCATTGTGCTCGGCCTATCGGAAGCATTTTATGCTTGAGCCCCGAAAGCGTTGACACATCAATTCTCCTTTGATCACACGGTCTGTGAGGCTGAATGGAACCCCGGATGCTGACGCTGGGGAATGAGAGCAATCATGATGTTCGATTGATAGTTGTGGGAAAGGTGGGCTAATTTCAACAAGGCTGAGTCTCGCTTATCCGTGTCGGGTCCTTTGGATGTGTCTTTTCCAATATTTGATTCTAACGGTAGGCTTTTTTCTCTCCTGTCGTTCATAATTCTAACCATGAGGGGATCACCTGTCTTGTTGCACCAATTGCTGTTAACGGAACTGCGGTTGGCGCCGCCGTTGCCCCTGGATCCGCTACTCCCATGACAGTGGCTGATATAGTGTCGAGCGCCACGGCGCCATTCTCGATCTGAGACTGGTCGCCTAACAGCCAACCTTGCCCATGAATAAGGTGTGTTGTGGGAGAAACGGCCAACCCCGAGGGCCGAGTACGAGGAGTGCATTGCTCATGGGCTAGCGTCTCACCAAGCATGCGGGGTCATTCTTCCCCCTGTGCTCTAATTGGGCTTAGTGAGACCAACTTGTGTCAACAACCTTTGGCAAGATTCTACGAGCTTACGCTCGACTTGATCTCCGCTAGACTCCGATCATATTCATACCATATTCAATAAGTGTATTGGTTTAAACTTGATCCAAACTCTCACCGCATGTGAGAAACAAAGTACGAAAGGAAGAATTCAATGAGGTTGATGGAATTGGTGGATTGCTGATGATGATGAGAGATGGTAGAAGAAAAGGCGAATCTGCAGTAAGAAAAGCAGTCTGGTAGTCAGGTGACAGACCACTTTTTGGCTTTGCATCCACCACTCCCTGCGGCTTCCATATCGGGATACCATGATGCTATACTAAGTATGGACGAGGGTATGTCGCTCATAATTCATGTGGGTTAACCGAGATATACATCTATTGCCAGTCGAATGGTGGGCTTATCAGTGAGTGTGGGACGAGACACTCCTATGCCTCGATTCAGATATAGACCAGAAATGGATGGACTGTCGATGTATGCTAGAAAGCAGTTACCAGACCATCAGCTTCCGGATGATCTTACTTATTTTAGTTCCTTTATTATATGATATCTATGTTCGGTTTACTTCTTTACTCTGCATTATCTCACTCTTGGAAAATGGTCCTAGAAAATCCTTCTCGAAATACTTCTCACATTCTATTAAATCTTCTAAGCTGTCTGGTGCTTCATTAATGGATTTATATTTGAAGTTTCTGAGATATTATATCACTTTGGGCATGTTGATCACCGTTACTACCATGGTGCCCTCAGTATCCAGCATTCCAGGGATGTGCACAGTCCCGGAAACGGTGGACGCCGTCATCCCTGTATATGCGAATATGCTGACCAGACCTGAGATGCACATGTAGGATATGATATACTGATACTACATTAATATAAAAGGGGTAACCAAGACATACTATAATCTCAGTGTTACCTTTAGAATGATACTCTTGACCTCAATGACTAACGTCAACAAGATGCTTGTCAAATAAGGAAAGGTTATATCCATATATCGTGCCCTTCCATTGACACAGACGTGTGAGCTCTATGAACCTAGGACATGTGTCGTGACGCCGCTATATATAGATCTATAAGGTCAAAGGAGGTAGCTGTGACTATTCCACTGCTTATGACAGACAGATAGAACAGTCGTAACAAAAAATTGAATATGGAAATAAAAAGTAAAATTGTGTTAGAAGATGGTTACTACTGTCCTAATCCCCCGCATCGGCGTGTAGATGACTGATACTTCCGAGCCAATGTTCTATGCAAGTTCCGTGTTCATATTATGTTGGGATATCTGTCAGGTCAAGCCCTATACCAAAGGTTGGTCAAGGTTAATGGGCCTCACCTATGACGAAGACAAAACTTTCGAACGCAAGCAGTTCCGCAGCCGAGAGAAGAAATCCATGAATCGAAACCACGACTCCATCGATGCTATAAAAGGGCACCACTGCAAACAAGTCTGTCCTCCTCCCTGCAGCAATGTCCAAAAAGTTTCTCGTTGCTGATTCCAGGCACTCGCAAAATGACTCGCAAGACTTATGGCCGAAAGACAATTCTCTCGCTCGCTCGGCTGCTCTGCATGCCGTCTTTCGTATTGGCATGGATGTACTCACCATGGCTGATCAATCCCCCATTCGCAAAACTGACGACTAAAGGGCGATATTAGCCTCGTATCCTGAGTTAAAGAACGCCGCCGACTCTACCCCGTGGACCCCAACAATGGAATTGTCGACCTCAGTCAAATATGGGGTTGGGCCCCCCTCAACGCGTCTGCCCGAACTCCCCATCACAAAGTCAGGGGGTCTCGCAAGCTCCTGCAGGAACGCCTTTGTCACTATCTGGGAGGACGAAAGCGATAGGGTGTCGTTCGAGCTAAAGTCACCAGCATCATGTGCTGCTGGGGACGGCGGGACAAGCAGTGTCCTATTGCGACGGCGTCTCTCAAGCAAAGCCTCAATTCGTTGGTCAAAAACGCTGAAATGTTTATCCATGATATTCTTTCTTTGGAACCTAGAGTGTCTTCTCATGCGGTGGGATGTATTGCAAGGGTTACATCACAATTATGGACATGAAACCTTGGTCATATATGCTCCTTACTCTTCAAACGGGTAAGAAGCATGTGCAGGAACTTTTCAATGCAATATTACACCACTTTCAGCTGTTCCTTGCATCGTTCTTTATTATTGCAATGATAAGCATGCATTGAGCATGACTCTATCAGCAGCCCACCATTCTAATAGTACTTGGAGGTGAGTTGTCAGTAGAAGTCTAAAGTGATATGTTGCAGTTGTGAATAATAGTTAGTGTTATTACTCAATTACAAGTGGTGGGTCCCACCACTTCTCGCATTGTGGATGACTACGACATATCATATGTCACATTGGGCCAATAGATGCCTGTATTGACGATGTGCAGAAAGTGATCTCGGCCAGCGAGCCACATTATCGTCTGATCAAGCAACGAGGCAGAGCTGTCTATTGACATCAAGGCTATCCCTTGCGCTCCGTATCCGTTCTCGAAAGATACAGCCCTAACCCTGGAGTTTGTGCATCCAGACATCTCACTATGCAAGGATGCAATTAAAGTGTCATTACCCTAGATAATATATACCGGATTTGATCTGTACTTGGCCATACGCTATAAGGACATGGTGAAATCTGCAGATTCAAGAAAGTTGACGCCTGATACAACCCACTTGCCCAAGCCGTCTAACATCTCTCTAATCATGGCTTCCGCGTCTCGAGCTGAGGCTGAATCCTATCTATCCTTGGCGCGGGACATATGGGTCTGCGAATGCTTCTGCGTTTTTTAAAAAGGGATACTGTTACAGTCTGAAAGCGAACGAGAAAATTGGCTTGACACCCTCATCTCACAGGGTGCCATTGTGGCCAAATCCGCCGCTGATTGTTCCCAGTCCGGCCCCCTGGTTATTATCTGTCTTCTATCCAATATAGTGCTCTGGGATGTTCTTGGTGAGATTCCGACCCTCGCCCGCTGCACAGTCTTGAGCGTTACAAGTAGCAGATCTTGACAAGTAAGAACAACGGCTCAGACAGTGATCAACCTGCTGGGTGCTTCTGCATATTTACATGGCTGGATAATGTCTCTACTGTCAGAGGTACAAAGCCACCAGACATCGGTTTCTTACGGCGGCCCACGATCGGCTTTGTAGAAACACAAGAATGCCTGTGAGCCCTACGGGCCGCTTGATGGGTATCAGAGAATCCGCAACAAGTAGTCCTGATGGACAATGGGGCAATGAGCATGGTTGCGGGTTTGTTTGCAGGATTCTTATAATCTCTAGCTCTTGTTAGAAAATATGATATTAATTATGTTATCTTTACAAGAGCAGTGCTTCTTCCTTAGTTGGATACATTCAAAGAATGGCTGCCTCGCCTGGTGCAGCAGGACCAGGACCATTCTCACCGTTCGTCTGGGGATGCCACGTCTTTGAGGGTAGCATCAACTATTGTGACTAATGCAACGGAGACTGCGAAGGAGCATGGCATGTCTGCACAATTACTTCAGGGCATGGCTGATGTATTAGTGGAGGGGATTAAGGCAGGAAAGGGCTCTGAGGATATCTCTACCATTATCAAAATGTTGAGGAAGCAGTAGCACTGATGATGTGTACCTGAATTAATCGGTCCTGACATTATCTTTGGTCTGACTCTGAATCATTTCATATTCATCTACACCACGGGACTGTCCTGCTATCTCCTCTACTCCGTCTTTTTGAAGGCGCCATTAACCATGTCAAGGTGCCTCCTTGCGCATCGCCAGATTAGCCGCTAACCACCTTCAAGTATTAAGTCGACAAGAGGAGTGTCAGACAGGCTCGAGACTCGTTATAGACAGAGGAAGAAACTGATGTTCCACACATTACAGTGCAAATGTTGTCCTTATGACAATTCAATTCCAAAAAGATATATAGCAATAAATCAAACCCAGCGTGTTCTCATAACCTGCCAGCCGTCCCTTCCCATTTCTCCATCATGAAAACTTCATGAAAACTTCATGAAAACATCATAAACCAAAGCTAATAGTAGCCAATACATACCCAGGATACCTAAGCCTCACCGTCACGACCCTCCTCCCAATACTGCTCGCCCTTGCTCCGACAGGTGCCAATAACGCAGTAATACCCACCACCCTTGTTTCTCTCATTGGGCGAGGTCAGCGTGTAGTCCGCCTCGGGACAATGCGCGCCACAGGTAGTCATAAAGCAGTCCGTATAGCCTTCACGGTGCACCTCGTACGCCGTGTGGGCGGTCTTGTACCAGATGCAGACTTCGTCGCCCTCCTCCCCTGAGCACGAGTATGTGTTGCCAGTGGACCAACTCCTCGAGACGTCAAATCCACCGGTAATCCAGCCCGCGCCGGATAGAGATGCAGAGAAACCAATTGAGTAGGATTCGGACTCGGTGCGGCCAACGGTGCAGGTTGCGGCATTTGTGCAGCCGATGTTTTCCTATATAGTTATACAGTGTTAGTAAACCATGTCGTGGCTTCAGTCAGATATAGTGGGCTGGTAGTAGTGCCCGGTCACGAAGACAGGTCCCTGGTACGTACGCTGATCTGCTTATGCAAGTATCTCTGTTTCGGACTCCCGTCTCCACGGAGGTCGATACCGTCGTGTTCGGGGGAACACGGGTCCTCCTCACGGCTCTGCAGGCCGTGCACACCCTCAGCAGTAGCGTTGGCAATCACCTCACCGAGAACGAAGTCTCGCGCGCGATGGAAATGCATCGTTCCGTCGAAACAGTTCTGTCGAGTCGCAATCGACATCCTCTCCAGCGACTCGGCCGGGACGGGGACATCGTCACAGGTCACGAGCAGCTCATCGTCGTCGAACATCCGGGTGCAGGTCACGCCTCCTGACACCTGCGCCTTTGAATGCACGCGGTATTCTTTGTCGTTAATGGTGATCTTGCCCGAGCCAGTGGGGTCGATGTCGACTGCGACGGGGAAGGCGTCGGGGGCGGTGGAGCCGCCGAGGGAGTCCGCGCACATGTGCGCGAGAGTGTCCTTCGTGTCTGGGTCTGTGATGGCGAACTCGGTGTTGGAGGTTGCCTTTTCGTGCTGCACGGTCACGCGCACCAGCTTGAGGTTGGCGTCTTTGTTCTGGGGTTCCTCGGCGCCCTTGGGGTAGGGAGAAGGGGCAGCCAGGGCGGCGCTGAAGAGAGTGGAAAGGGCGATTGTTGCGGTGAGCTTCATGGTGGGCGAGATGGTTGGACTTGGTACAGGGCCTGAAGCTCTGCTCTGGGAGACTCAATTCCTGGCATGCCTCGCTGGGTATTTATATGTCGGCCGTCTGAGGTCGGACGTATACACATCTCTATCATATGAGGACGTGAATAGTACATAAATTGGGCTTCGCCCCCAAACACGGCCCCCGCGCGATAGATTAAAGATGGGCCTCACCGTGACTGACACTATCCACAGACTCCACCCTATTTCGGTTGTCCCCAGGCACAACCAACCCAATCAGTATACACTAAACAGACTCCAATTGTTGGATGATGTATACCGGACCAACACTGATAAGGCTCAGCCTCTCCGACCCATCTCTTGGAACGACGGATGAAACGACTCAGTGACATCGGCGGCGTGAAGCTGACGTGAGGAAGCGCCGATCTTACCTGGGGAAGATGCACTATTGTCTGCCGATCGATTACGCGAGGTCTGCAGAAACGCTCCAGGATTGTTTAGATCCGATCTAGTGCCAGGTCCGGTAAAGTGAGCATGCTTTCGCGCGACTCATGGGTTATTAAACTCGAACTGTGCTTCAACAATAAGCTGATACATTGATCTATGGTGCCGGGCCAAGGCGCCACCAAAAACCTAACTCTTACTACGTGTGTTTTTACTGGTTCGTCGCTCCTGGCTAGGTAGTAGTCTGATGGTTCTTCAGTTGGTTCATGCCCCTCTTCGCCCCGATAGTGGCAAAGCCAAAAGATGTATTGAATGGCATCAGTCTATATTTATAACTGGCTAACACTCATTCGGGTCAAGAGCAGCAAACGGGGCAGAATTCGCGAACGTGCTGTGACATCTCATCTACAAGCGTGACAAGGTATTAATAGTTAGCCCGAGGGATCAACGGTCTAATCAAGCCACCCACGTCGGTTCATGGCCGCAGTCTCGCTAGTCAAGACTTTCCTCGAGCAACCGCCGACTAAGGTCGCTCTGCACCCATTGCTCGATCAGACCCACGCTATCCCCAACGAGGTAGTCGTAGTTTGCGCCTCGCGGGATAAACATAGACTGATGCGCCAACACTTCGTCCATGTCCTCCATAAGCACGGGCGTCCAATGAGCGTTGTCGTCGTGCCTCCAGTGATGGGAAGGCAAGAGGATAAACTTCCGGAGTTTCTGTCTCGAGGGATCCAAGCTGGGGGAAGAGGCTGACGTCGAGAGGGACACGCTTTCTGTAAGGGCCTGGCTGCTCTTCTGATCGACTGAGGTAAACGATGCAACGCTGGTGAGATCGATAGTCGAAGAGTCCCTTCTACAGCTGCCGTCTTCGGGAGCCAGGGGAGAATGGGGCACTGTGTTCAAATTGTGTTCTTCGAGGTTCAGGCTGCTCATCGTGGAGGTAGCAGCTTCAACGTCACCGGGAACACTCGGTGTCCCAACTTGGGGCGGGGTTGTTGTCAACTCTCTGGTCTGGTCAAGGCCTTCGGGTTCCGTTGCTGATTTCGTTTTGGTCTTATGTGAGACGCGACCAGTGCTCGCTGTGTAGTAGTTGACAAATCGAACCCTCCGAGGGCTGTACTCCGCAGCCTCCAGCTCTCTTAACTGTCGGTATCGCCGACGAAGTTCAGAGTAGTTGTTGACGCAATTCGCAAATCTCAACGGCGACACAAGACGGTCAACAATCGAACGCGATAGATTGTCGGTGTTCTTGTTGACAAAATGCATCATACCCTTGAGGAAGCCACGCTCCACCAGGCGTACATCGTTCCGGAACGGGGGGTCAAAGTTAGGGTTGGATGGGACTGGGTTAGCGGCCGGTTTCAAACCCAGGCATTCTTCCTCGCCTGCGAGTTTATCGTCAAATGCTGGACCTTTTTTGGGGATGGAGCCACTAGCGCCGGTTGGAATGACGCGGGGGTGGATCCCCAGAAGGGGAACGTCGAAGTTCACCAGCCCCAAAATCCGATGCTTTTGCAGAAGCGCAACGTCGGTGGCTAGGATCCCACCGAGACTGTGTCCTAGTAGAATGACATCCAGATCGTCCGCCTCGTGGGGTGACAGCCTGCAAGCATCTCCATTAGTCCGCGCCCTCGTCAAGGTAAGATGCCCGCTTCCTGCAACAGTGACACATACCAGGCGCTGAACTGGGCCACGGCGGTTTGGATCTCGCCATGAGACTTATACCGCGGATATATGCGGGTGTAGACCACGTGGGACTCGCTCAACAAACCGGTCAACAAATGATGGACGTGCGCTGGGAGGTCCTGAAAACTGGCTTCTGAGCCCATGAAACCATGGATGTACACGAGGAGTAGTCTACGCCTGCTGGAGTTTTCCGGTGCTCCAGGCCCCGCCAGCGACAGACTGGACAGGGAACTCATGACCGCATGGAGTCCGACCTCAAAAGGGGTGGTCGACAGCCCAGGGGAGAGATGTTGACATGGTGAAGCAGGTGTCAATTCTCGGGGCAGGAACCGCCACTACCATGCGGGCAGCCTGGGGGATCGACTCTGCACGGCCCGCTTGCTTATTAACTGCCAGGTCTACAGTGCGCCAGCCATCTTCCTGACGGACACTTCAGCTGGTGATACCTCTGTATAATCTACTAGACTTATTCAATAGAATGACTCAAAGAGAACAGACGCAAGGAGGTCAAAGTAAATATAGGTTGTTATTGTTGTTGTTGTTGTCGCTGCATCCTCAGTCATCCAGGCTGATAAATATGACGCTAACCGTATTGGGCAGGTGTAGTCAGCTGACGTAAGGCAAACACTCCGGCGCGGAACAACAAACACCCGACCCGATAAAGAACGATAACGAAACACGATAAAGCCTGAATTGTGGGGCCGACGCGGAAGTTTTCCCTTTTCTGCCCTGAGTCACCCCCGCCATCGCAAACTTGCACCACTTCCCTTATACTGTCCTAACCTCCTATACTGGAAATATATCTACCGCAACCATGGCGACTCTCGACGCGAAGCAAAAGTTTGATCTGATCACCGAAAACCTCGCCGAGGTGCTCAATCCCGAGATCATCGAGGGCATTTTGGCCGAGGGGCGCAGTCTGAAGATCTACTGGGGTGGGTTGGCACCTACCCCTACCCGGGGTCTACATTGGGAGCCAGTTTGCTAACGGGCTATTTATCGTCATAACAGGCACTGCGCCGACGGGAAAGATCCACTGCGGTTACTTTGTCCCCGCCATCAAGATCGCCCAGTATCTCGCCGCGGGCTGCAACGTGAAGATCCTGCTGGCCGACATCCATGGATTCCTAGACAACCTCAAGGCTCCCATCGAGCTGGTCGAGCTGCGCGCGGAGTACTACCGACGGACGATATCGGCTGTGCTCGAGGCCGTAGGAGTGTCGCTGGAGAAGTTGGAGTTCGTCAAGGGGAGCAGCTACCAGAAGAGCCCCGAATATATCATGGACGTGTACAAGCTGTGCGCCGTGACGTCGGAGCACGACGCGAAGAAGGCCGGTGCGGAGGTTGTCAAGCAGTCGGATAACTCGCCGCTGAGCGGCTTGCTTTACAGTATCCTGCAGGTGCTCGACGAGCAGCATCTCGACGTGGACTGCCAGTTCGGAGGACTGGACCAGCGCAAACTGTTCACGGCTGCCAAGGAGTGGTTGCCGAAGTTGGGATACAAGGAACGCGCCCATCTGATGAACCCGATGGTTCCTGGCTTGCAGGGTGGCAAGATGTCTTCGAGCGAGCAGGGTATGCCTACCTCCCTTCTTGATCTTCTTTTTTTTTCCTTTTACCCTTGTTGTTTTATTGTTATGATATACTGACAATAATCAGACAGCAAGATTGATCTGTTAGATACGCCCGAGGTCATCACCAAGAAGATTCGCAAGGCCGAGGCATCCCCCAAGGTGGTGGAAGAGAACGGCGTCCTCGCATTCGTGGAGTACGTGCTGCTGCCGGCTTCCGAACTGAAGGGACGGCGGGAGTTCCGCGTTGAGCGGGAACGCGACGGCTTGGAGCCGCTGGTCTACACGAGCATCGAACAGATGCACGAGGATTACAGGGCGGATGTGGTGTGTTTTGCCCCCCTCCATTTATTTCCCTCTTCCATGTGACTTGCACTTTTCGAATCAATACTAACATATCTAGCTATCGCCACAACTGCTCAAACCCGCCGTGTCCAAGGCCCTACTGGACCTGCTGGCCCCGATCCACGCCGCCTACCAGGCGGACGCCGAATGGCAAGAGATCACCGACAAGGCGTACCCCAGCACGGAGAAGAAGAAGGTCAAGAAGGTCAAGAACAAGGGCACGCGCTACCCGGGAGCCGGGCAGGAGTCGCAGGGACTGCCCGACCGTACGAAACAGGACGCACCGGTGCAGAACTAGACGGGGACCTTTCTTTCTTCCCGTCGCAGTGCGGGGCTCATTTATGCGCGGAACGATAGAGCGGATACCTTCGAAACTGGACATTTGTAGCGTCAGTCAAAAATACATTGCATAGCGATATTGGTATACACTGTCCACCTCTAGAGGGAGTATCGGTATAGTAGACCATATGCACGTATAAATCAAGGTAAACCACAAGGTAAACCACAAGGTAAACCACAAGGTAAAAACAGGGCACACGCCCTGCATTACGCCCTGATCGATAGGCATCACAGGTGGCGATCTCGGCACTACCAGCAGTAACGCCCGGCAGTCAACCTTGAAACCTCATAGACGATCAACACCCGTAAGCAAGTAAGTAAACCAAGTACCATCCGCAGCATCCACCCGCAGGACGACTCAAGACAAGGCAAACGACATGACGCCATGAACGGATCGAAATAGAAATAGATATCCACCAAACAAGACCCATTCCCGTCGTCAGGTGTATCCAAACCTGCTGAATCCTAGACTAGTACCTAAGTACACTGCCACCCCGACCATCCAGTCAACATCAGCATCAGCATCAGCATCGCTTCAAACGTACCCTGACCATTAGTACCACCAGGTACCTATAGAACCTACTAGGCAATCACCATTCGTCACCCCGGGACCACCTCCATCTCATACCATGCAAAAGTAGTGTCCTCGTGCCAGACACCCCCGTCCCCGCCCCATCAGCCCCGCACTTCGCACCGTCATAGCAGAGGAACTAGAGATGTACGCATGTACCTACTAATGTGAATCACAATCGGACTATACCTATTCTGGTCCCTGCGACAGAGAGGCACTCAACCCCAAGGAGGGGTAAAAGCCACTCCTGCGATCCAATCCAATCCGTTTCAGTCCAGTCTGTCCATCCAGACAGCCAGCTCAAACCCGTCCGACCAATCCCGTCTATCCCAAGAGGGAAAAGGATGGATGGAAGGGCGAGTGGAAGAGTCCCTACCTACCTATAAAAAGACAAGGTAGAAGTGACAGTTCACCCACCTACCGATCGGAAGGATCCACGGCTGCAGCGCTGCGGCGTGCGTATGTGGTGGAATGTCTCCAACCAGGACAAACAGACGTACTCCAACACGAGCCTAAAAGGGAATAGAAATCGAGAAATATAAACCAATAAATGGGTTAAGAAAGGGAAAAAATTCCTCGGACGAGCGGTCGAACTCCTGTTGTCCAATGGACTGGGATGCTCAAGCGGAAGGCTGCAGTGGTTAGTTTCGTTCGGTTCTTCCACGGCACTGCAGTCTGTCAGTGTCAACTGGGGGGGGGGGGGGCGCAGTTGGTGGAATTAGGCGCTGGGCCAATGGATCCATGCTGGTTGTACTCCGTATGTCCAGCTCATAGGTCGCAGGAAGTACCACTTAGTACGCAGTACTGGGGTGTGTTCTGGTGGGTCTCCAACTAGTTGATATCAATTATTATATCAAACTTGAGGTTATTCCACCACGCTTCATACTCAATGCACTTCTGTACGAGTCAGAGTCAGAGACTAAACAGGCTAAAGTCGATCCCAGTCAGGTAATTTAACGAGAAGGATCGTGTAGGGCTCAGGGTAAGGGCTGACCACGATCCCACAAACATCCCTGCATGGTCGACCACAAAATTCCCGAACAATGATCAACAGGAAAAAAGACAGAAAAGAGGAAAACAGAAGGAAAACAAGAACGACAGAGAGAAATAGGAAATGTCCAGCCTCCTGACGATTCCCTCCATTCCAAGACCCGCCTGAGACATTCCCCCGACGCGCACTTGATCGGCGTGAGACCTTCATTTCACCCCTTTCTGCTTCCTGCTGATGGTATGATATCCATACATACCCCGTAGACAACTCCTACAGTCCTTTAGTAAGAAGAAGGAACTCATATGCAAGAGAATGCGACAAATCACACAACAGGTCAGCTGTAACCCAGGATAGGAATTCGGCTCTCGTCCCGGACAATTATGCAGGGACACCATCAATAAGCTTCCAGATGGGATGGGAAGAGGAGGATGATGTTAATGATACCTCTCGGTACACAATGCTCCCAGTATAGCGTTGTGTCTCTGTATGTACCATACGGTACCACGGACACGTACGTACTTCTTAACCAAGCGATCCATGCGCGAGGACCGAAAGTTTGTACCTCTGTCGGATCCACTCTGCACAGGACACACACACAGGAAGAAAATGAGTCTAGATCATTAGTTGGGACTCTTCTGGCAAGGAGAAAACTCTGACCGGATATCAACATCATGATAATATCCCTCGGGCTATCCACCGAAGCGATATAACTAAGACCAGGATAATCAGCCGTGTGCCGTGTCTCTGATAGGATCCCGTCTGCCTAGCGATTTCCGACTTATAGCGCAGTTGGATTGATGATTTCCGTGTCACCAATGAGGCATTAATCTGACATGATTTTTCAGCGGATTGTATATCCCTCATATATTTATATTATATTGATATATCCTGGGTCATGGTTGTGGAATGGTAAGTTGATAGTCGGGGTTAGCCGCCGTGTCCAACATAGGAACTGCCCAGCCCTAATCTCTTGATTACGGAAATGTATATACCGTCTGCCTAGTTGTAGTTATAGTCATTGTTATTGATCGACTGAATGTCAGTTTTGTTTACTCTTCAATCACCAACTCGGATGAAAATATGAATTGTCGAACAAAGGAAGATTATGATAAAAAAAAATGAAATGATACAATAAAGAATACGATAGAAAAATGGAAAGATCGACGCCATGTGCGACGTTGCAAAGGTGGTTTTCGGGTCAGCAGGGCCTGCGTCACTCAGGGGAATTATTAATGCTGTATGGACGACTCCATGAGGAGTTCCCTGATCCTGGTGTCGCATGGAATTTAGATTATATTAGTAGTATGTTATTAATATTCGATTTTCTGGATTATTACACTAGTAGTATTGATATGTCCGTGCGAGTGGCTGCTGCGCCGACGCCTTTATTGGGTGGATTCAGAATTTTCCTCTTTATTTTCCTTTCATTTTTCTTTCGTGTGATATTATTTGTCCTGCTCTTTTGTGAACTATCTAGGTCGATTCTTTGAGAACTAGTTCCTGTAATACGAAGACTGTGCCATCTTCAGCGACGGTATTTTCCGTCCGCAAATACACCCATATACACCATTCTCAACCCTCGTATATCAAATTGGGGCACAACCCTACTGACAGATCTCCCCACAAGTTGCGGTCTGCAAACGGTGTGGTTGCTGCCCAGCAGGATCGCAGCGGTAAAGCCCATCGAACGACTGTTGCCCAACAACCATTGTTTACGATCCACTCTCCACCGGAGGACCCATAGACCCATACAGGGCATCTCGATGAGCTTGTTTGGCGGGCTCTTGAGTACCGTGGAAACGCAACGGGATCGGCCGGATCGAGTCCATGGGATATTTCCCCGCTGATGGACGGTATCAAGAATCTCAGATATCGTAATGAGCGTATTCTTCCGGCCAGTGGCCACCACACCACTCCGCCACAGTAGGCTGCCTTTTATGACTCCCTCTCAAATCAGGCCCGTTCAGCTGAATGAGCCTATTTGAATGACCCTATACGAGGCTATTCAGCTCAGGGAGGCAACGATATTAATAACCTGACCCTCGCCACATGTGACATGCCACGGCGTGGCGAAGTCCACTGCAGTCCAGTTCTCCCTCCCAATCGGGAATGACTCACTCTCCCACCGGGCAAATTTTACGACCCGCAAGGGCGGATGGCCCTGAAACCTAGCTGGGTCGAAACTAACTGGAAGAGTCGAAGCCCTAACTGGTCATTGAGCGATGGTGATAAGAAGATGAGTCGACCGATGGGAGATGTTTCGAGAGTGAGTCAAACAGATGCAACCCGATCGATCATGCCCAACCAATGGTCAGGAGAGAGTCCTGACACACTGTCGATATCCAATCCAGATGACCCAGTCTGACTGAAGTGACTGAAGGGACTGAAGAGGTCGAAGAAGAGTGACCCCTCGTTGGGCCTGAAACGCGCCCAAGGGCTGCAGGTAAGATACGGTCACGACAATACCAAAACCCGCCCAGCCCGCGCTAAACCGGGGGGAAAATACTAGTCATACCGCCCAGCCCCATATCACATCCTAACCCTATCAGAATGAATATCCTATTATCATTATATTATTATCATGAGGTTTATTTTTTTTTAAATGGCTGCTGGGATTGATTAAAGAATTTTACATCCATTTTCCACTGGTTGTAATAACTAACCGACCTCCCAGTCACTCGTCCTCCTCCCTCCTCTCTCTCTACTCTCTCTCCCTCTCTCTCCACCACTCGTCTACGGACTCTTCCCCCCTCCCAGAATATTGATATTTTCCCTGGGTGGGAATATCATCTCTTATTTGGCCCGTTTGGAAGGTCGATAGAGGCTTCACGGTAGAAGGAAACCCGTTAGACATAGAGCTGGTGGACTCTCGGTCAATCTCCTCATAGTCACTCCCAGCGCTTAACTACCCATACATCAACGACCGTCTTTTCAAATGCACTCTCAGCTCACCTCCTCTCGTCCCTCCTCTCCCCTTGCAACCGTGCCTCGGTGACGGTCCTTGTCTTGATCTTGAATTTTCTCGATTTTTTTCCCTTTTTTCCCCAGCGATATCCGATTCCTGTTTCCCGGCGTCGATCGGTTTGTTCTACACGATATCCTGTATAATATATCTGGGTTTTTATTTTTCTTTTTGATTTATTTTTTTTTTGCGTGATCTAAATTCTTCTATTTTACTCTATTTCATTTCAAGGTCCACTGCATCGTTGTGATTGAAAATTTCCGGTCTTGGTTTTGCTGGTGTTGATTCCCATGCTCATTCTTCGATAATGTATCACTATCCTCAACCCCCTCCGGGGTGGTCCTACGACTACATGGCCTCCCCTCCTACCTCTCCTCACTACGCCTACTACGCCTCTCCATTCGCCACCCCTTACACCTCCCCGCGAAGTGCCTCCAAGCGTCATGGCCGCAAAGCCAGCTTTGCGGGGACCACCAAGGACGGCTGGCATGGCGCCGCCTACGGGCCCGCCGCATACCACCCCGAGGCCATGCCCGAGTATGGCGCCCCCCGCGCAAGCACGACTATGTAAGTGCTTTCTTTGCTGGCGGTGGTGACGGCGGCTATCCGTCTAGTCGGTCGCGTCGTCGCACTACCATGTCTGGCATTCCCATCGATCCCACCGGTCCTTACCCGTCGCATCAGTCCTCGCGGAAACGATTTGTGGATGTGGTCGATGATGGTTCCGACGGTGAAGCCTACGATGACGAGAACTACCCTCCCCCGCGATCCGCCGCCGCCTCGGGTGCTCACCCGCCGCACCGATCTCCGTCGTCCCGAAAGCCCAAGGCCCCCACTGATAAGTACTTTGTTTATAACCAGGTCCCCGTCTACGATGATGCCGACACCGCGAAACGGTCGCGCGCCCGCCGGCAGTCGACTTCCACACGCACACCCCAGAAGCCCAAGCCCACCCCGGCAGCCAAACCGACCACCCACGCCACGGAGGAGGACGCCGCCCGCGCGGGGATCCCGCCCGGGTATTCGATCAAGAACTGGGACCCGACGGAGATGCCGATCATCTTGCTGGGCAGCGTGTTCGACGCCAACTCGCTGGGCAAGTGGATCTACGACTGGACGGTGTTCCACCACGGGGCGTCGACGCCCATGGCGGACGTGGCAGGCGAGCTGTGGCTGCTGCTGATCAAGCTGGCGGGCAAGGTGAAGCGGGCGGACGAGTGCGTGGACCGGATCAAGCGCACGGACGCGCACGAGACGGTCGAGAGTTTCCTCGAGAGCGGCGAGCGGCTGTGGGGGCGCTTCAAGAAGCTGCTCAAGACGTGCGAGCAGTTCATGTGGAAGGCCGCCAAGCGGGAAAGCGGCAAGGGGCCGGTCTCGATGGGTCGCAACGCCGGCTGCGAGTTCGTCGAGTCTATCTTCGGCCGCGATCGCGAGCTCGAAAACACCGAGAAATTGATGCACAGTATCCGACTGTGGAATATGCGATTTGACGCCAACTGCGAGGAGATTCTCCGACATCCAACCGCCTAGACTTCTTCACCCTTTTTCCTGTCGTTTCTTTATACCGTCCTTACGGAAGGACTCACCAAAAGTATTGATTTTTGCCTGCGGATTTGGAATGGATGTCTGACAGCAACACGGACGGCGCAAGCCACGGCTTCTTTCTTGATTGATTCACAGATCCAGCGATGGATGCATTTGAGCGCGTTTGTTTGCTTGGGATACATGAGTTGAAATGGCTGCTCGTTCTGACGGGGGCTCATTTTGACCGGCTCATTTAACTGGGCTCATATTAACCGGGGACCGCTATCAGCGCGGAGACCGGCATATCATTTCCTATGTGTTTCCTATGTTTCATTTCCTTTGTCTACTACTAATTCTGTGGATGGATTTCTCGATCTTTTCTGTTACTGGTTCTGTTCTCTTCTCATTGATTGGCTTGCTCGCATCTGGCATTGCAAGTTTTGAGCCCGGCTGGCTTCTTTCCTGTCTTCGATGATACCATTTTGCGCGGACTTGCTAGCTTTTTTTCTTCTTCTGCTTGATTTGTCGGGCTTGTTATTGTTATTGTTTGCAGTGGTAGATGGATTCGCTCGTTTGGTGCGTACATAGACCATACCCACTTATTACTACCTTATCTATTTAGATCAATCTAGTCTCACTACCTATCTATACGGTATACATGTATGATTTAGTAGTGTCAATATTCTAGAATATACTAGGAAGGGTGTATTGTATTCTAGAAACCCAATAGTTCGTATAGATAAGGCTGTGATGCCTTAGGTCCCAACTATAGTATTAGGTAGGTAATCTGCCTTACAGGTGGTCAGCAATAATGTCTATGGGTAAGGCAATGGGCACTGCCTGGTATATGCAGCTAGTGTGCGGCATGCGCCTCCTACGTAGTGTATATATGTAGGCAGTCTTGTAACGTAGACAGTCAATTTATGTATTAGCTTTAGACCGTTATGAGGCAGTTGGTATTGGTAGATGGATCATAGATCAGGAGTAGAGAGGTGTGATACCACACAGACCACCGACTACCAGCGTGGTTCTAAATCTATACTATCCGTAGACAAGGCTGAATAGAATGAAGTCATGATGGAGGTATACGTGATGGTCCTATTGGGCAACTAACCAGCGAGTTAGTACCCTAGTGCCTGTAGGCAATAAGTAAGAAATAAGTAAGGAAGCTGATCAGGCCAGGCCAGGCTTGCCATGCCACCAGTAGGCACTGCAGACAGCCTTGTCTGACCATGCAGTATATATGCAGGGTGCATGCAGTTAGCTGATAGTGTAGGCACTTCCAATCTACCAGTATATACAGTTCGTATATTTATGTATATTGGTATAGAACGCGTAATACGTACTGTATCATGAATACCACCGCAGCGAGACTCGTGAAATACTAGTTATCTGTCGCGATATAAGGTTATAAGATTATTCACAGGTGACAGAGTGTAAAAGTGTCATGATATCGTTTGTAGCCGAACCTCCTTCTTTAACACTTGTAAATGCCTATCCTACCTACTACCTCTTCTCAATTCCCATCCACCTCCTCCACCGTGGGATTCCTTCAACCCACCTCCAACATGTCTCCGTCTTTATCTCCTGGGCCCGATGACCCCCTCCTACAACTAGTAAAGGAAGTGAAGCAGGAGCCATCTACCACCAATCAGAGATTCCAAAAGTTCTTAGAAGAGCGGCAACAAGCACTGCAACAAGATAAAACCCGGCATCAATATATCGCGTTCACATCTATCCCCCCAGCGCAATCGTCCAAACTGAGCGATGATTGATCGCGAACCAAGTATTGCCGATTCTCTATCAACATAGAGACAGGATGTTTGCTAGTAAAAGTTGTGCCAGATCCTGCGCACGAACTTGCAATAAGATCCCTCGACTTGCTAATCGCTCTTGACCTGCGTGCAATGAACATTCACCGTGAGATGAGACCCTTCGGCTCAACAACAACTACAGTCGGAAACTGGAGAAAGGAGCCCGACTGCTCCTAGGATCCAGCCTTGACCAACGCCAGGCTGCGTGTTGTGGTGGAAGTGGGGTTGTCCGAGTCGGCCGGACAACTTGCTGTCGATGCGCGTGGCTGACTCGAGACTCACTTCTCATCTGTGAAATTAGCGATTACAATCAGTATCAAGCGCGAAGCTCCTGAGATCATCATACAGACATGGGAGCTTGTTCCCCGCGGAGAGGGTGCCGTTACAAGGTCGCCCCCTCTTTCCGCACGTCGTACGGCGTCTCTCAAGCTATTGAATAAATGGCACGACATCTGTTACGGGAGAGACCTACCAGGGCAGCACTACCACAACTACCACAAATCTCACTCTACCCTTTAGCAAGGTTGTGGGCCGTCCCCATCGTCAGCCGCTCGAGAGAGACTTAGTGATTCCCGGGCAAGAGCTGAGACGTTTCGCTGAGGATATATGGAGTGAGCAAAATATCCTGTGAGTTGTTCAACGGGGGGCTTGAATTTGTGGCGTAGGCATTGGGCAAGCCCCAGCGCCAGGCCAAACTCAATGATCATGTCGCAATATAAGATTAACTATATAAGGGTATTCACAGAGCTCAGAAGTGTCTAGATATCTTTTGTAGCCGAGTAGTATTCTTTGCCACAGATCATCATCGAGATACGCAACTGGATATGGAAAGGGCTCTTAAATATGTTGTGGATTGAGGCCCAACGAAGATAAACACGACAGACTCGAATACAGATCTGATTCTGTTAGGATTCTATATGATTGAAATTATTTGATAACATCTTGCATCTAAACCTCCAATCAGATGTCGTGCAATCCCGGTACATATGTGCGTAATTTTATATATGTAACATGCATGTAATATGTATAGCATGGGCTGTGACTACCCTCCTCAGATAGTTAATCAATGACTGGTTGGTCGGCCTAACTTTATCGACGTCAGATCGCAGAAGCAAGAACACCTGGCACCAGTGTACTGCTGCCGAGGGTAGCCGGTATGTATATACCAAGAAAGGCAGGGAGGCTCCAAGCCTCCGCTGGTTGTGATTAGTGGAGGGGGTATAGTTCGGATTGGGCGGGTGGTGTGATTATTGGTAGATGGAATGAGGCGAAGGACTACTTGCATCCATGTGATATTCCACGCTGTTTGAGTGAGCTAACTGCTAGGTCTAAACTTATTCAAGGCTGGAATCTGAGTGCTTATTTTGTTGCGATTTGGTCATGTGACTACGGTGCCCTGACTGCAATGACTGATTGATTGAGTATCACTCCTCGAGCCTAGGCAGTGGGAATAACATTGTCATTTCCCTCTAGTTGTGCCACGGTTCGGATATGACGTGGTCGCTGTGAGTCATGCTGGATAACATCCATGTCACATCGTGGCTCGTGATACTAGGGGTGGAAGATGCCATTTGTGCTGCGATACACTAGCGAGATGTATAGTTTCTTATTGTGGCTGAAAGGATGTTTGGTGTTGTAGGATTATTTGCATATTGGGTTGTATATTACTGTTCATTGATGTGTGAGTCAATCATTCGAATGCTTTAGCTTTATATCTCATATATTGCTAGTCCTGATCATGACAATATACGGTATGCGAGTAGAAGTACTATAGGGGAGTCAACATCGACATGAGTCTAGCCGCCACCAGTAGTCGTATGCACCACTGCTTAATGTAGTCCTCGGAGCACCAGGTTGTTAAAGCGAATAGGGAACAAGCCATGCCCAATAAAATGGTTGACTCGCATCCATCGATCTACAGCCGATGCTGCCTGACCATCCATCCCAGCAACGATCCTAAAATCGAGCAAAGGAGGGAGATAACTAACAGATTAGCATCAGCCAGAAAATTTATACAGAAGGGAAAGCACACCATAAGTCCCCTGCAGCCCATCCACATAACACCGAACTACAACCTCGCGGAGTCGGCCTTCCAGCCCAGCAATATAGTTCGTATCGGACACGGCGCGGCGAATAACCTACCCTGGTCAGCCTATCCCAAGCGCGAAGAAAAGAAACGAAAAAAAAAAAAAAAAAAACACTTACCTCATCCGCCTCAGGACCATGTAACCTTCTTCCTAACTCCCGCCGAAACCCCACCCCCAAAACCGTATTCGTGACCGTCACCCCAGTCGTCATAGCCAGACTGATCACCAACATATACCCGCTCGTCGCCATGGCGACCTCACCCGGTTCCAGCAGCGCCGACATGGCTACAAACGCCGCCGCAGAGCATATACCCGAGCCCAGCCCACCGGGCAAGATATCCAGCGACTCCCAAGGGGACAGGGGTTGGTCGCGCCAGCGGGCGAGAAGCAGCGCGTAGGAGACGGCGGCGACGGGCCCCGCGATGATCAGTAGGAACTTGTAGCGGCCCGTTCGACGGGTGACGTAGCCGGCGAGCAAACCGCCGAGGGTGTTCCCTGCGACGGAGGGAATCATGTGTGCGCCTGCGCGGGTGGTGGAGGCGCGCTGCGAGACTTGCATGTACAGCGGGACGGCGAAGACCATGCCGAGCTGGGCGGTGGTCTGGAGGAAGGAGATGGTGTAGGCAATGGGGACGTTGCGGTTGTTGTGGAGGATGCGCAGGTCGAAGATGGGCTCTGGGGCGAGGGTCTTGGACGTCTCTACGGCGACGAAGAGCGCCCCTAGCGCGAGGCCGCTGCTGAACAGGAGGAGCGCGGGCCATGAGACCCAGGGGAAGGCGTGGCCGCCGCGGTCGAGGACTGTGATCAATGATATGATTGAGGCTGCGAGGAGGGCGGTGCCGAGGAAGTCGACTCGTCGGATGGATGGGGCGTGCGGGGTGTCGGGAGGGGCGATTTGCAATTTGACGATGACTAGGATTGCGCCGGCTGCGATGAATGGGATTTGCAGGAGGAAGAGCCTGATTTGGTGAGAATGATTCTAGTTTTCGGGGTGCTTCGATAGATTGACAGACCATCTCCAGCCGACGGCGTCGGTCAGCCAACCCCCGAGTGGTCCGCCGACACTGCGGCCCAGTGTCATGGCGATGTTGATATAGGCGCGCCACGAGGCGAGGTCGCGCCGGGGAACGATGTCTGCTCGAGTGAGCGAGTGAGCCACGTAATTGAGCCACTGGATGCAATGAATCTCACCAGTGATAATCACCGATCCTAAAGTCATGATGCCAGCTCCGCCAATGCCACTGACGGCACGGCCGAGAATCACCATCCACAGACCATGACCGATTCCCCTTTATACGTTAGTGAGGTCTCTCTCTAGAGGAAAAGTATTAACACACGAGATCAAGCATCCAACTGCAAAGAAAGCATACGCTACAAGTAGAACGGGCTTTCTACCGTAGATGTCGCTCAATTTGCCATACTGGTTGGTCACATCAGCGCATGTTCTTCGGGGTCGCTCGGCGCGTCGCTCTACAGTACCATGGGTTGCGCCGCACAGAGACTCAGCGTGTATCCTGTGGATAGCCAGCTTGCGTCCTGGAGGCGCTGGAACTGGGACGAGATAGGTGCAGCAGCAGCCATTACCAGCGTGCCGTCGGCATTGGTGATGAATTCGCCTGGGTGCGTCAGTATCTGTTTAAACCCTCCAAAACTCAAATCCTACCAAGGAGTAAAACCGCCACTACAGTCGACACACTGGTCAACAATTTCACGGATTGCTCTGTATGCGCCGGCCGCGCAAGAAGAGGATCCTCCTCGTCGACCCCGCCATTTTTGACGTATGGCTGGCGGCCATTATTGGCAATCGTTTGGTATGGCGAGTAGTGCTCTCGCGGTGCCTTATCCACCGCTGCCATAATGATGTCGTGAGATTTGACATTGAATCATTTTCAAGATCAAACCATAATCAAGAAACAAATGGTAGACGATCTACAGTGGTCTTGATGATAAATCAGGCGGTTGATACAGTGTACTCATTGCGGTGCAAAAGCACGCAATTGAGTTAGCTCGAAAATTCCATCTACTAGTAGGTTATTCAGGATGTTATTGTGTTTTAAAAAGCTACTATTATCCTATTTAACAATGCCTACCTCATATTCCTTGATACTGCAATGGGTGGTGGTGGGGCAGTCATGGAGGCTAACCCTAACATGGTACGGAGAGTCTTGACTACAAAACGACAGACCTGTCACTGCATCAAAGTTATGATAGTTTCAGAAGAGTCTCATTCACACCTGTCAGATGTTACTATGGATAAATTCAATTGAAGGCCTGGAATGTATCACTGGCATTGTCCTGAGACGAAGCCAGACAGTGAATGCTCCCCACGGATTTGAATTCCAGAGACTTTACACTTACCATGTCATATTCTCCAAAATAGCTATATCCTTTGCAGCCAAAGTTATTTTCATATAAATACCATCATATAAGACATTCCAAGCAAAACGATGACCAGAGAATATAAACATACCTAATTCGATTAACCTAAACCTGAGCCAAGATGATTCTATCTGGACATGATTGTCCACTTGCCTTGTTATCTTACGCAACCAGTACATCAAGACCCGCAAAAATAGACATCAACCCTCATCCACCGATATACCAGCTGGTATTGCTGTCTCTTCACAGTCTCGCGGCGTATAGGCAGCCCGGCTCGACTTCTCCACAGATTTGTCTATCCACGATTCGTGAAAGACACACTGCATTCGTGGCCACCCAGCGCCTCACAGACTTACAAACCAATAACCAGCCTTTAGACATAATGAGATACCGAGATGTGTCAAGATAAAGCATAGTGAAAGCCCAGGAAAGTCTATGATCAATGCTAAGAGGCTTCTCTTGGACGGGTTCCTTGACAGGAACGGGCTGATGTCCATGGGACTCTCCTTATCTGACTTGGAACGATGCTTGAGCTTTTTCGTTCCGTGATTTGTGACTTCTAGAACCTTCAACACTATGTCGCTTTGTGGTCAAGTGGTCATAACCATCTTTCTGCGCTCACTATCCATGGAGAGGACGACAATGGGATAATCATGTCCAACCCTTCAAGACCAGATCTCACCAAAAAGCAAAGGAATGATACAATCTTACGGAAAGGTAAACCTTTCAACAGTATCTATACTGGCGTCTACGTATAGTATCATCGCCTTGGCCACATAGCCAGCACGACTTAGCTGCGTCATGGCAGTGTACTCGTCTTGGTGGCTTTTTTATATTGAGTTTTAACTTTTAACTATAGTGCGTGATTGGGTTGGGTTCTAAATTGCCTTGATTGTATGTTTACTTATGTAACATCTTGTTATTTTTTATATAGACTTGTATCATATAGTGAAAATATCTTAACCTATAACAGGAGACTAGATATGAACAGTAGGGCTGCTTTCATGTATTGTACATATTTACACGAGTAGTCTACAAAATCCTACACATGAGTTTAGTATATGTAGAATAACTTCGTCTATATAATTATTACTATTGGAGCGTTTATGCATGCGCTCCAAACCAAAATCAGAGTATGATCCCGATGCTCACCCGTACACACCCACAAACTAATCTAATCTATAACACCACGGTCTATGTCATCTATAACATCACGTTTACAATCACTTCGTCTCCTGAACGGTCTCCCCCGGCCACACCAACCAAGCCAGAGCAACCACAAACTTCAACCCCGCCGCCATCCACAGCGCCGACTCCATCCCCCCACTGCTCCGACTTAGCCACCCGCCCGCAATGGCCCCCACCAACAGCGCCACGACGCCCCCGACGCGACGGTTGCGCTTAACATTCGTCAAGGGCCCGCGCACTATCTGCGGATCCGTCGCCACGTCGAAGTAAACGCTAGTCAAGACGACGGTGGGGATTTCGGAGTAGCCCAGCGCGCGACTGGCGGTCATGGCGCCGGCGGACTGGAAGGCGAGAAGCGCGATGGGGATGAGTTCGAGAAAAAGCGGGCCCGACTGTAAGGTCATGTCGGCGGGGGTGTGCGGGATGAGGTCGGCTTCGATGAGGGCGACGGCAATGACGACGAGGATGGCCTGCACGAGGAAGGAGACGAAGAGGGCGACGCGGGAGCGGGCCCCGACACGGCGCGTGATGTTCGAGAAGATGAGCGCGCCGAGGAAGAAGCCGACGATGGAGATGAGGGATTTGAGCCAGCCCCAGGGTTTGTTGTCCGGTAGGTTGGAGGCGCCTAGCCCGAGGAAGATGGTGTTTCCTGTGCGGGTCAGTTTGGTTCTCGTGTCATGTTTTGATGAGGGGCAAGGGAAGTACCTGTTTGCATGGCGAGGAAACAGGACCATGCGTTGTAGGCTGCACTGTCGCAGAGGCCGGTGTTTAGACACAGGAGCAGACAGATCAGGTCGGCATTGCGGGGGTCCACTGCTTGCTTCCACCGGTGGATCCGGGACGGGCGATGCGCTTCGAGATCTGCTGCCATGATGGTTGGGTGTGTCGTCACTTTATCCTCCATTGCTTTCAGGAATTCCAGGCGGGGAAAGAGGTATAATGAAGCAGAGTGAGAAGAGACCTGGTGGTGGACGCCAAGGGTTGTGGGGATGAGTCAAACCGAGGTGCAAATTTTCGCGACGGATACTAGTAACGATTGGCGCCGGAGCTGCTCCGATACGGGTTCGCGGTGTGGCATTCTTTCCGACATCCTAGATACCTTGCCCGCGCTCTGACGCATTTGAGGCATGTCAGTCAAGGAGTCAGGTCAGGGTTCCGAAGGATTCAATTCTTGCTCTGAATGTCGACATCCAGACCACTGCCAGACAAGCGACATGGATGCTGCACGGTGGATCAGCTCCACGCCCCACCGATAGGGCTGAAGCTATATTTGATTGGTGATGCCTTGAGAATCACATTGTGAGTGATCGATAGATCGGTTGATATCCTTCAATCCCAGACTTATCCTCATGCAACATGGCAATATTATCCCATATAACAACGATATCAAAACGACACCAGATCAGATCAGCTGACGGAGATGAGATGCGATCACGATTACTAATCGTGACGGATCTATACGGGTCCTTCCGATCCGCTCCGATCGATCTGGATGACTTCAAGATCCATTCCCATCGGATTAGATTCCAATTGTCCTTCGACTTGATGGTTGTGTCAATGTTAGAGGCAAGAGTGATACAAGAATGACATAGTCAGTACAACAGACACCTTGCCACGTAGCCAAGCTAACATCTGTTCTACTTCATCAGCCTAGGCTGATGGAACAATGAAATCATCATCATCCATCCATCAATCAGAAACTCAAATCAACCGGTCAACGCATCAGCGACCCCGGTTTCTGGGGTATCCCTGATGCGGAGAAAGGAGGGGGGCGCCATGTCGGCGTCATCACCGCATCATGGTCTTGCCACCGCAGTCGTAAAACATGACCATCGCCCGCTTCAGAGACACACTATCAAAGCAACATCGTGAAGAAGAATCTTACAGTTAATCTATCCACACCACGTATGTTTTCCTCCGAGATCTGACTTGATCTGGCGATCTAACGTCTTTTAGAACATCCACCATGGACACAGCCAAGCAGTACGCCCGATCGGCTCAACAAAAAGCCCAGGAGAAGACCGGCATGGACATGGGTGCTCCCCACCCCCATGAGCCCGACGTCAACAAGTTGAACCCCGAGGAGTACTTTGAAACCACCGTCGATAAGGACGGCCACATCGTCGATGACCGATATGCGTTCACGGATGGCGAGAACATCGGCAAGGGCAGAAGGGACGAGGCGGATGCCTACGAAGCGGCCACGAAAGATTTTGAGTAAATCGGGTGCATATGCATGGGGGTTTTATTACTGAGGCACACTCTTTAATCGTGTCAAATAGGCGACAGTACGAAATGCTACTTCACTCAGTCAGTAAATATCGAACGATGGAGCGTCGTAGAGATCTATAGGATTGCCATGGCAACGTCACCCGTCGCCAAGTCATCGCTGCCCCAGGCACCCACCTGCCTGATCAGGCAAAATCCAAACCAGGAGTCTTGATCTCCAACTTAACCTTCATCTTCATCCACATTCCATCCATCATTCATTCGTGTGGGCTCATCTATGCCTCGTTGTCAGGGTTAACATTCTTTATCCGATCTTTTCTTCATTTGAATTATTCCTTCCCCCCCTTGATCATACTTTTTGGCTCCTTCCTTCTTCTGATATAGTCCCTCGGATGCACTTCGCACGGCCCGTTTCCTCACGCTCTCCCTTACGACTTCCTCGCAGCTCTTCTTCTTTATCATTCCGGCAGTGACGATCCTTTGGGATCCACTGGTACACCGGCCTGTATGTACCATCATCTATTGCTTCGCCATCGCGACGCCGTCGCTCAGTTTATACAGTTTTTGACGCTTCACAGCCGGGAGATGTCCCTGGACCCACGTCTCTATCATTCCCTGGGTCCGGGCCCCGGCCTGGGCTCGCAGTCGTGCGCCTCGACCTCCGGCATGTCGTCGGTGACGGGCATCACCACTCCCTCCGCCTACTCCACCACCGCTTCCTCCGCCGCCCTTCGCTCCACGGCTTCTAGCCCGTCTCTGCGCGCCCGTCAGGGTGTCGCGGTACCCGCGCGAGGCGATGGCATAGCCAGCCCGTCGCCTGCGGGCAACGTGCGCGTAGTGGTCCGTGTCAGAAATTTCCTACCTCGAGGTGGGTTACTCAAGGAGGACGGGTGAAGTTCTCCCCCTTCCCCGCGATTGATGGCTAATGGAGTGCAGAACTCGCGCGCGATGCCCCGTGTCTGATCACCATGGACCCTGACACCCAGATGACGAAACTCAAGGCCCCTCCCAATCATCAGGACAACGGAAAGCCCAAGTCGCAGGCGCGCGGCAAGGTGCTCGAGGACAAGTCGTTTATCTTCGACAACTCGTTCTGGTCGCATGATGAAGACGACGCGCACTATGCCGGACAAGAGGACGTCTACAACTGCCTGGGTGAGGAATTCCTGGATCACAACTTTGAAGGGTACCACACGTGCATCTTCGCCTACGGACAGACGGGGTCCGGCAAGAGTTACACCATGATGGGCACGCCCGACCGCCCCGGGCTGATCCCCCGCACCTGCGAGGACCTCTTCGACCGCATAGAGGGCGCCCAGTCGCCGGATGTCAGCTTCAATGTGCGCGTCTCCTACTTCGAGGTCTACAACGAGCACGTCCGCGACCTCTTGGTGCCGCGCACCGATCCGCCGCACTACCTGCGCATTCGCGAGTCCCCCGCCGAGGGCCCGTATGTCAAGGACTTGACCGAGGTGACGGTCCGGAATTTCACAGAGCTGATGAAATTCATGCGCAAGGGGGATGTGTCGCGGACGACGGCCAGCACCAAGATGAACGACACCTCGTCGCGATCCCACGCCGTCTTTACCATCACGTTAAAACAGATCCACCACGACCTGTCGACAGACGAGACCACGGAACGCACCGCGCGCATCCGGCTGGTCGATCTGGCCGGCTCGGAACGGGCCAAATCTACCGAAGCCACGGGTCAGCGTTTGCGCGAAGGCTCCAACATCAACAAGTCCCTGACAACACTGGGCCGCGTGATCGCCGCGTTGGCTGACCCACGCGCCGGGGGGACGCCGCGTCCCGGCGGCAAGCGCAAGGGCCGGGACGTGGTGCCGTACCGAGACTCGATCCTCACGTGGCTACTCAAAGATAGTCTGGGCGGGAACTCCAAGACAGCCATGATCGCGTGCATATCGCCGACGGATTACGAGGAGACCCTGTCGACGTTGCGGTACGCGGACCAGGCCAAGCACATCCGCACGCGCGCACGCGTCAACCAGGACCACCTGTCCGCGGCGGAGCGCGACCAACAGATCGCCGAGATGGCGGAGACGATACGATCGCTGCAGCTCAGTGTATCGCAGGCGGCAGCCAACCGGCGCGAAACCGAACTGCAGACGGAACGGCTCGAGGACTACCAGTCGCAGGTCGAGAAGATGCAGCGCCTAATGGAGGAGACCAAGATGGTCAGCGAGTGCAAGATCCGTCAACTGCAGACGGAGAACGAAGCGTTGCGCAACCACCTCAAGCTAGCCCTGGACAGCCTCCGGAATCCGATACCCCCGGTGACGATCGAGCCACGACGCGGCCGCGAGAGTCTTTCCCCGGTGTGCGAGTCACCATCTTACGACCTGGAGCGGTCGGGGTCGCCCGACTGGCAAGGCACGCCCGATCTAGTCTGGGAGGACGGGGCTGCCACCAGCGATGGGGACGCCGACGCGCAGGAGATGCAAGCCGACATGGAGAATCTCCTAGGCGATCTGAGCATGTTCAAACGCAAGCTGGCCACGGACCACGAACGGTTCCGACATCCCAACCCGGCGGGACGCAAGAAAAGACGGGCATTGGGGGACATATGGACTAATACGCGATGATACTTTCTTCTCTTCTTCTATCATGTTTCAATTCCCTGTTAGGTCGGATGTCTCTTTGGCGTTGGTGGGATTATGGTGCGGTTGTCTTTGTTTATGACTTTATGTGATTATGCATGCCATGCTGGGTAATTATGATACATACTTTTTCCTTCTTTTTTCTTTGACTTTATGGATGGTTCGTCATGGAATTTTTCGTGTATGGAGATGAGATTAGTAGACAGACTCGTTCTACCAGGTTTTCAATTCGCAGCCTGAGGACATACATGTCACGATGATTGAAAGTGTCATGGCATCTGTATTTTGCGATTTGTATTATTATCGGCGTTCTCTAGGTTTTATTCCTTCTCCAGTGGGTTTGAGACTGGAAAATAGGCCCAGTCAGGCGTGGGGAGCAGGTTGTATGGAATTCTTCATGCATTATATGGAGACCGTCTACCCCATGTGAAATCATTGAGACGTAATCGTAACAATACAACGCTGCCAATTTGCCTGGAACTGTACTTTGAGTCTTACAACCGATCCAATGCTGTTGTCCCAAGATGGATAGTCAGGAAGCTCTCGAGAAGACAGTCTCCTGCTCGTTTCTTTGGAGTCTTAGATAGCACCTGCATCAACTTGTGATGGCTGGTGTCATCATTCACTGTTTGTGCTATTCCAATAGTATAGAGCAGGTAGAAGGTAATAAGAGTCGCACGAGAGATCAAGGATAGAAGTCGAAGTGAAGTCGAAGTGAGGTAGAAGTAAAGATGATCGGTATCAGTCATGTGATCGGTTTGCACAATAGAGTTATGCCTATGCAGCATGACTAACATGCATGCTGGATGCATCATCTGATTTTCATTTGAGTCATTCACCTCGATCCACTTCACGCCAATATTCTTCCATTCCAATCACCTCCTGCCTTTGGTTTCTTGATCCCTCCACTCCACTTGGGGACTAGTCGTGCATTCAATTACTCGCCCACTCTGACGGCCAATTTCTAACCCCCTCCCCTCCTTCCACTCTCTCTCCCACCATGTCCACCCCCGATCCGGCACGACCCCCACCACAACGCCCACCCCTCCGCCCACCCAGCAACCAACCCCTCCAGCCGAGATGTCCGCCCCCGCAGACAAGAAACCCGCCGCCGACCCAGCGGCAGAGAAAGTATCCGGCGCGGAACTCAAGAAGAAAGCCAAGGCCGAAAAGGCCGCCCGTCGCGCCCGCGAGCGCGCCGATCGCGAAGCCACCGGCGGGACACCCGGTCCCAAGGACGGAGCGGGCAAGAAGGGCGCCGGCGCGGGGGGTGCAGCCGGTGGTAAGGACGCCGGTGCGGGCGGACAGAAGGGCCAGCGTCAGCAGCAGCGGAGGGGGTCGACGCAGGGCGGTCCCGAGGCGAAGAAGCGGCCCGTGGAGAACAAGAATGTTGCCGTCTTTGGGCATCTGTATGGACAGCCGCGGCGCACGAGCGTCGCGGGTGCTGGGAAGGAGGTGCATCCGGCTGTGTTGGCGCTGGGTCTGCAGATGAGAGACTATGTGGTGTGTGGGAGTAGTGCGCGCTGCGTTGCTACCTTGTTGGCTTTCAAGCGAGTATGTCTGCTTTCTTTTTCCATTCTTATTTCAATTCATTTTATGGGACAACAGCTCATTCATTGAACAGGTCATCGAGGCGTATACCACCCCTCTCGGAACTTCGCTCTCCCGCCACTTGACCACCCACCTCTCGCACCAGATCAGCTACCTCTCGACGTGTCGCCCGCTGTCCATCAGCCAGGGCAATGCGATCCGCGCCCTGAAACTGGAGATCGCGTCCATCGACCCGTCCGTCCCCGAGGCCGAAGCCAAGGCCGCCCTCAGCGAATTCATCGACAGCTTCATCCGGGAGAAGATCACAGTCGCGGACCAGGTGATCGCCGGCAGCGCGGCGCAGAAGATCCAGGATGGCGACGTCATCGTCACGTACGCAGGCAGCTCGCTCGTCAAGCAGACGCTGCTCGCAGCAGCCCGCGAGGGCAAGCGGTTCCGCGTGTCGGTGATCGACTCGCGCCCGCTGTTCGAGGGCAAGCATATGGCGCGCGCCCTGGTCGCCGCGGGACTCGACGTGCAGTACACGCTCGTCCACGGCATCAGCCACGCCATCAAGGACGCCACCAAGGTGTTCCTGGGCGCTCACGCCATGACCAGTAACGGCCGCTTGTACTCGCGGGTCGGGACGGCTCTTGTGGCCATGTCGGCCAAGGAGCGCGCGGGCGGCGTCGAGGTGCCCGTCATCGTGTGCTGCGAGACTGTCAAATTCACGGACCGGGTTGCACTGGACAGCATCGTGGTCAACGAGCTCGCCGACGCCGACGAGCTGGTGGAGGTGCAGGCCCCGCAGCAGCTGACCGGGCTGCCCGACCCTGCCGCCGCCGCCGCCGCCGCCGCTGCCGCAGAGCAGGAAACCAAGAAGGGCGGGAAGGCCAACCAGACAGCACACAGTGCTCAGAGCGCAGCGACCGAGTTTCCATCCAACGCCTCGCCGCTGGCGAACTGGAAAGAGACGCCCAATCTGCAGCTGCTGAACATCATGTACGATGTGACACCGGCGCAGTACGTGGACATGGTAGTGACGGAGATGGGGAGTCTGCCGCCCAGCGCGGTGCCTGTTGTGCACCGGATGAGTACGAATATGTGATTTCTTAACTTCAGTATTGTCATGATAGATAGAATGGGTTATACAATACCTAAGGTAACCTTAGTAGTGTTCCAGTATAGAGATAGGAATAGGCGGTGAGGTACTGCCGGACTTTCGTATCTAATCTCCCTCAATCCATCAACATCAACAACCTGGAAAACACCACTCCAACTATATCAACACCATAAACAATCTACCACAACAGAACCACACAGCGCGCATTCAACACAGACACAGAACATCCCTTCAAAATGGTCCGTAAACCCATCCCCACCCTCCCACCCACACCAATCCAAAAATCAAACAACTAACCCCCCACAGAGCAAAGACTCAACAGCAACCTACCTGCACATGCACCACCCGCACCTAGCAGACCACTTCGAAGACTTCACGCGCCCACATACCTCCCCCTTCTCCTCAACCTCCACCTCCTCCACAAACTTCACAGCATCAACATCCTCCCCCTCCCTGCCCACCCCCCACCCCACAACAACGACAACGACAACGCCGGGCCCAACGGCGCCCCAACAACAACAACCCACACAGTCACCTACGGCAACAGCGGCTCAACAACAACGACGATCCCGTCCTTCCTGCCCATCGAAGACGTGTACGTCGCGCCGCAGTTCCAGCCTCCTAACCCCGAGGACGAGGACGATGTGGTTCCTGATCAGCATGCTGCGTTTGGGATTACGAGGGCGATGGAGAGGAGGAGGGAGGGGGTTTGGAGGGATTTGGGGCTCGAGGGGTTAGTGAGTTCTGGGGGTGGTGGTGGCAGTGGTGGGAGAGGAGGTGCTGGGGGGAGGGGAGGGGCTGTTGTTAGGGTTAGGGAGGGGGGAGGTTGATGGGGGGAGGAGGGGGGTTGTTATGATGCGGTAGGCTTCTTTGTCTCTGTTGATTGATTGATTGATTGATTGATTGTATGATATGGTGATATGGAGATATATGGTTCATAAGGTATATGGTTCATATGAAGGTATGGTTAATGAATGATATGATACTGGAGAATATAAAGTAAAGTACTATGTCGTAATGTATAAAGATGACCAACGCCATTCCATAATTCAAGCAATCAACTTATATCCGTTTGATATCAACCCGCCCCCGCTCCCACAATTTGTGACTGACATGCTTCTGTTCGCGCTCGTCCTCCGCCAGCTCGCGCGGATGGATCGCCAGCTGCGCGTACGTCCCCGGCGCGCGGCGCTTGGACAGCGTCCCCGGGTTGATGACCAGCACGCTATCCACGACCTTGACGAACGGCGGCAGCGCGCTCGGCACGATCAGCACGTCCGGCCGCACATTCCACCACTCGCCCAGCTTCATGTAGCTGGCGTCGAGCATGGCGCCCGTCCCCGACAGGCTGGGCTGCGACGTCGGCGGGAAGACCGGCTGGAAGTGTCGCTGCTCGATCAGGTACTTGGATAGCCGCGACAGCAGGTTGCCCTCGGCGGGGCGGCCGTGTAGCACCTCCTCGCGGCGCAGGTCGGAGAGCACGTCGTGCGCGCTTATTCCGACGACCGTTTCGTTGAGGGATAGTGTTACCGGGTTGGACACCATGCGGACTTGTTTGGGCAGGCCTAGCTCTTTCTTGCCGAGCTGCTCTTGTGGCCATGATACGTGTCGGCTGACAGCGTCGCGCACGGAGGGGACCATCATGATTGTCACGTTGGGGACCGCCGCGGCGAGTCGTTGGAGCGGCGCGGTCACGCAGTGGCGGAATACCGTTGCGAGGGTGGCCGTGTCTGGGTCGAAGCCCGGCGTGCCATCGAGAAAGTCAAAGTCCCCTGCGGCGACGTGTGGGTGCTCGATGTCCAGGAACGGGCCCAGCAGCACGAGTGCGTCCGCCCCGCTGTCCGCGGCGTTCTTGCACAGCTCGTTTAACGGTTCGAAGGCGAGGTTGTCGTCTGCCGTGTAGGGCCCTGTCGCGACGAGCACGTTCAGCGGGGACGATCCGCCGGTTGCTTCGAGTCGCTCGTTGACGTTGTCGATGGTCACCGTCGAGGAGGCGGCGGGCGGCAGTAACGGCGTGGGGAGGACCTCCTTGACGGAGAAGTAGTTCCCGGACGCGTTGATGCCACGGAGGGCGACGATCTGGCCCGGGAAGAAGTTGGCTGACGGGATAGAGTCCACGTTGAGCGGCACGCGGAGGCCCGCCCCCGTGCGTCGCGACGTTTCCAGCACCAGCGACGCCGGGTTGAGTTTGCCCTCCATGGTGTCGGAGGCGACGCGCCCGATCGCGACGATCTCACTGGTGCTCTGCGTGCCTGCGCTGCCGATCGTGATGTCCTCGGAGGCGTAGTGCTTCTCGAACAGCGCCGTGAACTCGTCGATCCGGTCGTCGAGGATCTCGGACACCTCGGCGAGGCGCATGGCCATGGGCTTGTACGCAAACTTCTTCAGGTCCGTGTTGGCGGTGGGTTTGATTCGTGATTCCGAGTATGGCGCCAGCGGGGGTTCGGGGGGTGGCAGGTGGGAGTTGAGGGTCTCGACGGTTTGGCCGGGGTTAGGGCGGTCCGCGAAGGGAATCGACCTGCTGTGTTAGACGGTGGTATGGATGCATGGTGCAGTCGCAACATACTGGGTGTCCGCCGAGCTAATACTACTACCGTTGGCCAGTTTACTCGGGGTTTTCGCACCAGGCGACTCCAGACCATTCATCCTGCCCAATTTCGGTGCCGTGGGGGACGAAAAGTCCGCCTTCCGTTTGGCAACATTGGCGCTGTTAGGTGTCCGACCATGCGCTGCTCCGGGGGTCAGACCGTCGAGCCTGGACACATCAGCCTCTCATCACCAACGCTTTGGGGGCCTGATTCCGACCTACATGCCGAACACATCGGACGTGGTAGCGGCTCGCGGGGTCGCTGTCTGCGGGAGCTTCTTCTCGGCCGTCTGTCGCCCTCCGCGGCCGCGAGTCTCGCGCTCGAGACCGTCCTGAACATCTCGCTTGAAGAGGCGCACCGTCTCGAGATCCATCTTCGTCTCCTCCCCCATCTTCAAACAGTAGGACTCCCATTTGTAGAATAGTTCCTGTGGGGCGATCGAGTGGACGCGGAGGATGGACTGTAGCTCGGTGAGAATATCTTTCGGGAGGCCATCGGGGGCCGCAGGAGCGAAGAGCTCATTGATCTCCGCCGTGTCACCCATGTCTACCTATCAACCAGGGTTCTCGAGGGTCTGGGGTAAAAAAGATGATGCCAAATGCGAAGAGGTCGGCGCGTCCCGCGATCTCACGCGTCGGATCCATTAAGTACCGACCGCCTTCCTTAAAGGACTGACCGCCTTGAAATGCCCGACAACCCAAACAGGTAATGCGCAAAGACCGAATTCTCACCAGAGCAAATCTATTTCTATTCTGGTCCAATGGTAAGAATAGGATCGGCCAGGGATCTGTCGATCTCGGATGATACGTGAATCATGCCGAGAAAAACGTAATTTTAAAAAAGGTGGGAAAAAAGCAAAGGAGGAGAATCTGCCGCATGAAACAAACCGGTCAGAGAGTGGACACGTTCGATGCTTCTATAAGAGCTTCCACTGCCCCCTTTGCCTGCTCTTCCTCCCCGGTCGGTCTTTTTTGAACAATTCCAACCCAACACACATTGATCCACTATGACTACTCCCTCCGAAACCCCTGTCAGCACGACGGTCTCTCCTGAGGCCGTTCCGAACGGCAGTCAACTGTCCCTCCCCGTCTCCGCGGCCGACGGTCTCGTCCAGAAACCGTTCGCCCTCCCCCTGGATACCTCCAAGCCCGAAACGCCGGCCCCACTCACGGCCGACCAACAAGCCAAATATGACACCGTGTTGAGAGCCGTGTCCCAGTGGACGACGGTGCCGACCACGGCGGCGAAGAATGCCGCGGTGGAGCCCATCACCGACGACGAGCGCCTGTTTCTGACGCGCGAGTGCCTGCTGCGCTACCTGCGGGCGACCAAGTGGAACGTGCCCGAGGCGATCGGGCGGCTACAGCGCACGCTGACCTGGCGGCGCGAGTACGGGGTCGCGAAGCTGACGGAGGATTACATCTCGGTGGAGAACGAGACGGGGAAGCAGGTGATTCTGGGGTACGACATTCACGCGCGGCCCTGTCTGTACTTGCTGCCGTCCAACCAGAACACGGAGAAGAGCGACCGACAGATCGAGCATCTGGTGTACATGCTGGAGCGGGTGATTGACATCATGGGGCCCGACCAGGAGACGCTGGCGCTGATCGTCAACTACAACGAGACCAAGTCGGGGCAGAACGCCAGCGTCGGCCAGGCCAAGCAGACGCTCAACTTTCTGCAGAACCATTATCCGGAGCGGTTGGGGCGCGCCTTGGTGATTAACAGTATGCCACTTCTCTTTTCCTTTCTTCTCTGCCTGATCTTTTGGGTTGATATACTGACGATGAGACAATCATAGTGCCCTTCATGGTCATGGGTTTCTTCAAGCTGATCACCCCGTTCATCGACCCCCACACGCGCCAGAAGCTCAAGTTCAACGAGGATCTGTGCCAACACGTCCCGTCGGGCCAGCTGATGAAGTCGATGGGCGGCGATGTCGAGTTCCGCTACGACCATTCGATCTACTGGCCCGCGATGACCGCGATGGCCGATCAGAAGCGCCAGGCCTACCGCGAGCGCTGGGTTCAAAACGGCAAGCACATCGGCGAGTACGAGAACTATTTGAAGACGGGAGAGGGGCCGCGCGTGGCGTCGGGCGAGGAATCGACTGCATGATTTTTTTTTTTTTTTTTTCTTTTTTTTTTTTCTCTTGTCTTCTCCTTTTTCTTCTGTCTTTTTTGTCCCCTTTCTTTGTCTTTTCCTTAATACTCCTATCGTTGATATCGCAGATGAGCTTGCTTGATTCGAATCCGGCGTCGAGTGCATGCATGGTTGATTTGATCTTGATATGGACCGTTTATAGATATAGATTAACGCTGACTGATGTCGAGTCGTGTATATACCTTCTATATGATACGTCGATAATAGAGCAGGCGCATTCCCCTCCTCCACTTCGTCTCCATCGTCTCCATCTATAGGTATATAGACATCACGTGACCAGCGGGGTTGTACTTCCCATGACGTTGGATGGCATGATCAGGGGTTGCAGATAGTTCGAGGGGCAATAGTATTACAAGAGCTTGCAGTGGAGTGCCTGTACTTCAGGAGTACCTTTTACCAAGTCCTGTACGTAGTCGTGCTGTTGATACTTAATAGTGATATAGACATGTGGATCCCAATAGCCCCAATGCGTACAGATCATATGCTTCCCCACGAGTAGAAGAGGATCAATATGAATTAAGTATAATTATCACAAAATCCATATTAGATACTAATATAATCCAAAAATACAGAATAAAATCAGGTAATATAGAAGAATCAATTGTTAAGACGATCATACCCAACCGGGTCACCGCCCGCCAGACGGTCCAACTCCACCGTCATCCTCTCTCTCTCTCTCTCTCCCTCTCTCTTCTTCTCCCACTTACTCCCCTCAATTCAACCTTCCCTCAGAGCTCTCGACAGGATCCACAACCTCATCTCTCGTCATTCCCTCTCTACTTCAACACGAGTTGTCCTTCCCCCTTTCATACTCGAATCACGATCAACAATCGTCTATTCGCGACACCCCTCCAATGCCCCCCACCCAGCCCGACAGGGCCATCGATCGCGAAGAGCGCGAGGGTCTGGTGAGTCCTCCTCTCCTCCCCTCTCCTGTCGCGTGATATATTTTGCTCTCTCTCTTTAAATTGAATTCAATATTTCTATCGCTGTTTGCTTCTTTCTCTTCTCTTTTCCCTTGTCTGGTCTGGCTGGACTTTTCTGTTTCCATCCCAGTTTTTCTTCTTCCCCTCTGGCGCGCACACGGGAGCTGGCGGGTCCTTGCGGCACCTGGCGGCCTCCGTGAGAGCTGCCGCCCCTGCATGTCGCCTGTAATTTCTTTCGCGACTTGTCAATCGTCAAAATCCGGAGAGATCTTGACTAATAGAGTTCCTTCTCCCCTTCATATTCTCTGTAGCGCGCCATTCGCATCTTTCTCAAGGCCCGGACCAGTTACGATGTCCTCCCGCTTAGTTTCCGCCTCATAATCTTCGATACCTCCTTGTCCGTCAAGGAGTCTCTAAATATCCTCATCCAGAATGGCATGTTCTTCTTCTCCCCCGTTCGCGCAACGCGCCGCGCCGTGCGCTCGAAAAATTGGGTTTTATGCTGACGTCGGCCCCTTGCCGGGTGTCACCGTTAGGCATCGTCTCCGCGCCGTTATGGGACTCCAAGTCCTCCACCTTCGCCGGTCTGCTGACCACCTCCGACTACATCAATGTCATTCAGTACTACTTCCAGAACCCTGCCGCCCTGGATCAGATCGATCAGTTCCGATTGGATAGTCTCCGAGGTGCGTCGGTCCACGTGTACTGCCACCCCCCGCGTGCATGACAAGAGACCCTAACATACAGCGGTCTAGAGGTCGAAAAAGCGCTAGGCGTCGCGCCTCCAGAGACCATCTCCATCGATCCCGAACGCCCCCTGTATGAGGCCTGTCGCCGCATGCTGCAGTCCCGCGCCCGTCGCATTCCCCTCGTCACCAACGACAGCCAGACCGATCGATCCCACGTCCTCAGCGTCGTCACCCAGTACCGCATCCTCAAGTTTGTCGCCGTCAATGTCAGCGACACGCAGCGGTTGCGCAAATCGTTGGGGGAGATCCTCCTGGGCACCTACGACAACGTGGCCACCGCCTCCATGGATACCCCAGTCATCGACGTGATTCATATCTTTGTGGAACGAAGCATATCCAGCGTGCCGATCCTGAATTCCGAAGGTAGGAGGGTCCGGTCCCGAGCGCGTGTATCCGCCGTACTGACGCGCGCTAGGTGTTCTCTACAATGTTTTTGAAGCGGTCGACGTGGTGACCCTGATCAAAGGTGGGGTGTACGATGATCTGAGTCTTACGGTGGGCGAAGCGCTGAAAAAGCGATCTCCGGTGAGTTGCATTTCTTCCGAAGCGCATGTTGGAGGGCTTTTCCCCGCTGATCTTTTTGTCCAGGACTTCCCCGGAATCTACACATGCTCGTTGAATGATGGGCTGGACACCATCTTCGACACCATCCGCAAATCCCGCGTGCACCGACTGGTCGTGGTAGACGACAACTTCCGGCTGAAGGGCGTCCTCACTCTCAGCGACATCCTGGAATACATTCTCCTCGAGGGTGAAAGTGACGAGTCATGGCGGCCTCATTAAAGAAAGCTCAGGCGTACAAATTGCATGGGAATGGCGTTCTTCGAGTAGCTTCCAGTCTCTGGCTGGCAGCGGACTATGTGTTCCACAGCGGGTTATTGTGAATTGAAAAGATAAGCAAAGAAGGCATGGTACGGTACGGTTGATCTACCGGATGGGGACCGCACCGATCATGACCTAGCATTGGCGTTTGGCTTGAAATAGACTTTATTCTGTTTATATAAATTCCTTGTCTGTTGTTTTAGAGTCATGTCATATCATCACTGTCTTTGATCCATACTGCTTTCCATGAGGTCTTGGCACCTGCTCCTGGTGAACGGTCGTATATGAGGGAAGCAACGAGCGCTGTCCCATTCACCCTGGACCAGTCTCCTGACCAGTGAATGCAGGCAAAACACCACTTTACTGAAATGAAAGAATACCTAGGATCAGTCACATCCAAGGAAGGGACGACCTTGAAAACCTTGGTGGTTCTCATAACGACATCCTCCATCTACCCAGTACGTTGCCAACACATCAGCAGACGCATCTTCTTTCCATATATTGAAATTGTCTACAGTTGTTGCACAAAAATGGGACGACTCTTTGAGAACTTATTCTCCCGACGGTCGGGCGCCACCAGCACTGAGTTTGGGACCCCCCTACTCCGCCTAGATGAGAGGTCAGACGGTGGTGCGCCGCATCGACTTCTTGGGGCATCGTCATCGAGAGAGGCCGTGGAAAGGTCGATGGTTTACGGATTGCAGAATGCGCCTTGCGAGGGAGAGATTGATTTCGATCGGTCGGCTCGGCGACTTCACCCTACCAGCTCGGCTCGACATCGGGATTCCCCCAGAAATGGCCTATTATCCACAGAGTCTACGCGTCCTCCGAGGAGCATTCGGCGACTGACCGGTTGGGTGACCCTTCTCCGTTCTCGCCGTGGCCGTGACAAAGCTGCGTGGGAGGCCTTCCCCGTGCCCGATCGGTCCGCTTGCCATGCCCCCATCAACCCTGGGGATAGGGCTGACGGACACCTGGTCCCGTGCGCCAGCTTCTTGAGCGAGGATCCCAGCTCCCGCAAGCCCAGCGACCGGACGACCGTGTCCGATCTGACTGCCGTGACGGTCTCCCACCATCCGTCGCGGCGTACCCTGACCCCGATTCCCACCGTCGATCGGGACCTGATCTTTGAAGACGCTGGGCCCGACTCCACTCGATCGGACGATCCCCCGGTGACGACTGCGCCGGTGGTCCAGGCCAACCCCGGGTTTTTGTACGCGGACGTGCCGTTCGACTTCTTTCCCGAGCCTGTGGAGCGCGATGTGGATGAGATCACCTTGCCGGCCTGTCATTGCGGCAGCTCATCCACGGAGAGCTCGGGCCTGCCTCGCAGTGTCTCCAAGGAGAGTCGGTGGTCGGGTGGGTTGGACCGACAGGCGGCCGCGATCGCTTTCAATGAATTGGCGGGCAAATTTCAGTTCGTGCCCCTACCGGTGCCACCGGACGGGGAGGATGCGGAACTCGATCGCACGGACGAGACGGTGCCACGGCGACGGGACCGGGTGCTCGTGCGCATCCGCAGCATGCGATCCAGTTTGTCGCTCGGTTCGCCGGTGTCTCCACCCCGGACCCTACGGCGGCGTCGGACTGTGGTCGGGGTCCGTTCTCCCGCCTCTGCGATGACCTCGCTTTGTGGCAAGCCACTGGAAGATTTGGCTCGGCTGGGGGGGCATAGCTTTCTGTTTCTGCCCCCGGAATTTGCGCCCGCACCGCTGCGGCTGCCAGTGTGCTTCGTGGCTACGGCAAAGTATCTGAGACGGTTTGGTAAGCCCCCTTCTCCTGTTTCTTCCACGCTAGACGTAGTTCCCCTTGGGCCTTGGTTGATCGTTCTGCTGGCAGGCCCTCATGTGCATGACCTTTTTTGGAAGAAGGGGGACCCGAAAACGGCGACGCGGGTGTATGAGTACTTTGCGCGGCAGGTGCGCTCGGCAGAGAGGGAGCAGGATCGGATCCAGGAAACGACCCGGCGCAGTCAGATGCCGGTGGAGCTAGAGGAGGTGCTGCGACCGGACGGGTCCAGCGACCATGCGTCGCAGGTGCAGGGCGTGGCGTGGGCATTCAAGACCCTGGTGGCTGGGCTCCCGGGGGGTCTACTGGGGTCGTCGCGACTATACGAGGCACTGGTGGACCTCTCCCATCATCGACACCACTCGGGAGTGGAACGGAGCTCTGCGCGAGTGCAGGGAATCGGACTGGCGATCGTCGCCCTCACCAGCCCGCTCCAGCGCAACCTGCTCTGCGGGGTGATCGGGCTCTGCACCAGCCTGGTCGCAGGGGACGGCGAGACGGAGGGGGCGATCCGTCATCGTCTGGACGGTCTCATCCAGGCCTGGGAGCCCGTGCTGCGAGGCCAGACGGGACGGACGGCGGATGCGTTCTCCGCGGTGGAGAGGGAGATCGAAGGACAGCGGGTGGCCGGCATGCTGATCGACAACTGGCGACGGATCAATCGACAGCTGGTCCAATCGAAGTCAGGAGGATAGGGTACTTTTGATCGACTTGCATCATCGGAGAGATTGTTCTTGTTATCGTTTACAGTTTAGCGTTGATGTACATATCGACCCACCTGTTTAGGTGTCTAACCGGTAACCGGAGAGACTAGCAGATGACATGACTCGAAAACCGGTTCTATCCATCTATCTGTCGTTTCCCCTCTGGCGATGTCTTTATGTCTATGTGTGACTTCGACCCGATAAACATACAGACACACAGACCACGACACGTAATCCCATCATCCACAACCCCTCCACTAACCACCCAACAAAGAGGGGAGGGGTAACGGGCAAAAATCATGACGCCATCGTCAACCTCCTCGTCCAACACGAACTCTCCCTGTGTGTGCGCGTCGATTAAGCTAAGCTAAGTTGGGCTGGACCATCAAACCCCAGAACCTACACTGAGGTGAAACAGACCCAGACCCAGACCCAGGCCCTGAGAATGAAAAACGATGAGGGCCAGAGGGCTGGCTGGCCCCACTTGGATAATTAGTGTACTTGGTACTAGTAGTACATCGTGGATACCCCGCTGAGCAGCAAACAGACTTGAAACCGTATTGGATGGATCGATCGAGAGGGTATAGTGGCTGGTTGTATGAGCTGGGAGGTTGGTTGATTGGTTGGTTGGTTGGTATTATTGATTGACTGGTCTGTTCCGCTGACTTGTCTGTTTAGGAAGTTCCGTTCTCTACGGCATGTTGTTTTTGTTGTTCTTGTTGATGTTGTTGTTGTTCTTGTCAACTGTTTACCTGTGTTGCTTTTTCCTCCACGATAGTATCGTTTTCTTCCACTCTCTCTGACTGTCCACATTCATACCGTCTTCTCTCTATTTCTCATTGGCTATCTTTTGTCGGGGATATCAGTCGTGGTAAGCCTTATGCCAAGTGCTGTTGAGCAGTTTGGTGTCGCACTCATTCTATATATATATATATATATATATATATTCCAGGCCCTTGTGCAGGTCACTTGTATGGACAACAATGACAATCGTGAGATGGTCACCGTGGTGTTTAACAGGTGTATTCCATTATGCATCACACACACAATTCCCTGGTCGAGATCATCGTATGATTATGACTTGCGCTGTTTCCCACATAAACTGTTGTTTTGAGCTTTCATGTTTTGCAACTATTCGCAACTTTACATAGTATCAATATCATCAATATCAACATCAATCAACATTTCGACCATTCCATCCGTTCCCCATAGTAGTGTGCATAAAGTACATCAACTCATCCTATTTTATTTACTTCTCACTATCTCCATGGCCATAAGCCCACCGTAAACAAGACTAGAAAGGGCAAACCAGGGAAAACACCGGTTATGACGCCATAGTCGGGTTCCTTGTCCAACCCAGCTCGGTCTCCATCCTGGTTACAGGCCAGACCCCAGCGGATCCCCACCGGTGGATACTTGAATCCCGGATTGTACAAAATAGTGGATCCTGAGATAGTACAGGAGAGTGGATCCCCCCAAGCAAACAAATCGACATTTTTTGACATCGATCGAGGGAGGGAGGGAGGGAGGGGGGAACCCTCCATGGCCAGTAACAGCCCGGCTGTCTGATCCGGGGCGACGTTGATATCATTGATCGACTTTCCTGTCTTGTTCCGTTGATCTTCTATTTCTTGTCTGGTCTGGTCGGTTTCGGTTGGGATTGGGGTTGGTGTGGAATTGCTCCTGCGTTCCGACACACTTGATGGTTCCTCGTTTCGATGGTTGTGTGTATAGGATCGGAATTGCCCACTCGAATTAAACCTCCCACGGCGGATGATGGCGGTGCGCTTTCTATATTAACCTTTTCTTCCCTTTCTTTCTCGGTCTTTTCTCTTCTGCTCGCTTCTTCTCCTCTTCTTCCTCTTCTTCCTCTTCTCTCTCGTCCGCGACGATCCGAATCCCCACCATCCTCTTCTCTCCCGCTCTCCACCTTCCTCCATTCATCGTTATTCGAAATATCTCAGTCGCAATCATTCAGATCCATCAAAACACCCATATCACCAAATCACTCAGATCCTTCAGCTTCGGAATCATGCTTGATCAGCGTCTTCCACCCACGGGCTCTGCGTCCCTCCCATCACCCCCCGTCACCCCGGGCAAGTTGTCAGTCTCGTTGAGCCCCAGCAATGATGCTCATGAGACATCAAGTCCCAGCCCCAAACGGCGCAAGGGGTCCACTCGAAAACCGACCAAACCCACCCCTGAGGAGCGCGAGCAGTACTTGGAGCGCAACCGCCAGGCAGCGAGCAAGTGTCGCCAGAAGCGGAAGAGGGCGACAGAGGAGCTGCGAGCACAATATAAGGAGCTAAAGGGTAAACATGAACAACTCGACGCGCTTGAGTACGACCTGCGCGATTCAGTGACTCGTCTCAAAACCGAATTACTAAAGCACCATGACTGCGGAGATCCCAATGTCAATGCATATCTGCAGCAAGAGGCGATCAATATTCCCAAGAAATACGCGAAGAACAACTTGGCAGCCTACCTGTCTTCGGGGGCGCCTGCCCACCAGGGCCCCTCCCAGGCCACTTTCCAGGTCCCTTCCCAGGCCACCTTCCAGGCTTCCCCCCAGGGGATGATGATCGCCCCGCCGTCTTTCTCGTCACCGGTCTTCGGCGCCGGCAGCACCAGCAGCATCACCAACCCAAGCCTGGCATCACCAACCAGCGCGGTGAGCTTCGACAGCTCCTTCGGCCAGGAAGCTGCCGGTCCGGTGTCGGCAACCATGCCGTCGCATGTGACCAATGCCTTTGATGATGCGATCCCGATGAGATTCCCGGATCCGCCCCTCCCCATTATGGAGAACGACTGCCCTTGTGACCAGCCGCCGTCCACCATGATGGACTCGGGAGTTTTCTTGGCTCAGGAGACGAGCTTCCTCAATGACATGTATCTGATTGATCCCGACCTGGACCCGGCGTTCTGAGATACCGACAGTCATTCACGAACGATAAAGAGATGTATAACCAACGATGACGAACCATGAGAACAGAAAAAAAAAAACTCTTTACCACGGCGTTCTATACTGATGTATTCTACGATGACTTCCGCACGATTCCCCCGGCTGTATTTCTAGCAAGGTGTTCGTGTTGTGTTTTTTTGCGTCCGACTGATCCCCAGTTTCAGTCGGCTTGTGTTTCCTTTCCTTCTATTTATTCTTGGGGTTTGATTTTGATTTCTTTCTTGCTTTCTGTTCTTACTACCTTCTTTGATGAGCTTTGCTCCATCCGGACTGTCCTAATACCTAATCCTGTTTCCTATTTCAATTGTTTGCTTGCGTTCAATCTACGGAGAAGGGAAAAATGAAAGACACCAAAAAAACGGGGGGGGAAAAAAGAAAATTCAAAACAAAAAAAAGAATGTCTGTATTACTATGTTTTAAGATTGTCGCAGGGGCAGGCTGGTTATATTCCAAGATTGTCAAAGGGAGGAAAGGGTTATATCACTATATACTGATAGTGTCGCAAGGACAGACTGATTGTATTAGTATGATTACTCTTGTTTGGGTGGTGTTATTGGAGTTTTAGGGAGAATGAAATTTGTTATTGATTGATGTTCTTGTAGGGTAGTTTACTTGCTGTAGTTGTAGCTGTAGCTGTACTGAACTCTAGCTGTGCTTTAGCTATACTTGAGCTATACTTGAGCTATACTTCACTGTACTATGGCTGTATCTAAGCTCTATTCAAGCTATATTTAAGCTATATTCAAGTTATATCCAAGCTTGGCCCCAGCTAGCCCTAGCTATGTCCTAGCTATCCTCTTGCTGTACTCAAGCTACAGCTACTATGTATCTTAGTACGCAGTAGATAGTATAGAATAAACAGTCTATGTATGCAGTGATAGTAAGCAGTAGCTACTAGTAGTAGATAGAGAGAGACGTACCCCAAACACGATATAGATAATAATGATAATACACATACTTTGTACTCTAATACTACGATGTTACAATATGATGAATTCGATCACTACCCATATCTAGATCTATCTACATAGAACAGTCTCTTCAACTCGGTAGATTCTACTATCTAGGTAGAATGGTCCTTTATTCGAGTAGTCTAGTATATCACAACACAGCATACATCACTATGAACGCATACTCTCCCCCCCTCTCTCTTCGCCCTCTATTAGCACACTCACTCGGCAGAGTCGGCACAGGAATCAGAATCAGATCAGATCACGAACTCTAACAGCCCAGAAGGATCAAGATCACGAACTCAAATACCGGCCACTGAATGAGAATCAGGACAGACCAGATCACGAACTCAACAACACAATGATCAATGAGAATCAAGACACAATCAGATCACGAACTCAAAAGACGGCATAGACTACGGTCGAATCCGAAAAACACCCAACCGGTTGATCCAGACCGGAAAGTACCTTGGAAGTATCCGTAGAAACCCTCGACTATCAAAGAGTATGTACATGTTTCATGGACTGTTCCATTAAAGTCCATTCTCATATGATAATACATGTATGATACAGGGCAGTAAACAACGGTAGGGATAAATTTCCGGGGAACTATAAATAAAGTTTATCTTATTTTATGTATTTTATCTTTTATACTTTTAAACTTTCTGCGCGTGAGTCATGTCAGGCCCGGGATGGATTGGCATTCCACAGTCTAGATCGGTCTTTTACTTCTTCATTTCTTTGTTCCTTGTATTGTTTGATTTCTTTTTTGATTTCTTTTTATTCTGGATTGAATCTTGTCGGACGTGTGTACTCCGTATTCTGTGTATAATTATTATCTCTATTACCTCAATGAATGTTGTTTATCTCGGATTGGGGTTCGGGGAAGCCGGTGGTAGGCACCCTGGTATGTATTGTTGGTATATTGGATAAATCTATGGATGGATTAGTACATTGATTAATATATTGTATACAACATACAAGTACATACAAGTATATTGGGTTCTATTTGAACTCATTGTGATTGTAATGATCGTACTCTTGATATACTCATGTTTACACTATACGCACAAGCTATATACACTACGTATTCCTATCGATATCCCCATTCTTCGGCACCAACACCTCATTCTCTCCATCCCCGTCCTCCCCCCCAACCAACGCACTCTCTTCATCTCCCTCCCCATCCTCCCCCCGAAACAACCCCTCAATCTCCTCCAGCGACAGCCCCGCCGTCTCCGGCAAAAACACCCACACAAACCCACTAAACACCGCGTCCAGCACCCCGAACAGCAAAAACGTCGCCCACCCGATCCCAGCCAGCACGTACGGCGTGCTGAACGACCACACAAAGTTCGACAGCCACTGCGCCGCCACGCTGACCGCCACGCCTGGCTCGCGGAGACGCGTCGAGAACAGCTCGGCGCTGCACGGCCACGGAAGCGGGCCCCAGGATAGATTGTAGATGATGATTGCGAGGTAGATCAGGAGGACTGTGGCGATGCCTGTTGGGCTGACACCCTTACTCGCCGTTTCTGCCCCCGTGTATCCCGCGGGAGGAGCAGGAGGAGGCATCCCCTGCACCAGGAACGCCGTGCACGTCATGCAGACTGCCATGCCGAGGGCGCCGCTGATCAGCAGCGGACGGCGGCCGAAGCGGTCTGCGACGAAGAGGATGAACGTCCCGCAGCTGAGGACCTTGATCGCGCCAAAGAAGCCCGTCAGCAGGAGCGTCAGGGCGCGATCGCCCTCGCCGACGAGCAAACCAAAGAACTGCGGGCCGAAATAGGCCATCGCGGTGGCGCCCGTGGACTGCTGCGCGAGGAACATCGTCGCGGCGAGGGCGATTCGCCGCGCGTTGCTGCCCTGGAGGAGTTCAGAGAGACGAAATCCGTCTGTGGCGCGGCGGTCGGACTCGACGGCGGTTTTCATGGCGGTGAATTCGTCGTGGATGGGACTGTCTTCGCCTGGGCCCGCAGACGGAGACACCCCCCGCACCCAGCGCAAACTCTCCCACGCTGCGGCCGCGCGCCCCTTGCCTAGCAGCCAGCGGACGCTCTCCGGTAGAGTCAACATGCCCAGGCCCATCAGGGCGCCCGGGACTAGCTGCAGTGCCAGCGGAACCTGCCACTGGAGGGGGGTGTCAGGGGCGAACTGCATGCCGTAGTCGATCCAGTATGACACCAAGATGCCGATCGTGAACGTAAACTGGTAGCAGCTGCCGAGACGGGCGCGCATGTGCGTGGGGCTCATCTCCGACAGGTAGATGGGGATGACGGTGGCCGAGCCGCCGATCCCCAGGCCGCAGATGATGCGACCGGTGTAGAAGGCGGTTAGGGAGCGCGAGTCGACGACCTCGAACAGGACGCCGAGGCAGAAGAGCGCCGAGCTGGCTTTGAGGGCCGTCCGGCGGCCCTTTCTGGTGGTCAGGGGGAAGATAAGGAGGGAGCCGATCAGCGCGCCGGCTTGCTGGATGCCGACTGCGATGCTGCTAACTTTTGTTTGTTGCGAAGGAGTGTAATTGAACGAGTTCATAAACGAGGGGAAGGTGAGGACGCCGCCTGTCGTTATTGTACCGATATCATATTAGCGGGGTGTATACTTCGCGTCTCCGTAGTCGGGCATGGGATACCTATGACACCCGAATCATAGCCAAACAGGACGCCACCGCAGCAGACAATGGCCGTCAGATAGTAGATCCGAAGAGAAGACCTGATCCAGGCCGACGAGGTCTCCTCCTGGGAGAGCTGGGCGTAGGATCTCATTCTCCATGGATAAAGCGAAGGAGTGAGTTGGATGAATTGAGTCTGGGGAACGGACGGGATGACGACAGATTTCCTGTTTCGGATTGGGGTCTAGCCCTGTTAGGTTTAGGGCCAGTTACACACACGTGGGATCAGGCGTTTGTCACATATTATACAATTTATACATTTCATAAACATATCTGTAGAGCCCTATATAACAATCCAATATAATCATAAGGGTATAAGGCTAGATCATCACAAAACTCTCCGTGAACAGTTCTTGCCGCACACATCGCGAATCCGCCCACGTCCGAGACAGATCCTGCCGCCGCGTCATCTCCTCCAGCAGCTGCCGCGCCTTTCCGATATTAGGGTGTCTCTGTCGGGCGGGTAGACCTTCCATGGCCCGCATCGCCGCCACGATCCACCCCCGCTGCGCCGGCGAGCCCTCCAGCCCCGCCACAAACAGTGGCCAGATGAAGCTGGCGGGCAGACGACGCGCATCAGTAGTCGTCTCCAGCGCCGCCAGCTGGATGATCTGGTCCACGGCGCGGTGCACGCGGTCTGTGCGGGGGTAGATGACGAACGCTACGCGGTGCAGATAGATGAAGATGGCTAGGAAGTTGGCCACGTATTGCCGGAACGTGCGGCACAGTTCGTCTGCAACGGCTGGCTGTAGCGATCCTTCTAGGCGCTCGGGGTGGTCGTAGAGGTCGACGACCCGTGGTCGTCGCTGCCATTGTGTCTCTAGGTCGGCGCCGACGCGGTGGGCAATCTGTAGGACCTCGAACTCGTCGTCGACCGTGCCGCGACTGCGGTGGTGGAGGTCGATACACACGATACGCCGGATTACCTGCTGCGTCTGTAGAAAAAAGCGAAAGGCCGGTCCGACGAGCGTCTCGTGGACGAGGTAACCTGCATCGTGGAGAAACATGTCGTCGCTGTCCATGTCGTCCGGGGGCCGGGTCACCTCCCCGAGCTCCGTGAGCGGGTCGCCGTCGCGGCCTGCCACGAGGGATTTGACGTCCAGCAGGGCCACCCACGAGACGACTAGGTGTCCAAATCCTACCCACGTCCGCGTCCGTTGGTGAAACCGCTGTAGTAGTCGATAGGCCGAATGAAGGAAGGAAGTGCTGGTGCGCCAGAGCTCCGCCGACGAGAGAACCTCGGACAGCATGAGTAGTAGTACAGCCGCAAAGACCCGCTTGAGAAGCGCATCGTCGACCTCGCCCTCCAGGCGCGACTGGATTTCTGAGCTGGCCTGTTGGTAGTATAGCGGCGCCCGTTCACCCCGCTGGCCCGCGTTCAGAGACCGCTCGACGTCCGCGTAGCAGTACATCGCTTTCTGCAGAGCAAGACAGTCCGGCGACTGCGTCACAACGGCCTCCTTGACGAACTTCCATTCGAGATCCACGGGCCCGAATATCGCCGGAGGCGGGTCACTTTCTGAAAAGTGGATGAGCAACTGCTGTTCCTCATCCAAGGCTTGTGTCTTGGGTCCTCCGCTGCCGATATCCTGGGCCGGTTCTTCAGCGCTGGCACCTTGGGCATCCCCCAGCGACGGCACGTCCGCATTCCACGCCATCTGCCGCTCCGTATGAAGAGCGCCAGAAATATGGTCCCCTAAAGCCGGTGTCCCCGCACTAGTCAGGTCGAGGTGTTTCTGCTCGATATCCGACGTGATGTCTCCAATGAACCCCAGCATATCAAAGGATGCAAAATCCGCGATATCCCGCACATCCTGAGGTCCCACGCTTGTCTCCGGTGGTAGGGCACTTTCTAATCGTGTTTGCAACTCCTGCGGCGGCGGAGGTTGAGAGGCAGCAGCCACGAGCTGTCGCTGTTCGTCCGGCCGCAGCACCGTTTGGAAGAACGTCGTGTCCGGTCGGTCGGGGCGCAGGGTAGCGCCACGGCGGTTGGACCTGCGCGCTATGAACCCCGGTACAAGGGTCTTATAGTCGCAGTGCAGGTTCAGACGGGTACAATTCGCACAGGTGGGCTTGACTTCGTCGCAGCGGACTTTGCGGGCGCGGCAGGTCAAGCAGCCGGTTCGACGGCGAGGACCCGACCGTCCCGTGCCCCGAGCTCGAGGAATCTGCCAGTTTAGTTTACATGGGTGCCATCTATAGTGGTCAAGGTGAGCCTACCTCCATTGTATGGCGGAATATTCTGGCATGACTGTGAGACGGAGTGTGTAGAGAGAAGAAGAAAGTGCGGAGCAGCGAGATTGAGCCGGAGCATGACGTTTCTCCCGATCGGGTTTAGTACCCCGCATTCCAGCATCAGATTAGATATGATTTGCATCTATACAACTGACAGGTTCTTTCTATTTTCTCTATCCTTCGTTCTATCGAGGATCAAGAATTTGCTGCGCAGGGCCAGTTCGCTTGTCCAGACACCGCGACATGTGCAGCAAGTGACCCCGCTCCTTGCGCACATACGCCGCAAAGCACACAGCGGCCATGGTGATGGCCCCGAAGCTGATGAACACCGGATACCGAAAGTCCTCAGGACGGGGGAAAGCAATGGTCGTTGCGAAAGAGAGGAGTTCTGCAATGTTCTGTAAGGCCATCTCCGTGGCGGAGAACCTCGCTCGAGTATGTGCCTCGACGTTCTGACTTGTGAGCTCACTGCAATATTCAGCAGGGGGGTGGACTCTCACCTCTTGTACTAGATACTGCACTGACAGATCAAATCCCCACAGTCCAATACGACTCAGTGCTACACCAGCAATGAGACTCGCTGCTACCACCAGTGACTGACTGTTGGTCCACGCAAAGGCTGCCACTGCAGCAGCCAGACTGCCCAGTTGCCAGTTGAGGAACCACAGACCGGAGCGAATGGGGCCGATTCGATTCATGAGGAGGGGCGCCGCCCAAGTGCCTGACAGCTCGGCGGCCACAGCGCCGACACGCATGACGCTCACCTGGAGGGGAGTGAAACTCGTGTGTAAGAGGTAGGTTACCATTGTGGGGCCGAAGGAGAGCACCGTCAAGTAGAGCAGGCTGAGGGCGAGGGAGGGCAGGAAGACTGAACTTTCCACGTACTCGCGCCATGGAGTGGCAGCTTGTTTGAAAACGGCACTTATACGGATTGTCTCTCTCGGTTCAACATTCGCCGTGTCGCTCTCTCCAGTCGGCAGACGTTCCAACTGGGGAACCGCTTTGTACACCTTTCTATGTCAACGAAGTTCTCGCGTAAAGGAACGAAGTAAATACCTGATCAATAGCCAGGTATTCCACCAGAACACAAGAAGCATTAACACCGAGAACCACCCATACAGCAAGCCGAGTCGACAGCCCATCGACCAGCGAAATGACAACAGGGGCCACAAGCTTGCAAAAAAGATCAATCCGACGCATGGAAGCATTCAACTCTAGCCCAACTGTCAGTACCCCGCCGTAGCTATAGTTGGTAGCGCACGCACCATGTCTCGGCATATGAAGAGCATCCGAGACCACAATAGCCTGCCATAGTAGTTAGCCACCACGGCTCTCCATGATAGTAAGCAACCCACCCAGTCCCTCTCAACAGCGACCGTATTCGCAGTCGCAGCCAACTTCTCCACGCACGCCAGCAGCACAGCAGCGGCAAAGAAAACAGGAGGCAAGACGCCATTCATAAGGAACAAAAAGCACACGCAAGACGCGATCACGGGGATACGTTGCCAGACTAATCCATTAGCTTCCTCCTATCTTTCTCTTCTCATCTTGCTCTTATTTTCTAAAGTTAAAAGGGGACACACCAATCGACATCCGAATAGCCCACAACCGATCAGACCGGTCTACAACCTCACCCAGCCACGCAGACAGCACGACGACAGAGAAAGACCGACACAAAGCATAGATAGACGCGTACAATAACGTATCTGGAAAGATAGACGCCAGGAACAGAACGGCGCCGAATTCGAACATGCGCGAGGTCCATGTGGATAGGGCGTGCGAGGCGTACAGGCGGAGAAGGACGGGGGAAGGCGATGGCGATGGTGTTTGGAGGAGTGGGAGTGCCTCCGGGGGGTCATAGGGTGGAAGGTCTGGCATTGTAGTTATAAATGTTTGATATTAATTATAGATCATAGGTTGTGGCTGAAGTTGGATGAGGAATAGAGAAGGATAAACAAACAGCGTGGATTGAAAATGCCGAGATAAGATCGATAAGATCGACGGTTGTCCTCCGTCATATCTTTATAGTCGTTGCAACAACATCAACCTATCCAAACATAAATCACATGAAACAACACACAAACACCACTATAACAAGCCCAAATAATAAAGAACGAAACAGAACAATAATATAATATACATATTACAAATTACAACCTCCCCGCCCTCCTACTCCTCCCCTCCGTAAAAGCGACATGCCCATACTCCCTCCACCCCAAATTATGCAACCCCAGAATAACCCTCTTCTTCCAGAAGTCCTTCGTATAATGATAAGCGTCATGCACCTCAACACTCTCCCAGCCCACCCAAACCGTATAACACTTCGGATGGCCATCAACGGGCTCAACGACCCAACCCCCAGAGCACCCCAAGCAGCCGCGCACGCGCGAGATGAGCGTCGTCCATAGCGCCCAGACGCGCTCCCACCCGTCCTCCGGGTCTTCTACGGCGAGGTAGATGGCCGTTCCGGTGACGGGGGCGCCCTTTCCCAGGCCTTGCGGGTAGGGCGTAAAGTCCGACATTTGGGCGTGGCGGACTGTGATGGCGCTGGGGGATGTTGATTCGGGGGTGAAGAGGTTGGAGAGTTTCTGGCTCAGATGCGCCCATTCTGGGGACGAGAGGAGGCTGTAATGTTGTTGGAGGGTGTCTCTGACTGTTTTCTTTCTATCAGTATATACTGTTTTTGGTTGTATCTACCTCCAGGGCGGGATGGGGACGGGGAGAACATACCAACATGCAACTCCGTCACGTCGGGCTCTTCAACATGTCGTCCCCAGTACAGCCGTTGAAAGCCCGGCCATGCCTCGAGTGTATCGAGTATTTGAGTCCAGAGCTGGCCGTCGGGTGTTGAGACGTCCTCGATCGTAGCGGTGGCTTTGATCGGGAGGATGATCATCTGAGTGGGCACGGCGGGAGTGGTCATTTCTGCGGTTTCTATCTGCTGGTGCTTCTTTTTTCTCCAATGGTATGTTGATATATTGAAGTTCATCTCCAGATTGACAACCCTGATATACCTCAAAATGCGGGGTCGCCCATCATGTAGATCCCCCGGGCGACGGTCCTCGGTCCGCCGGTCACCAGCATCTACATACACTGCAGGGAAAAAATGGATACATGAATGCGAATGTGATTCTATCAGACTCATTACATGGAATAAAACGCTGCGTACATCTCCCGTGGCATCCTTCTGGTCCGAGCCGAGCCGAGTCCCTGGCGTGGCGCGCTGTGCTGGCTGTCTACTTCCATCTTCGAGGACGGCGCAAGGCAACTCAATCTCAGGCCGCAGACTCGTGTCGCGGTGCCTGTCCGGACCCAGCGGGGAAAGAGGTCACCAATTGTCCTGCACGGTGACTGATGCACTGGGTCCAGGGAACACATGGTATAAAACATGGTCTAGAAGGGCAAAAAAATAAGGCTAGGGTATCAAAAGCACGAGACGTAGATCGCGGGGGCGGAAACCGCAGTCATCCCCGCAGGAACGAACCCAGTCGGGGACAATGCGATGGGCTCCCCAAACCGGAAGGGCCTGAGATTTCAAAGGTGGAGGTCCATCACGCCCGACCGCCGCTACGTAAACACCCGGACACTCGAATCGGCACTTCCCGTAGCGATGATGCATCGGATCTTGGGCGGCACCTTCTTGGCCGGTGCCGCATTGGCGTCGCCGTTCTCTGGAGGCGGCTCGGTCGCTGGGGCCGGCGCCCACCGAATGCAACTGACAAAGTGCCCGTGGGCCCCGTCGATCGTCTTGACCAGCTTGCCCTCCTGCGCCAGGTCCCAACACCGGATCGTCTTGTCGTCGGCCACACTGAACAGGTACTTGCCGCCTGGGTGGAAGACCAGCCCCCGCACCCAGTTGTTGTGGCCCACCAGCGTCTTGATCAGGTTCCCCCGCGAGTCCCACAGCTTGATCGTCTTGTCCCGGGCCCCCGTCGCGATGAACTCAGCCGAGCTCGTCGCCGGCGGCGGCTTCTTGAGCCCCGCCAAAGTCGCCAGGTAGCCATAGCTGGCCGGCGGCGCAAAAATGCAGCACTCGAGGAAGTTCTCGTGACCCAGCAGGGTCGCCTTCGCTTCTGGCGTGGAAGATGAAAGATCCCACACGGTCGCGATCTGGTCGCGCCCGCCCGACACCAGCCACTTGCCATCGAACGACGGGTACACGTCACGGATCCAGTTCTCGTGCGAGCGGATCGTCTTGACGCAGTACCCGGTGGACGCGTCCCAGATCCGGATGGACCCGTCGCGACTGGCCGACACCAGGAGATTGCCGTTGGACGGGAGGAAGCGGACGGCGCACACGGAGTGATCGTGGCCGGCGAGTGTGCGGATGTTGGCGTACTGGTTGCTCGGGTCCCAGAGCTTGACCGTCAGATCGCTGGAACAGGACGCCAGGAGCGTGTGGCCCTTCTGGCCGCCAAAATCCAAACCGGACACCCCGCGGAGGTGGCCTTTGAGGGTCTTTTCCAGCTCGCCCAACTCCCAGTCCCAGATCTTGATGGTGCAGTCTTCGGAGCCGGACGCCAGAGACGAGAAGACCGGGTGGAACGCAATGGCGGTGATGCCGTCGCGGTGCGACGAGAGGGTGTGACGGGCCGTCGTCGGAAGCCAACTGGTGGGGTCTTGATTGGCGCGCGAGCGGCCACTTATGGAGGATGAATCGAGTTCCTCCTGCAGGCTGGCGACTTTGGACTCAAGGTCCATGATCTGCCAGGCGATTAGTTGGCTTTGTGCTTTGTGCGGGCTCAACATTTCACGGGCACACGTAGTCCCACCTTCCTCTGCAGCCGGGCCACGCTGGTCCATTTCTTTTCCAGAAGACCCTCATATTTCTTACAGGCGACCTCGTCGAAGTTGTCCCCGATAGGCAGCTCTTCGCGGATCGTTTCGACACTGCGGGAGGCGTTGATAGAGTTGAGGTAGGCGACTAAGGATTTGTGTCTGCACCATCACCACCAATGGGTCAGTTTCCACTCGACGCAAAATAAAAGGGGAGATTTAGGAAACACTGACAGTTCCTCCGCCTGTCTCGTAGTCAGAACCACACTCATGACGGCGGTGACAGCGCGAGACGGGGATTGTATGGGGTGTGCTGCCGCCCGAGGCGACGCAAGGGGGGAGTAGTCGCAATGAAGATTGTAAGGGAGGAGACCGAGGGGGTGTGGGATGGGAACAGGAGAGGCCACCTAAGGTAGACGGAGTAGAGACTGGGAAGAGGAATAGAGAGATAATCAATGAGAGCGAAAGAGGAGGAGAGAGAGCAGCGGAGAGTATCAGAATGAAGCATCATTGGAGTTGTTTTGTGTTTGTCGGACTGAGAAAGCGCGGGGCCTGAGGCGGGCGCACGTGATGCGGCACGTGTATTGCGGCCTCAGGTGTCCACCTCGACGATGCTTCACGGACTTACGACTATCGATATCTATGTCAGGACATGGGAGAATGCTAGAGAGCAGGCATGAGCGAGGTCAGACAGGGTGACTATCTTAGTAGCTTTATATGGTGCTGAGTCTATAATGAAAATTCAATTGCTAGATCCTATACAGTCCAATCAACGAATCCAATTGCATACTAATACACAGAGGATCCTCTACTCCACCCATCGCAGGTTGCCCTCCTCCGTTTGCTCCGTTCGCCGGGCCAGAACCTCGGCGACCTTCTCGCGAACTCCCTCCTTGTTGTCCCATTTGGCCGCAAAGACGGCGATGGTCTTGAAGAACTTCTCCGAGTGATCGCGCACGTACTTCTCGATCTCGGCCTCGCTGGGCAACCCGAACCTCGCATTCGGGTAGCTCTCGTAGTTGGTGGTACTGAGCAGCGGCAGACGCTGCTTGCCCTCGGGAAGCTCGAAGAAGGACGCCACGGCCTCATCCGTGACCTCCGACAGCGTGGCCGGCTGCCACTCGGCCTGGCGCGCCGGCTTGGCCATCAGGCGGGCCTTGACACCCTCCACGAAATCGGGGTGGCGCATGAACATGCCGGCGAGGTGCGCCTCGCGCTGGAAGGCCTCGGAGATGGACCACTCCCGGCCCAGGCGCATCTGTCTCAAGGTCACCTTGAGCGAGGTGGGCGACCGGATTGACAGCGTCTCCAGCGTCTGCCGGGCCCACTTCTTCTGCTTGGTCTCCTTCTCGAGCGCCTGGAAGATCTCTTCCACCGTGTTATATTTGAAGCAGCGGTCGATGGCCTCGCGCACACCGCCCGCCAGCTGCATCGGCTCCTCTTCCAAGGATGGGATCCCGGTCGAGTACTCCGCCACGGTGCGGTTGACCAGATCGAGGCGCTGCCCCAGTGACGAGTTGTCGTCGAAGACCAGCTCGGCGAGCCGGTTGGTCAGGCTGCTCAGCGAGCTCGAGTGCAGGTAGTGCGTGGCAATGCCCCCGTAGAGCGCCTGCACGCCCTTCAAGCGCTCCGAAGTCAAAGCCAGGTATGTGCCGGTCTCGCCGTCGAGACGGGGAAGGAAGAAGGAGCCGCCCACGTCGGGGAAGAACCCGATGGTGGTCTCCGGCATGGCGAAGAGAGTGCGCTCGGTAGCGATGCGGAAGGGCGCATGCACGCTCAGGCCGACGCCGCCTCCCATGGTGATGCCGTCCATGACGGAGATGAAGGGTTTTCTGTAGGTCGCGATCGTGTGGTCGAGACGGTATTCGAGTTCGAAGAAATCGGTCGACTGTTGCTGACCCTCGGGGCCCTGTTCGTTCTGCAAAGCCAGCGCGGCCACGTCGCCTCCGGCACACAGCGCTTTGGGACCAGCGCCCGAGACCATCACGATGTTCGCCAGATCAGACTTTTCCCATTCCTAAATTCGACGACACCCACGCGTTAGCGCTCTCGTTTCCCAAATCACCGTCGCATCTCGGGGTGGAATCAAGACGCCTTACCTTCATCCGCGGGAGAATCTTGCGCGCCATCGATCCATTGAGGGAGTTCAGTTTCTTCGGACGGTTCAGCTCGATCAGTCGCACACCGTAGAGGGAGCTGAAGAGGACATCATCCGCTTCGTCTCCGGGCAGTTCTCTGGGGATCTCGGGGTCGTTGACATCTGCGGTCAGTCAGCATGCGCCCTTTCCTCCCAATCCCACACTCCACCGCTGCAACACCCACCTTCGCCGTAGCAAAAAAGGTCGGGTTAGTGACCTTAGCGCGCAGAGGCATGGTGACCGCTGGGGAAGCCCGCGAGATCCAGCTCGTCGGAGGGGAAAGGCGGGAAAAGCTGTGTCGAAGCAGCATGAGTGGAGACCACCTCGAGTGGAGGGGAGAAGAAGGGGGTATAAAAAGAAAGAGAATGAGAGGAGGAGGGGGAGTAGATTGAGTTAGGTTAGGTCAATTAAGTACTAGTAATGGATTAGAGCGATCGACTGGGGGAGTGACGATGAAGAGAAGCAACAAATCTATCCGTCTCCGCTTTGACGACCTCGGAGTTTTTCGCTTTTCCTCGCCGGCAACCGATCCCAACCGAGCACCACAATGGATTGCCTACTGTTTACGTACCATGATCTTGAGGGATTTAGTGTATTCTTCAAGTTGAGTCAGACGTGTTCAATTAGTCAGTTTGTTGTCAATTACAAAATTACTGGCGTTAATGGTTGAAATAACCCCAAGTCGGGACAGTGCAAACACTGGCGGACTCATCCTATGGTAGGCTTACAGCATGACAGTAGAGATAATATGTTTAAAGAATCAATGCCGATTTACATCTATTTGTACACATAGAACAGCCGACCAGCCAGTGCAGTATTACCCATGTCGCCAATCAATAGCCCAAAATTCAATACAACGCCTTGGCGGGCTGTTGGTTCAGATCCCGAGAATGCTCGGCCAGAAGGCGGTCCAACGCCTTCTTCTCGATCACCAACCGTCCGGTCTCCAGAAGGTCCTTCACATCCAGGTCCTCCAGGTCCAGGATCTTAGCGTCCTGGCCCACAGCACGCACCGTCGTGAAGAGGTCCTCGTTGAGCTGGTCCGTGATCAGCGTCGACCGTCCAAAGTCCCGACCCCAGCAGTTGACCTTGAAGATCTCCTGGATCAAGTGCGGCGTGGCATCCTCGGGGATGGCAATGTCGTTGTCGACGATGATCAACTGGCCGCGGCGATAGCGGTAGCTGACGGCGGTGCGCCACGCCTGGTCGTAGATCTTGCGCGGCAGCCCCGTCGCAAAGTCCCGGGGCTTCGGTCCAAAAGCCACACCACCACCCTTGCGGATGGGCGACTTCTTGTTTCCCACACGGGCCCGGCCATTTCCCTTCTGCGGCGCCAGCTTCCGGTTGCTTCCATGCACCTCATCCCGCCATTTGGTGCTGGCCGTTCCTTGTCGGGTCATATCGCCTTCGTACACGACGGCGCGGTGAAGAAGATCTTTGCGGAGCGGCATCATGAGGTGGTTTCGGGGGTATTCGACAAATCGAAGAGGCTCCATGGACGGGAAGGAGTAGGTGGTGGCCTGGACAGGTTGAGTCCATCGGGAGCCCGCTTGGGGGGCTTCGCGTGTGAGGAAATCGGTCGTCTGGGATTCGGTGGCCATTGACCGGGAGAACGACTTGGTCATGCATCGTTGCTAGAACTCAATCAGCATTCGTCTCAAGGAGACTTCAAGTACAATCATATCATAATACAAGAGAGAGCCATACCGTTGTCGTCTCAGCGCCCGACAGCAGGCCCCCCGAGGTGCGCGACAGCCATCTCAACGCACGAAGAGCGTCTGATCCCGGCATTTTTGATCAATAAAGCCCAAAGAGATCAAAATTGGGAGGTGGAATGGAAAGGAAGAGAAAGTCAACCGGGGAGTGTAGAGAGAGTGAAGCGCAAAAGTTGCAGGTCGGAGAATCTGGCGCTAACCCGCTGAGGTCTTGGCGGAGAACGCAGAAAAGACTTGACTGTCTTTTCGACTTCTCCGACCACCAACCACCGCCGAATCCCCCATCAACACCTCTCTCTCCACATCCCGTTCTCCCTTTCGGTCTGTTGAAAATGGCCCATTGCGAGCGGGCGTCCAAGCCCCTGCTGCAATGCCTTCAAAAGGCCTCTACTAGGGGTCTTCCCGCCCTTCAATTGTCCTCGACGCGAGCCTTCCAAACATCCGCCCGAGTCCAAGAGGAAGCGCAATCTGAGGCCCAGAAACAGCCGTTCAACAAGTCGCCGGATCCCGCCCTGGTCTCGAGTCCCCGGTTAGAAAGACGATTGATCCGGCAGGGAATTTCTCCGGTCGGATCCCGTCGACGTCGCGCGGCCCTGCAGGGCTCGGCCAACATCCCCTTCGCGCAATTGCCGTATCAATGTTTCCAGGAGGCCCGCAAGGTGCTGTTGCAGGATCGCGAAGAGAAGCTGGAGGAGATCACACGGTTGCGGGAGAAGATTGCGCGACTGGAGGCCCGGCCGACCGAGGAGGCTGGAGGCGAACAGGTGAAGAAGTCCCGGCTGGGCGGGATGCAGAAACATCTGGAGCACCTCAAGGTTCTCGCGGACATCAATGACCCGCAGGTGAAGAAGAAGTTTGAAGATGGACAAGGTGAGATGATTTCTGTCTACGTCTATTATCTGTGCTTACCGGTTGTTTTTTTCTAGGCGACATGAGCAAGCCCATCTACCGCTACTTGGCCGACCAGAAATGGCGCGAATACCGACGCAAGATCCTCGTGCAAAGAATCACCCAGATGAAGGTGGTCCCCGACGTCCTCCCTCACTGCGACCCCATCGTCGACACTAAGCTCTACTTCAACCGGAGTGCGGTGCAGCCGGGCGATTTCGTCCAGGCGAACGCGAGTACCACGGCGCCCAAGCTGGACATCCAGCTCTTCGAGGGCGGCGAGAAGCTCGTCACCATCGCCGTCGTCGATCCCGACGTCCCGAATCTCGAGACGGACTCGTTTGACTTCCGGACACACTATCTGGCCGTCAACGTGCCCATCTCGGCCATTTCGACCAAGGTCGACCTGGCCCAACTCTCGGCGGACTCGCAGGTTGTCCTGCCGTGGGAGGCGCCCGTCACACAAAAGGGCAGCCCCTACCACCGACTGTCGCTCTTCATCCTGGAGCAGAAGGACTCCCAGCCGCTGGACTTTGCGGCCGTCAAGGCCAAGGAGTCGGTGCGCGACAACCAGCTGCTGCGCACGCTGCAGGGCCGCTACCACCTCAAGGCGATCGGAGCGCACCTGTTCCGATCCCAATGGGACGAGACCACGCTGGAGGTGATGGAGAAGATCGGGTTCCCGTTGGCGGACGTGGAACTGCGCCGCAAGAAGATCGATCCTCTTCCGTACAAGCGGAGGAACCCGTCGACCTTCCGGTAATTGTCTTTAGTTTGGATCATTTTAGATTTATCATGTACTGTACAATGGGATGTATAAATATGCACAAAAAAGAAAAAAAGCCACAACTCCCAACTCCACGCTTCTGGATAGTACACCGTAGATTACCGAGTCGACAGCAAAAGGAAAAGAAAGTAGCAAAATCAATCGTCCTGAGCCGGTTGCATCGTATTCTGCACCCACTGCATCTTGGACGGAGGCCACACCCTCGCGATGATCTTCCCATTGATCAATCCCATGGGAATAGGGCCATAGTTTCGCGAATCCCTCGACCAAGGAAGATTATCCCCACCGAGGTAGACATGACCCTCCGGGACCTACACCCATTAGCCTCTCTCTTCTTACCTGCACCCCAGTCGCAATCAGAAAGCAACCAGGAGAGAAAAGAAACCAACCTGAATCATCTCCCCCTCCCCCCCAACGCCCGTACTAAACGGCAAATCGCGACAGACAAAATCCCCCGGCATCCCCAGCACGCGTTTGGCGCCGTGGACGCCCAGAAACGTCGGGTGGTAGAAGCGCACGACGTCGCCGACCTGCACGTCGCGACCGCGCTGGTGCACGCGCGAGATGAGCAGGTGGTCGCCGCGCGGGCTGAACGTCGGATACATCGAGGGGCCTTCGCTCAGCTGGATGGTGAAGAGGTGCTCCCAGGCGAGGGTGCAGGCGCAGAAGATGCCCATGCCGTCGAGGACGAGGCGGGGGATGGATTTTGATGTCATTCTTTTTTTTATTATTTCTTCCTCTTCCTCTTTAGTCTCTTTGTTTATTTTTGTTCCCTTTTGTAATTGGTGTTATTGGGGTTCAATTGTATGGCATTTTATTGCATGTAGCTAATGAAGCTTGGATATCAACCGCGCTTGTAGGCGGGTGGATGTCACGTGTCGGCTAACCGTATAAATTCGACTTTTTTGTGGGCGCAATTTCCTCTTTTCTTCCTTCCTCCCACATCTTGATCACCATTGATCTATCTGTCTATCTGTCTATCCACGCGGTATATGTACTATTGTACATGTCTACAAGGCTATGGTTATCCATGCTATAGCTTTGACTTTGTTGAATTGAAACAATTCCTCAATGCCTGAACATCGGCGTCAGATTAATGCATCTTGACCCGATCCCCATACTGCCCGCTATGATACGATACGATACGATATGATGAGATATCTTTGACAAGATGATGTAGTATCAGCTTCTACAATTGCTAGAGCTCACCGCTGTCGAAATAAAAAACCAGAGCGAGTGAGTGTGGACACTGAAGCAAGATGAACACTTGTTGTCTTCGGATGACTTCCCTGAACGATAGCCCGGCGTGGACCCCATTTAACTATGGGAATGGGATGCTGGGTGGTAAAGATGGGAGACATCACTTTATATTATCTTAAGATTATAATCAATAATATTCACACTGTACTTTTATACCTACTTAGGCTTGCCAGCATCTGCAGCTACATAACTGTTAGCATTCATACAACTCTTATAAGGAAAATAAAAAGTAAGAGGCATACCAGGATCCATATCCACATCAGGAATATCCTTCCTCAACTCCGCCTTCTTCTTCGTATCAATCCCAAACCGCTCATCCCGATCCTTACACAACTCACTCAACCCGCCCTTCTCCGCAAGCTTCACAGTCTCCTCCGAGACAAAGCTCCCCATCAGCACCGGCGGACCCAACGGCAGCGCATCGCCGCGATCCACCTGCCAGAAGTGGTACGTCTTGCCGTACAGCGGCGCCACGTCGTACATCTCGGACGTCTCGGCGGTATCCCACGCGATGTCGGGCATCATTGCGGGCGCGGGCATGACGAGCATGCCGCTCTTGACTTCGAATTCGTGCGTGTGCCAGAGGTGTTTTTCTTCTTCGGGGAGCGTGCGGAAGAGGCGCGGGGAGATCATGTATTCGAGGCCGATGAGGCGCGCGTTGGCGTTGGGGGAGTCGTAGAGGAGACATTGTCTTATATCTATATTAATATTGCGTTAGCTTTCTTTCTTTCTTCTTCTTTTACTGTAGGGGTAAAACGAGATAGCTGATAGAAAGAGAAGAGAAACACACCCTCAGTAATATGCGAACAATAATGATTCGCCTCCACACATCTCGTCGGATCATCAGCGTAGACATGGAACGCATTCAAATGGGCGCAGATCTGCTTGACAGGAGTGAAGTTCTGCACTGCAGCAGCGCCTGTCTCGAGGACTTTGCTTTTGGTGGTTCGAGGGGAACCGGGGAGGGGAGGGTTGTCGTGGCAGGACGTCATTTTATCAATGATTGGATATTTTATTAAGCAAAATGTGAACTTGTTGTAGATGAATAGATGGATAGGTAGGTAAGAATTAGATGAGGATTTATTTGCGAATGGCATATCTGGGGTGAGTATATAGATGTATGGTGACACCTGACGTCACTATGATAGTGATACTCAAACAAGATGGTGGATGTCTTATTTCAGGGTTCAACCTTTTCCTGGGTATTGGATCATAGGTTCTTATGGGATAGCATTGGGAATTGGTTGTAAATAGACTAGAGTGGTGTATTTGTTTGTGTTGAGTAAAGCCATTACTTTAGATCGTTATACCTCTTGGATATACGCGTACTAGAATATCATATAGCCAGATTGGACGTAACAAGACTAAACGCATGTCTACAAATATGCCATAGGTCAGTCGGTAGATACGGCAGTTCCAATTCTTATAGTTCTGATCGTATGTGATCACTACATGGCATTCTTCATCTCCCGCAACGCAGCCATCACCTCCACGGGGTTCTTCTTGCCCGTCTTCTGCTGGATCTCAGGGTCCTACAATCATTAGTCGCAAAACTACAACCAAGTGGCTGGACTTACCTCAACACGCATAAACACATTATGCAACTACAGCCGTCAGCTAACCGCACACAGATAAAAATCAAAAGGAGTAAGTAAGAGCATACCTTTTCATCACCGATGGTGAACTTCCCCTGCGTCTGCTGGTTCTGGTCCGCAAACGCCTGCAGCTTCTTGATGGGTTCAGACTGCGACACGGTAGCGCAGAACTTGACGTTCGCTTTGGTGTATTCGTGGCCGGGCTTCTCGTCATTAGTTGTGCACTACACGTAGAGAAAGAAACAAACATACATAGACTTTGGTATCATCCGGGAGAGAAGCAAGCGTCTCGTTCAACGCCTTGTGCATCTCCGCGGCAGTGCCTTCAAAGAAGCGGCCGCATCCTGACATAGACACATTCAATCAGCATCTCAAGACCACAAGGTGTAAGTCGAGGGTCAGGAGGTGAAAGGGAGGGATACCTCCAATAAACAGCGTATCCCCAGTAAAAACCACCCTCTGATCCCCATCCTGCATGAAATAGCACACGCTATCCTGCGTATGGCACGGGGTATGCAGCGCCGTAACGGAGATGCGATCTCCGATCTTGAAGACCTCGCCGTGGGCGGGCTTCTTCGTCGCTGACTGGCAGTCGCGGCCTCCGATAACGGGGAGCTTGCCGAAGATTTTCAACTGTCACCCTTAGTTAGATCTATCTATCAAAGATATATTGTCCCAGGGGGGATAGGAATACCATTTCCTCATTGCCGCCAGCGTGATCCCAGTGGCTTTGCATGTCAGCCTCTGCTCCGCCTTCTGTTGCAAGAAAGAACATACTGGTGGGTATTGACAATAGCAGTCAAGTCGATCTTCCCAGCCTCAAGCTGGGACTTGAGCACGGGGGCCACTCTACCCAGTTAGTATGGAACTGCCTGCCACCACTACCAACAAGACAGGAGACAAACTCGGGCGGATTGGCCGGATCAATAATAACAGACTGCTTGGTCGGCTCGTCTGTCACCAGATAGGCATAGTTATTGCCTTTTCCGGTCCCTGGAATCAATCAGCTATGAACTGCATTTCGACCCTTGGGTCTATATATTGTTCGATAGGTGCTACATACACATGGGAATCGAATGAACATGCATGGTTCTAGCTTGAAGTCGTGTCGGTGTGCGAGATACTGAAAATCGGGTCGGGGACAAACAAGGGCGCAGTCCAGCTGTGGGCCTGAGGGCTGTGAAGATGTTCATGGATTGAGGTTTAGTAGGGGGTGTGAGACTGAGTGATACAAGATGATGATTCCCCTCTTCAATTGATGATGCGGATTACCAATGACGTTGGGGCCGTTGATTGGTGGGGTCAGCCACTGTGGCGGTGCATTATCTGCCTGGAGATGAATGATGCTATCCAAATGTAATAGATACAATAAAATACAGAAAAGGAAACGGAAAATACATTGCTAGAGCAGAAGGAGAATATCTAAGCCACTCCCAACGGCCGACTATCCCAAGCTCCATCCATCTCCCACCCGTATTTCCCCAATTCCCGCGCAGATCCATCCACATCCCCATCCACCTGCATGGAATCCGCCTCGAGCACAGCCTCAGCTGTGCGCAGAGACTCTCCTGACGACGACGCTTCCTCCACTACCCCCTTCAACAAACGCATCCAATGGCCGGAACTCGCCTCGCACGCAGCCCGCACATACACCAAAGACAGTACCCGCCGGCGAGACGCCCACTCTGTCGATCGTAAGATGTGGTCCAGCCACAGGAAGATCCCTTCGCGGTAGGCGTCGTCCTTCTCCTTGCTATTGGCCTTGGCTGCCGTGAAGGCGAGCATATCCACCATCTCCTCTGCCAGAGAGGTTAGGAAAGCCGGACAGTTGTCGGTGAGTGTTTGCAGACACGGATCCCACCGGGAGAAGGTATTGTCCATGGAGTCGTCAAGTCTGGAAATGTTAGCCTTCTCTTCCAACCACAAGAAAGATACTATAGAAAAAGAGAGGGAAAGAAAGAAACGTACGTTCGCCCCCCAGGAACAAGCGCCCCCTCCTCAACCAACCCCCCACAAACAGCTCTCCTCCCCTCCTTCTCCCTACACACCGACCCCAACCTCGTCGCCAACGACGTCCCCATAAGCGTCTGCACACGCCGCTTCTTCCTTGCGGGCAGTTGCTGCTGCTGCTGCTCTTGCTGGTTCTGCTGCTCCCCCTCTTCCAAAAACAACCGTACACAGTCGCGAACGGCTTCCCTAAGCACTAGCAGAGCGTCCTCATCATCAGCATCAGCAGGCGGCGGCGGCAAGAACGCAGCATCGGGATCAGCCTTGGCCCAGTAATAACCCCACAGCCACTCCAGCGAGCGCTGGGTGGCGTTGCGCAGCACGACGAGCGAGGGCGGCTCGCGGTGCGTGGCTTCGTGTCGAAGCTCGACAAACGACGCTGGAAGGCCTAGGTCCACAGCGCGCTGGAACATGGTCTTCCTTTGACCGGGCTGTTTGGAGTCCACGAGAGCGGTTACGAATCTGATTTATCGTTTAGTTTTTTTTTTTTTTTTTTTTCTCTTTTTCAATGAGAGATAGACGGGGGAGGACTAACCGACAAAACGCAGCAGAATAAGTCGCCCTAATAGCAAAGATGGAATTCTTCTCCGCATCATCATGCAAGATAGCATCCGTCAAGAGCGCCGTCGCTTCCACAGCGTGTGGTAAATTACCGCGTAGTTTCCATGCAGCGACCTTATAACATAGTTAGCTCAATTTCTTTTCGCCTGTATACATATATTACCATATACATATACAATTTAATTATATGATATGTATAGCATATAGTAAAATATAAAGCATATCGTAAAGAAAGAAGAAATATAGATAGGTAGGGTAGGTACATACTATAGCACAAGCGGTAGACCGCATATCAGTCCCATCATAAGACTCAGCAGGATAGAAGAAGGACCGGACGGCGAGTAGCTCGGAGGCATCTTTCCAGGGGGTGAAGATGACCTTGGCCATTCTGTTTATCTTCTTTATTTTTGATTCCGGGGTTTATGTAGATCGTATACCGTAGTATCAAGATTTGTGTAGGTGCTGGGTTGATTCTGGAGGCTGATTTTTGTGAACGGGGGATGGTTGTTCCGGGCCGGTCTCTTCTATATACTCTGCTCAAATTACTATGTACCGACGTCATGTTGAATGATTTGTTTTTGTTTAGACGGGTGGATTAATATATTTTTTCTGTGCATATTACAAGTACTGGATGATAGTTTTAGTTAAGTGTTAATTCTATTCAATTCATGTATGTGTGTGATCTCGTAATCCTCTCGGGTATTCGTCAATGCAACCAACCCAAATCCATATCCAAACTCCATGCTATGCGACTAATAACAAGCTGAAACAACAAAACAATGGATAAAAAACCAAGAAGAAAGTCACTAAAGCAGAAAATCAAATGCAAAGAATGAAAAAGGCGAGCCTAAATCCATCCATATCCGTAATTCATGCAAGGCTGAGCCAGATTAAAGAGCTGCTGCGCCCCAACAACCGGCTGCGCGAAGTCCTGATCGAAGAACGATTTCTGGGCCATGCTCGCGCCGGCGTTTTCGGGCTTGCGGGGTGGCTTTGAGTTGTGCGATGGTGCGGGCTGTTCCTGAGGCTCGTCGTCGGAGTCATCATCTGCTTCGGCGTCCTTGTCGTCCGAGTCAGACGGGGTGAACGTTTCCTCGAGTTTGAGACCCTTGCCGCAGAGGCTGCCGAGTGGGGCGGCGGGGTTGCTGTAGAGGCCCATGCCGACGAGCTCGTCGCTGGGGTTGTCGTCGTTTTCAAGTGGGGCGGGAGAAGAAAACGATACAGACGGCTGGTCGAAGAGACCGTCTGGGGTGGAGGGCGCACCGGTCAGGCAGGCTGACGAAGGAGCGCTGGGGTAGCTGGGAGGCGCGAGGTCGGCACACGGGATGTTGTTGGTCATGGACATCATGTCGAAGGACCAGCTGTCGGACATGGGTTGGGTGAGGGCTCCGCTATCCCATGCGGCGGCCATGGGATCGATCTGGTTGGCGGTGGTGGTGGCCATGTGCTGCTGCTGCAGGAAGGACTCATCGTCCATGGGGGCGGAATCGGGCATGGCGGGGAAGGAGGCGCCTGGCAGCGCGTACTGAGGGAGCATGGTGGCGTCTCCGAAAGGGGCGGATGTCGTAGGGGTTGCGTAGTACTGGGGAGCAGCAGGAGCAGGAGGGCAGTAGGCGGAAGAGTCGAAGGTTGCGGGGTGCCAGCTTGTCGGGCGAGTCGTTGGTCTGCGCATGGACGCGGCCAACAGGGCGGCGTTATACGCCGATGCTGGGCGGGGTGGTTGATACTGGGCGGTTCGTCGGGCTGTCGATGACGACGGACTGTTGCCCGCACTTCGAGGCTTCGAGATGCGACTGGCGTGACGGTTTGGTCGTGGAATGGCCTGCATCAGGTCGCGAAAGGTCGAGGCGCCCCAGCATGGCTGGCTCTGAGGCATCCATTGGGAGCCGGGGAGCATGGTTTGGGGTTGAAAGCAGTGAGCCATGGTATACTATATAGATATATACTTGTGGTATAGAGTATATATTTATATAGTATGATTATAAACACTATATGTATACACTATATGTATATAGTGTATGTGTATATAGTGTAGATAGTATACAGTTGGGATGAGTCGAGGTGGAAACGGCGGATATAAGTAGTCGAGGGAGATCGATTATATCAGGCCGAACGGACCATGGGCGACTGCAGCAATGCGATATGCGACGGATCGTCACGATGGAACTTTGTGGTTTGACGAGACAAGTTGCAGGGGGGAAGAAAGGAAGAGAGAAGGGAGGGTCACAAGGCGTCAGGCAAGGCACAGAAAACAGGAACAACGAGGAGGTTGACAGGGTATATCAATAATCTTACATGGTCTAGGTCAGAAGAGTCAGATAAATGAAAGAAAAAAAATAAAAGGTAAAAAAGAAATTGAAAATGGAATTAAAATTGAAAGAAACAGAAAGAAAAATTGATCTACCATCCGCAGCTCCACGATCCCATTGATAGACACCAGTTGGAACGGGCACCAGAGTGACAAGTTGACACCGGGATAGGGACTAGCGGGTGATGATTACTCGTGATTACTGGTCTTGGATACTTGGATTACTCGGTCAGGAAGTAGTTAGTATAGTCATTAGGAAGCACTATAGGTCGGAAGTCGTCCAACCATCTTAGTCGCCGTAGATTCAGGAGTGATGATTCAGGCGCGCTGGACCCGGACCCATGGACGGTGGAGGCTCCTGCACGGTCAATGGTGGATGGAGAAGGAAGTGGAGGGATCATTCAGTTACTCTATTATGGATTATTGATTTTACTTTTTTTCCTTTCTTAGATATATTCTTTCATCTTAAATTAATCAATATTGGGAGAATTCCGACTTGGAGTAACCCAATTAGGGCTTTTCTCCATCAATACGTGGGGATCCGATCACCGTTCCAGTCCCATGTATTGGTATGGTAATTGTGCGATGGAAATGGACGGAGATCCCCACACGTTCACCGTTTCCAGTCCGTTCCAAGTACAGGGCGTGTTACGCAAGGGCGACTCCATTCCAATATTTGGCCCGCCTTGCTCCATTCCAGTCCTGAAGATGGAGTACTTCCTATTCCTAATACAACTTGATCCTCCAGCCTGACAAGTGGGGTTGCTCAACCTTGGTTCTGGAAGGGTCAGAATCTCATTTGCCATGACGACTGTCTTCAGGAGTAAGCACTGGAATTCGGCTGTGGTTGACTCGAGAGTCGAGAGTCAAGCAGAGTCAAGAGAGCCTGAGAGTGGAGTGCTCCGTCTCTTCCAGACTGTTGATCCTCCAGAATAGGTTGGTTGGATGTTGGTGACTCCTTTGCTGTGTTACCTCATCACTCCGTCACGTCACAAGGGCTCCATATCTCTACGCTGGAATGGGATGGAGGGAAGGAGGACGGACTAGAATAGTGGCTGGACCCGTGCTGGAACCATGCTGGAACCGTGTTAGAAGTGTTGGAACCGTGCCTTGGAACCCCCAAATTAAATCATAATAATCATTATAAACAAATCAAAAATAAAAATAATAATCATGATAATCAAATCAAAAAGTTCCGTGCGACGTTCCTCCTTACGAACCTGGTCCCCTTCGTAGTCTTCCAATCGGACAATTGAGATCATCGGTTGAAGAGCCCTTCAAATCAGAATCCCCATCCATCCATCCACCGGGACATGTGCAGCACTAGACGCGACTTATTTTTATTCTCCTTCTGGCTTCCCAGGAGGCCGATCTTTTCCGTCAAGGGACACGGTCCGGTTGCATCCATCCCATTCTCCCCACATCCACGTCTTATGAATGATTCTTGGACAGGATATGGTTCACCGCTGGACGGGATCGTTGCCGACACTGTATTATCTACTGCTATACTGCTCCGTAATGTTATATCAGCAACAACTATTCCTACTATAACCACGGAATAATGGCAATAAAAGTAGATAATAATAAGAACAGTAATAATACATCTATAATAATCATAATAATATAGAAGAAAAAGAATGATAATAAATAAGCTAGCGATTTGGCTCGCCCTAGCGCCGTGTCATCAGCCCCGATGGTTCCAACGTCGTAGCGCCCAATCTCTCCAATTTCGGTACGAGTATCACTCATATATACTCTCCGTCTCTCCGTACAGACGTTCTACTGTGTATGACTATCCACATGCACATGCATGTCCCAACGCACAGGCTGTAGTAATATGTACGGTACATATCATCATCCAGCAGGATCCATGCGTCTGCGGTTAGGCAGTCCGCAATTACGGCCTGGGCCATGTCAGCTGCGCCGTCCGTATCACTTTGGTGGAGACAATATCATCGTCACTTATAGTCATTACAGAGTATACGCGGAACATCACTTAGAACACGGAATTCCATGGAGTACGTATGAGAGATTACTCCGTATCCCATACGAATACAAAGGTTCCGCCTCAGAAAGACGAGGGGACGAGATACAAGGCTAGTCAGCTTCGCCGCGAGCCCACTGCCTTGGCCTGCGCCACAGCGTCTGATTCTGATCAGGTCGATCGGAGAGGAAGCCCAGGATTGCAAGCTAGTCAGTCAGTCAGTCATGTTTGACTTTGGCCCTTGGCCGTGGCCTTGACGACCAGTCCAGACACTAGGCTGGTTTACGTATAGGGCGACAATCCCAAGTGGAGCTGGTTCAGATACGATGGAATGATATGTGCCCCGCAGACCGTCATTCATGTCCGTCCCTTCCTCCCCTTCCCCTTGTCCCCATCCCATCCCCTGGGGGAAAGGAAATGATGGAGGAGTCATTCTTTGATCACTATTTTGAACCTTTTGTTTTTCTTTTGTTTTACCCTTTTCAAGAGGGGAGGGTTACAGATGTTCTGGCCCTTGAGTCGAGGTGTACGTGCATACATCCTACATAGTACGGAGTACGGGTACGGATAGACGATATGCATATGATGATGCGTATGCAGGCTCCAACATTGCATCACCAAGTGTCTATCCCTCTACTCCGTATCTATCCATCTATTGATCAGTCTCTCCGGAGGAGAAACCCTGAAAAAGGAAAAAAAAAATAAGACCGGTGGAAACCTTTCAGCCAATCACACGCCACCGTCCGATCTTTCTATCAAAATTAGGGCCACGTCTTTACCTTCACTAGAGAAACCGACTAACCCTTAGTTCGGTCCAAGTTGAGAGGGGGGGAGGGGCTGGACGGTGGACTGTCCACACCGCAGGAAGCTAGCATAAGCCACGGCACGAGATCTCAAGTGTGGGCGTAGTTGATGGGGGATATTGATTGAACGACTCCGGACTAGGGAGGTATGCAGGATGCCATGTTGAGGTATTTCTCTTCTTTCTTTCCTTTTTTTCTTTTTTTCTTTCTTTCTATTATTGGTACTATTTTTTTGCCACTTGGTTAGGTAGTTGTACGGCTTGCTACATGTGCAGCCTGCATACGGAGCATGCAGCAGTTGCAGTTCCTCAGATCGAGGGTTCTGCTTTGAGTAAGGTTTGAAACCCTACTCGCCGCCATCAACCGGTATGGACGATGGAGAATGGACGATGGAGTCCTCGGGATAGGGACACCTTGCTTGAATGGTGGGCCGTCTCAGGCATTCATCACTGCAGGGAAGCCATCATTGATGACCATACCTCCCTAGGTAGTACTCCGTTGGTCGTTTGGATGAAAAGGAAAAGGCAAGCAATCTCGGATGATCATAGGAGGCCGGTGCTTCAGCTGATGCCACTATCCCTCTCCCCTTCTCTTTGGTTGCCTCGAGAGGGGGACGAGTCGACACTAGACTAGAGATCAAGGCGGTTTCACCATCCCTTAAACGATCAGACCGAGCACTCCGCTGATAGTCAAGTCATCCCTTCCCTGCTGTGTTGGACTTGGACCTTGTAAGTTTGTAACGAATCCACTCGCCGACCGGGGACGATGATGTTGAGGGATCGGCTGGATTGATGGTCGAGCGTCTCTGTACGTCGTGAGACGCTTCAATTGATATAATCATTTTCATCATAAATCTAAAGCAATCAATAGGAATAAACTAGATTGCTGAGGAATGACACTGTCTCCCTCTCTGTATACAGGAAGTACTCGTCTGCCTACTCGATATCATCGTGAACGGCATCAAATTTATCGATGATATATTACTGCAATAGGTAATACTCAAGTGAAAGAACTGTGGACACAGCCAGCACTAACAAACCTAACGAGACCATCGGGACCAACTAATCTAGTCCGTCTCCATCGATGACCTCCTACCTACCTCGTCTAGGCGTAAGATCCTGCGGCATTGTCACGGTAGATCCAAGTGGAGCCCGGCGCAGCTTTGACGTTGCAAAAGCGGCAACTCTGATCAATCAACTGGCGTGTTTTCCCTTCTTGTCTCCACCTCCTTTTTTTTTTTTTTTTTCTCTTCCTTCTGACTTTCTATTCTTGCTATTTTCCTTTCCCGGTCTCTCTCCTCTAGCACTAACCTTGTTGTCTCACTTCTCCAGTTTTTGGTTTTTCTATTCCCTCCTTGCCGTCCCTGGCCTCATGTGTGACGGCGACTAAACCCCTGACCACCACCCTTCCCACCACCAATCATTCCCCACTCAGAAGTGGGTCGAATGAGTCGAACCACCGTATCATGCCCGTCCCTTTGTGGTCCAACCAATGCAGGTGAAAAGTCACACGTCCACGACGTGGGTGTGGTTGGATTGCCGAAATGACGATCAGGCTGGAGTCTCAGACAGCTCAGTCGCAGTCTCTCACGTGATGGATTATCATCTCAGTCATACTTCATCCAGAGGATGGAGTCCTGATGGAATTCAGGTTTAGACCCGAGCATAATTCAAACGTAATGGATGCTTCGGACTGAGCGGTTACGCCGGTTAGTCGTGAGTGGAGCCCGATTACTCGGTGGCTGGTATCCGGGCACGTTGTCGGGATGATCTCCATTTCTTTCTCGTCACTATTGGATTGGGGGCCTTCTTGGGTGATTCTGGTCCGTTTCTATTGCCTTTCGATGGAGACTTCGCCCTTGCGACCCATGGGATTCGGTTGGCTAGAGGATTCTGGTCACCCAGTACGGAGTACTCCGTACCCCGTAATGACTTCCAATCCCTCATCTCGGTGCAGATTCCACGACTAACGACTTAATGAGTCAATTCGACTCCTCCAACTCAGGGGAAGAACCCAGATCACCGTGTGGAATGTGGATCCTGTCCCATTCGGTACCCGCCACCGTTCCATCCTCCAAAAACGTGTCCTCTCGGGCTTTTCTTTCTGTTTGCGCCCCCGAGAGAGAAAGTCGTATTCGCCGAGTAACTCTAACTTATGTACGAGGACGAACGAGTCAATGAACCCCTGAAAGTTGAATGTATGCATCCAATACGATAGTCAAGACACACCCCTCCGAGACAGACAATCCACCGCGGCTCGAATCAGAATCCTTCCCAGTCCGTCTTGCGATCAGCGCCGTGCACGGATACCTCCCGCCAGCCTTGTGACGGCCTGACGAATCGCTCACTCACATTAGATTTGAGACTACGGCGCAAGCGACAGGATAGGTATGTTGTAGCAAGTAGATTTCAGTCCTCCGGCAGGATGTCCAGCCCATTGGCTGTTCTCACCCTCTACCCTACCTACCTACCATACCCATGCCGGACTTTGTGAGACCGGCTTTCTCCGAGTACTCTTTTATGTTCCACGTATACTAGTTGTACGGCCGGATCGAGCTTGGTCCAATAGGATTTGGACCGGAGACAAACTCGCGTGTTTGTGCCGGTGCAGTTCCATCTGGGAGGTACAGAGTAGACTAGGTGGAAATGGATTTTTCTGACTAGATCTGATTGTAATTATGCTACGGAGTACGGAGTAGTAGCCTACGGTAGAATTGTACCTGTGTGGATTAGAATATGAATCGTGCTGGTTGGTGTCCAGACGGGATATATATATATATCCAATATATATGGCATTGATATTATCCGATCAACACCCGAGACTAAACAATCGACCAATTGCTCTTAATTTTGAATGCAATTTGATTTCTAAGATAGATCTACTTCTTTCAATTGCCTTTCAGACGAATTAGAGTACCTACAGGTCTTTTACCTTAGATATAACTGAGGGTGAACGATGAATCTCATTGGCAAAATGCATTACCGCCTTCAGACCGACGTCATAGACACTGTCCCCCCGGTGAATCCTTTCTCCAATCTCGACCAGCCATCAATTACATCATAGCTACTTGAAGCAAAGAACAGAGAAAAAAGAACCCAAGACAAGCACCTCAATCAATAAACCGCCCGAGTTTGCTAGAATTATGGACCAAGCTCGAATGGTAGGTCCCGCTTCCCCTCCCCCACTGCCTGCATGGCGATTGAATTCCCAGCTGACTGACAGGGGGGAAGAGCATCGAGGGATCCAGGCGGGAGTCGGAGGCACACCACAAGCTCGAGGTGAATTCGCAATTCCTCCTGCAATCGGCGGAGAGGCCTATTGGCTGACGCTGCGTGTGTGAATTTCAACAGGTCGTCCTGTCCCCCGATTGCAGTAACCGTCGCAAATCGTCGCTCGTCGTGGCGGATGGATCCAGATCCCGACCCAATGTGGATTGCTCGGATGAAAAGACCGCTTGCTTCGTGCATTCGCTCATCGCGGGGGAGTGGCTGGCGCCGAAGAGGGAGCATCAGCAGGAGCAGCACAGCGCAGTCGAGTCCGAAAGCGACGACGAGGAGGAGGTCCATGCCATTGAAAAGAGCGATGACGAAGAGCCAGATGTGTCGATCAAGGTGCAGTCGCGACAGCTGACCAAGCGGCAGCTGTCGGACATGGCGTGGAACGTGCGCAAGCTGTCCAAGCGGCTCGACAGCATTAAGCTGAAGCTGACGGTGCAGTCCGTCTTCGTGGTGACCAAGGCGGGCGACGAGTCCGTTATTGGACTGACGCGCGAGCTGACGCGGTGGCTGCTGTCGCCTGAGCGCGAGAGGCGGTACGTCGTGTACGTGGAGAAGCGACTGGAGACGGAGCCGCAGTTTGGGGCATCGAAGCTGCTGGCGGAGGAGCCGTCCGCGAAGGACCGTTTGCGATACTGGGATACTCAGTTCGTGCAGGAGCATGCGCACCGGGTTGATTTTGCGATCACGCTGGGCGGCGACGGCACCGTGCTGTATACGAGCTGGCTGTTCCAGCGTGTTGTGCCGCCTGTGCTGTCTTTCGCGCTGGGCTCGCTCGGCTTCATGACTAAGTTTGACTTCAATGATTACCGGGATACACTGAGCACGGCGTTCCGTGAAGGTGTCATTGTTAGTCTGCGGTTGCGTTTCGAGTGCACTATCATGAGGAGCAAGCCGTTGCCGGATAACACGCCGGAGAGCCACCGCAAGCGGGACCTGGTGGAGGAATTGATCGGGGAAGAGCCCGACGATACTTTGACCCATCAGCCAGGCAAGGTTGTCCAGATCTTGAACGATGTCGTGGTGGATCGAGGGCCCAATCCGAGTATGTCTACCCCTACCTACCTGTATAGCTATCCGTGTAGCGATCCGTATAGATATCCGTCTACAACCACATACTAACCATCGCAGCCATGTCATCCATCGAGCTCTTCGGCGACGATGAGCACTTCACGACTCTCCTCGCCGACGGCGTCTGCATCGCCACGCCCACCGGCTCAACAGCGTACAACCTCGCCGCCGGGGGCTCCCTCACGCACCCCGACAACCCGGTCATCCTGGTCACCGCGATCTGCGCGCACACGCTGTCCTTCCGACCGATCATCCTCCCGGACAACATCGTGCTCCGCATGGGCGTGCCGTACGACGCGCGCACCAGCTCGTGGGCCAGTTTCGACGGACGACAGAGGTGAGTTCCAGTTATCTGTGATGTCTATGACACTTTGTTACTTGGCATCGCATCTTTCTCCAAGCAGCGCAGTATGATTGACCGGTAATAGGATCGAACTCAACCCCGGTGACTACGTGACGGTCTCGGCGTCTCGATTCCCGTTCGCAAATGTGCTGCCCCCGCGACGAGGCCGACGCGGCGACGACTGGGTGCACAGCATCTCCAAGACACTAAACTGGAACTCGAGAGAGCGGCAACGGGTGTCGAAGTAACATCAGTTTAACCGTCGGACGAGTGACGAGTTGCATTGGGTTTCAAGACGGGTTTGCATGGTTATGGACTGAAAATACATGCTAGTATATAGCATGATCTGTTGATGGTGTACTATAGGATAGGCTTGGTGATTTTATGAATAATAGTGATGATCTACGAGTATGATAGAAAGAAAAGCCGAATGATATTATAATATCACAACGAATGGTGGAGTCTCTAGAAGCTTCGTTGGACTTTTTTTTTTTTTATATGGGCCGGTGGGTTTCCCGGGTAGCAGTAGCAGCAGCAGCCTGAGGCCGACGCGACTATAAAAACCCTGACCCGCCCGAGAATTTTTCTCTTCTTCTTCTTCACTTCTTCAATTTGACTCCCAACACCTTGATACTCCCACAGAGTATCTGAGTATCTTGCTACTGCTCAAAAATGCCTTGACAGTCCACAACAACTACAATAACACTAACGAGTAAGTGACTGCAGTCCTTTTTACGGAACCACAGAATCAGAGCATCCGCCCAGCTCAATGATGAAAAACTTCCTACATTCGCAGTTTCCACGCTAGCCGTCGCTCGAACCTAATTCAGACGTGCACTGTGCGCATTACTTCCTTGGATGTCTGATTTGGGTTGATGCTATGATTCTGTGGTTCTGGTTGAATATGTTTTATGCTGTTTGATCGGTGCTAATGATTCTTAAGTTAGGTTGCTTCTTCGGTTTGATAGATGAGTGTGAATGTGAATATAAATATGAATATACATATGGATTTGATATCTTCTGGTATTTGTAGCAGTATAGTAAACAGGAGTAGTGTCTTGAGTCTATAATTCGATTGTTGATGGTATAAACCGTTTGAGTTGTAGAGTAAACTGAGGCGGTGTGGCGGGCAGATATCTGTCTCCATATCATCTTCATCTCAGCTTCATCTTTATCTATCCTCAACCACATACAAGTCAATTCTACACGCCTACTCAGTCCTACTCAATCCTACCCTCTCTTAATTACTTAGATATAATTAACCTCTGCCGCACACCTGTACAGAAATCTCTCTACACCCCGACCGCCATGCAAGATACATAACAACAGCCATCCCACCATCGTCCCTCTGCATCGCGGCCCCCAAGACATCCAACCCACCTCCTGCACACCACCACACACAACAGCCAACATGTCGCAACCACGGCATAATACCATGCTGTCTCTCAGCAGAACGGCCTCCAACACCCCCTCCCCAGCGGAGAAACACCATCAACACCACCCCTCCCAGCAGATCCAATCCGCGCCCCTGTCCAGTCCCAGTCCCGGCCTGCGCGTCCCCTCCAACCGCAAAACCATCTATGACCGACACCTGAACCGCAGCCGCAATAGCGAGCTCAGCCGTGCCTCCTTCGCCTTCCTCTTTGGAGAAATGGTGACTTATGCCCAGCGTCGTGTGACGGGAATCCAGGATTTGGAGAAGCGGTAGGTTACCTCCCTACACCTACCTATCTGCCTACTGCCTACACCTACCCACATGTACTTGACAACAAGCTAATAAAACAGATTAAACGAACAAGGATACCCCCTCGGACTCCGTCTCCTCGACCTCCTCTTCTACCGCACCATCTCCAGCTCGACCTCCTCCGCCCTCTCCAGCTCCTCCTCCACCTCCGCCTCTCCCCCAACCGACCCCTCCGCATCCTGCCCCTCCTGCACCTCATCCACGGTCCCCTCTGGCGTCTCCTGTTCGGCCGCGCGGCCGACGCCCTCGAACACTCCGTCTCCCCCGAGACTCCCAACGAGTACATGATCACCGACAATGACCCGATGGTCAACACCTACATCAGCGTACCCCGCGAGATGAGCATGCTCAACTGCGCCGCCTACGTCGCCGGTATCATCGAGGGCGTCTGCGACGGCTGTGGTTTCGAGACTAAGGTTACGGCCCATAATCAACCGACGGAGTTGTGGCCCGGTCGGACCATCTTCTTGCTTCGCTTTGGGGACAGTGTTATGGAGAGGGAGAAGGTGTTGGAGCGGGCGGGCGTTAAATAGTTTATTTTCTTTCTTTCGCCTAGGTCTGTATGTGTGGTACTTATTCATGGCTGGAGTAATATCCTTTCTTTAGCCCGTGCCGCCCTATCAATAAATACAGAACAGCTGGTCCATCGGCTTGTATGCAACCCTTTAGATAGATACCCAACGCCGAACATCAATTTGATATGTATGCTCCGCCCTGTTATTACATAGTATATATTCATCGCGGCGACACGCTGGTCCGTCTCCGTTTCTCCCGATCATACGGCGACGGACTCCGTTTCCTGCGATCGCCAGCCTCCGGTCGATAGTGATCCGTCGGGCGGTCTCCGCCTCCATGTCTGTCCCTGCGAGGTGACCGAGATCGAGACCTCCGTCTCTGGACGGGGCCCGCGTTGGCCCCCGTCGGCTTCATGGGCCCCCCGTCACCCCTCCGGTCACTGTCAGGCATGAACCTCTCATCCGTCACGCCCACCGGAGCGCCGTCACGCCGCCGCCGCCCTTCGAACCCATTCCCAAACTGCCCCGTATCCTCCGACCGCAGATCCTTATAGCGTGTGCGGCCCTTCTTCCCCAACTTCGTCATATCCCGAATCTGCATATACTCCGGGAGCGTCTCGCGCGAGACATCGTCCACAAAGCGCGCGCCCACCAAAGCCCGCTTATCCAGGCCCTTCTGCTCCAGCCCCTCGCGGTGGAACGCCCCCTTATGGAAATACCGCTGCATGAAGCCTCCCTCGCCCCTCGTCGCCTCCTTATCCTCCTGCTGCTGCGCCAGGAACTCGCGGTCTTCGCGATCGCGCTCCTCAGCCGTCAGATTGCGCCGGCGCTCGACCTCCTCGCGCTCCTTCTCAGACTGCTCGATCGCCTCCCGAGACCGCTTGATCCGCTTCAGCTCCCGCAGCTTCCATGCCGCGTACTCCGCTTCGGGGTCCACCCCGTCCTTATCGTCTAGGGCGCTCTCCTCCGCAGCTTCGACTTCGTCGTCGTCCCATGCGCGGTTCGCCGCGCTGCGCGCGATCGCTTCCTTTTCGAGCTGCTCGCGGACGAGCGTGTCGGCTTTTTCTTGTCGCTGGGCGCGGCGCGCTTCGGATTCGGCGTGCGAGTCGGCTGTCGCTTTTTCTTGCGTTCGGGTTTCGGCGTTGTTGGTGGTGGTGTTGGTGCGCTTGTCTTTGCGGATGAAGGTCGGTCGGAGGAGGACTCGGCGCGGGGCTTCTTCTTCAGAGCTGCTTTCTTCTTCGGAGCTCTCTTCTTCGCTTTCTTCTTCGCTTTCTTGCTCTCCTTCTTCCTTTCCAACCTTATCGTCCAAACCCACAGGCGCAGCCCGAGAAGCAACAGCCGCATCGCCCGCAACGCGACTATCCTTCCCTACTACCTCTTCATCCCCCTCCTCCTCATCCTCCTCCGTAACAAACCCCTCCTCATCCTCATCCTCATCCTGCGCCTCAATCCTCACATCCTTCACACCCTTTGTGATTTTCCCCGCACCAGCAGCACCAGCAGGGAACGAACTCGCCTTGGGCGCCGCCGCGCGCTGCCTCTGCTGCTGCTGTAGCTTCAACCGACGAAGTCGCTCCTGTTCTTTCCTTTTCTCTTCCTCATCCTGCTCGTCTTCTTCGTCCTCATCCGAGGAAGGCTCCTCGGCGACGGGTTTGCCGGGTCGGTAGCGGGAGGGTTTGAGCGGGTTTGCGGTCATGCCGCGGTGGTGGGAGGGGAGGGGGGGCGGCATGTTGATTATTCGAAAGTGAGTCGCTTGATTATTGTGTCATTGGTGGATTTTCGGTTTCACTTGCACCCTTTGTTGGGTAGAGGTGGAGTTGTAGTAGTACTGGTAGGTAGGTAGTGATGATAGATGATGGAATAATATGATCTTAGCCCAGCTTAGGTAAGGTAAGGTTTTCATTAACTATAGCTCTGAGTACGTCACATGACTACGCGTTCGCACGCGCGATACCTTAGATAGGCACTACCTCCAACCTACCTACCACACCGATATACTCAACCAACCACTCATCCCACCAAACGCCACGAAAAACGAAACCTCCAAACAAACCCCGAAGAAACCAAAGAATCAGAAAGAAAGAAAAATGTCCCTCCAAACCCCCCGCATCCTCCCCTCGCACCTCCACGCCTTCCACCCCAACACCGCCAACGGGCCCCGCTCAACGAACACCGTGCGCCTGCTAGGCACAGTGACGAGCCTGCGCGGCGACACGGCGACCATCACGTGCGGGAACCACGGCGATGTGACGATGCTGCTGAAGCCGGACGCGCATCTGCAGATGGGGAGGGTGGTGGAGGTTGTTGGGAAGGTGGTTGATTTGGAGGGTGGGGCTGTATGTTCTTTCCCTCATTTATTCCCTCTATGTTTATATTGTGTATACATAGGAGGTGTATATTGGAAAGATACTAACGGGTGATGATGTATAGGGCATCGGGCTAAGAATGCTCGCGAACTTCGACTGGGGGAATCCTGCTGATGTTGGTATGCTTTTTCTTCCCTTCTCTTCTCCTACTACACTACAACCCATACGTACCTACCTCATTACAGAATTGTCCTTCACCAAAGAAACTTTCCTTAAAAATACTAATATAATACTAACAAAACAGACTACAAAATCTACGAAAAACTCGTCGACGTCACACATCGGTATCCGGAGATTTTCTACGACACGGGCGATGCTTATTGAACCTACCCTACATTCCGTGGTCAATACCGAGAGTTTGGGTGAAACCAAGCGGTTGTTGAATTGAGTGGCTAGTGACAATTAAAATAAATATACCCCGTCTTGTTGAGATATGGAGATATGGCGTGTTGTCATGACAGGGAGTGCATTTACGATCATGATCTGTATGATGGCTTAGGTATGCTCTTTAGTAATGCGTACTTGAATACTATCGTACTACATCGTAGCTACTTTAGGAAAGCCCGTTGTATAATGTTAATCACATTTGATAATAATTGACTACTCCAACATTCTCTCAGAAACGTAGAGGAATAGAGCCATTTCACCCGTAGGCGACCCCAACGCCATCGCTAAAATCAACAGAAAAATATCACAGAAAAGCAATCATAAAGCATTAGTGTTCTCCTGGTCCCCCTCCTTCGATCCCTCCGGCTTGTCCGCCATCAGATCGTTGTTAAGCGCATCCGATCCAAAGAATCCCGAGTCCAGGATGCTGGAATCCGTGAAATTGAATAGATCGAAGCTGGGATTGTTCAGGTTTTGTTTCTGGACCTCCGGGTCCGCCAGGATCGCGTTGATGAGATCTCGCGACTCGTCGCCCGCTCCCTGGCCGTCCTCCGATCCGTTCGGCGACACGTAGTCCGACGGCAGCCACTCCGGCCAGTTGCTGCTGGACGCGCACCGCGACGGCTCGAATGCGAACAGCGAGTCGCTGTGCACCGCGGACGCCGCGTCCTCCGAGAAGATGTCCACCATCACGTTGTCCATGCCAAAGGTGTCCGAGGGGAATGCGTCCGTCGGCAACGGCAGTTCGGACGTCTGCTGACGCAACGGCTTGGGCGTCCGCTGACGCGGCGTGCCCGGGCTGCTCTGGATCCGCTGGAGTCGCTGCGCGGTGAGCTTCGTGGGGCTCTCCATATTGGCCATCCGGCGTCGCGACGACGGCGAGCACGGCACAGACAGACGCTTCTCGCCCGGGACGCTCGTGCGGGGCTGCCTCCGCTTCGGCGTCGGACTCGCCGGCAGGTCACAGTCGAACGAAGGACTCCCCTCGAACAGGTTGTCCAGATCACCGGACGCATTTTCCTTGTCCTCGCCTTTATCTGACCCGCGCGTGGCAATGCGAGGGCTCCGCCGAGGACTGTTCAGGATCGCTTCGCCTAAGGCTCGGAAAGGAACCCCGTCCGCGTGCGAATTAGGAAACAGTGCTCTCCTTACAGGCTTGGGAGTTGTGCTCTCACCCGCAGCTGCAGACTTGCGGTTTTCCATATTCCGAGCCGGGCTAGACTGGATCGCTCGTCGGAGAGCTTCCATGGGGTCCTCGCTCTCCCAACGGCTCTTCTCCGAGGATCGTGAGGGTTCGGCGCTGTTTGCACGTCGCTTCTTGGAGGGAGGATCCTGCACGTCGTCGTCGTTTTCGCGACCGGTCTGGTGATCTGCTGGGGTCGTGCCGTCGTCTGCCGCGGGCGAGGAAGCATCAGAGGCTCCGGGAGAGGATCCGTCAACCTTCGATTCGGCTCGGCTGCGGCTCCGCGTCGCTGTGCCGTTGATGGAGAGCGGACCGCCTTTGCGGCTTCTCGAGGGCCGCTTCTTCTTGTTCGCGACGCCTTTGTTCCATTTGTGTTCGGGACGCATCGACTTGAATTTTTGGAACCAGAGACCGCAAGCTTCACCCCTCTTATGTTAGCAACAAGACCATCGAAGATGATCACAACGCGGACTAGCACTTACGGTTGCAGAGAAGGATCTGGACCCAGTCATTGTCCTCGTCGGCCAGGGTCTTCTTGTACACCTTGAATTTGATGATCTTGTCCTCGTCGTCTCGCTTCACGGCGCGCCAGAACAACATCGTACGATCCTTGGTGAGCTCATTGGCATAATCCTCATCCCCCTCAAATTCCTTGGACCAAGCACGGCGCCACGTCGGGGTCTCGATCGCCCCGCAATTCTCGCAGTAGGGCGGGACCTGACCGTTCTGGATGCACTTGTCCAGGCGATCCCGGACCTGCTTCAGCCTGCGCGCACCGGCCCCGCTGCGGCTTTTGGCATCGTCCGGCACAGGCTGCGGGGCAGGAGTCTCGGCCGCAGAGAAATCACTCATGGGACCCCAGGCCTGGGACGAGTGAGCCTGCGTCGGCATCACCGGATCACTGGCGGGAATAGAGCTGATGATTTGCTCCAACTCGCTCTGCGACATCGGGGCGGGCGCCAGGGGCTTGGGGGTCGGTCGAAAGCTTGCTCGGGACGACGGTCTCGAGCCGGCATTGCTCGCGGGGCCGCGGACCGGGGCGGGAGCGATGCCCTTGGCTGCAGGCTGCTCCGGGAGCGCATCGCTACGGTGACAAGACTCTCCCTGCGGCTCCCGGTTTGCAGGGCCACCGACGGGCGAGTTGGCATGAGCGGTAGGTCGGGCGGCGATTTTATCCCCGGCCATGCGATGAGAGACGGATCGCGTGCAGTCTTCCAACGGGGTACCGATGTCCTCGTCCAAGATCTCTTCCACGCCTCCACTCATGAAGCCCGAATCCGTGTTCATAGGTGGGAGGACCGGGCTGGACCGATTCGGAAGCCCACAGTCCAGGACCGGGGGCGAGGACGGCATGCTGAACGACGGTTCGAAGAGACCCTGGTAGCGAGACTCTTCCGGGGAGTGTCCGTGTAAGTCCCCATGAAGTTGATCGTCACTGGCCGAATAAGGTGACATGTACTGGGCGTTGTTCTGGGCCGACGAGGCCTCGCGCAGGAGGCTGGGGGGCGGACGCTCGCGGCGAGGGAGGTCTTGTGCGTGCGAAATGGGAGTGGGGGGGCGGACAGGTTCTTCGTGCGGACCCTGGCTCGCAGCGACTGCAGCAAGCGATGGATTGACCGGTGTCGGGCGATGGATCCGCACCGAGGCGGCAGTACTGGCAGCCACCCGCAAGGAGCTGGGCTGCCGCTCAATGTTCAGGTCCGATTTACCAGGCCCCGTTGCCCGATACAGCTTGGCCCTCTTGCGAGGCTGTGCGTCCGTCGACTCTTCGCCGCTGCCATAGCCCGACTGCATCGACCCCCTGCGGCTGGCATAGCGGCCCTGGGTGGGGAGATCCGAATCGTGCATCGACGCACTGGACGAAGGGCGGATGGCGTCTTGTGCCCGGTCGTGTGACTGCGGTCGCGGTGCCTGGCCTGGTTGTGCCTGTTCGCCCGACTGAGACATATACGGCGCCGGGGTGCAGACGCTGGCCGGTGATGCCGAACGATAGGAGCCGTGGGCTGAGAGGGCGGGAAAATCTCGCGGGGTGGACCCCTCGCTGAGCAGTCGATGGAACCGCTCGATTCCGGTATGGTCCAGGGGAGACGCGGTCCGATCTGGCTCCGTCATCGAGGGACTCATCAAGGCAGGATTTTGGCGTAGAAAGTTTGTCCACGCTTGTGCGTCGAATTCATGGGGAATGTTGTTGCTCAGATCCCGGTACTTCTGGATGCTGTCTAGATACTCGCGTTGCATCACCGTCGGTACAGGCACCAGCCGCAGCTTGACCTCCAGCGTCTCCTGGGCGCCCTTCGAGAAGAGGCCTAGGACATTTTTGCACACCCGACCGGTCACCATGGTCTGGGACTGATGGGCGGGAGCCTCGGGGGTTGGCGAGGATGAGGCGAGGACCCACGAGAGCATCCCCTGCCCGACCAAGGGCGTTTCATATTCGGAGTAATCGTAGGCGTAGACGGTGTAATCCTGGCCCAGTTTGGCCACCAGTTCAGGGCTATCCACAAACACGAGGTATGAGCGTCTATCCACAAACCACCGGGGAGGAGAGAAACCTACCTAGCGGACACGATGGCTTGAATGCATGTTTTCAACTCAATAACCCCGATGAGTGTTTTCTCGTCCAGTGCAGCGGTCTGGATCTCGAGCAGGTGAGGCCATCGGGCTAGGCAGTTCGTTTTGCTCGCGTCATCGAACGTATAGAGCACCTTCACTAGAGTGGATCGAATCAGGGGTCAGCAACTGGACGCCAATCGAACCAAAGTGGGCCACAAAAACTCACGCCTCATGGGCCGGACGGAAATTCCGTCCTGAGATTCCATGCCACCAGACTTAGAGTGATGACCATAAAGCAACGTTCAGAGCGAGGATCCCGGGTTGTAGGAGGAGAGAGGAAGGTCGGTAGGGTTGGACAGCGCGAGGATAAATCAAGGCACCTGTCGAGGGTTGGAAAACGTGACCCAGCGTTTCGTTCGGGTTCCAAACGACGTGCGTCGAAATCGAAGCAAGGTCGGAATGCAATCGGCTCGGCAAAATCTCAATCAGGTTCGAGAAGCAGAATCGGCAGCAGCGTCGACCGGGAGAATGCAGCGGTATGTACGTAGCGGAGTCGCGGGGGTCGTGGTACTGAGGAATGCTGGACAGACGCGGGACAGTAGAACGCTTTGCGGTGAGGAAGGAGCGAAGGAGAGGTGAATGAGACGCGAGGGATAGAAGGAAGAAGGTGAAAGAGAAGTCAATCAAATGAATTGACAAGGAAGGGGGGGGGGGGGTGGAGAGAGGAAGCGAGGTTGGGAGGGAAGAGAAAGAGAAGAGAAACGCCTTGCGTGAAGAAGCTGGAGAGATCGCGGGCGTGTTGGGACGCGACGTGACGCAGCCAATCGCGACTCGAAATGGACGGCCACACAAACACGACAAACACGCGGTCACGTGACTCAGGCGCCAAGGCCGCAGCTGGGGAGTTGCCGCGATCAGATCTGGAAAAAGCTGCACCGGCATCACGCACGAACAACCAGATATCCAGCAGCTCTACTCCCCTTTTTATACCCGTTTTATACGCCCATCATGTCGACCGACCCCAAGATTCAGTATGTTACCCCTCTTTTGCGCCATTCGGGATGAGTCATGTGTCATCCAAGCTCCAACTGGTCCGAACCGTGCTAACCACTTGACCAGGGACCTGCTCAACAAGCCCAAGAGCGAGCTCACGTACGTTGATTCTCCTTGTCGATTCTTCTTCGTCAAGTGCATCGGCTGTGTTATCATCAGCGTGGTGTCAACGACTGTCAGATGACTTGCCATCCATCTCAATCCCGCCTACCCCCGCCACCATCCTAGTCCCATCCGACCAGCTCTCTACCCACATATCACTCCATATTTCATCTCCACCGTCTAACAATACCCCAGTGAATACGAAGTCTCCCTAGTCGAAGACCACGAACTCACCGCCGGCCCGCTCTCCCTCCTCCAAACCGCCACCCGCACACACACCCAAGTCCTCATCTCCTGCCGAAATGGCCGCAAACTGCTCGCGCGCGTCAAGGCCTTCGACCGCCACTGCAACATGGTGCTCGAGAACGTCAAGGAGATCTGGACCGAGAAGCCCAAGGGGGGTAAGGGCAAGGGCGTGAACAAGGATCGCTTCATCAGCAAGATGTTTGTTTCTACCTCCTAACCGTTATATCACGCTCAACCCATGCTTATAATCTGTTAGGTTCCTGCGCGGCGACTCCGTCATCCTCGTCCTGCTCAGCTGATCGAGTCTTTTGAGCTTGATTCGTTTCTACCTGAGTTGTCCGATCCTGTCCGTCCGTCCGTCCACGTGACATTCGTGGTCTGTCTAGGGTACATCCGTACATGTCCCACGTCGCGTCTTCTTATTAATTCTTTCGATGAAAAGGAGAACATGATAATGGAATGACCTCGAATGGACTGGACACCGATACCCTACCATTTGCCCTTTGTACGATTCCGACATCGTCCATCCACCTCTTTATCTTATCTGTCTTTATTGTTGTCTTGGGAGCTGGAAGATTTTCCTTTCTATTATTATCTTTATCTTTATCACGATGGGTCTATCCTGGCGTTTTCTTGGTGTGAATTGAAAAGAGAGAGAAAGAAATATACGTATCTATCTACGTATCTACCTTCCTAGGTCGGGAGGAATACATGGGATTGAATGAAGATTCCTCCTTATAATCGGGAATAGAAAATAATAAAAAAAGAAAATAACTTCATATTACAATATACCCGAGATATCACAATTAGTTTCGGTAGATATCTGCTGGAGGAGTGATAGAGTACCTACCTAGGCATATCAAAGTACAGTAAAGTACCTCCCTACCTACCTACCTATGTATGCTTGGAGGGCGTGTGCAACTTGGAAGACACTACCTACCTAATAGATAAATAGATATGATTAGAGGCCTAGAAGGTAAGATAGGTAGTACCTAGTACCGAATACAATACCTAGGTCAAGAGGTGAAGTAGTCAGCCTCTTCTATCTATTCTATTCTGTTTACTAGGTACATATCTACAGAGTACTTTTTTCAAAAAAAAAATAAATAAAAGTTTGGACAGACCTATCTACCTACCTACCATCTATATCATCTACCTTGGTATCACGTACTAGTACTACGAAGTCAACACGATACAAATAATAAAATCATAAATGATAAAATATCATTAAACCAACCACTAGTCATCAACATCATAAAATTATATTAAGAGATGTAGTATGTACCAAGATGAGCACCTCCCAAAAAAAACCCCGCCAAAGGATTTCAAACCCATTAAAGAGCCTCCGCAAGACCAGTCAAGAACTCAGCGAGACCATGCGCACCGGGGTCGGGAATCTTGCCCACCCACTCCTCCTCACCGCCAACGTAGACACTACGGCCCAAGCTGGCCTTCATGGCCTTGGTATCGTCGGAGCCCTTCTGGGCGGCTTGCGCGGCCATGTGGACGTCCTTGACGGTCTGGAGTTTGTTGCAGAAGGGGTAGAGGGCGTCGATCATGGTGCGGTCGCCGGGCTGGGCGGGGGTGTAGTTTGCGAGGGCCTTGCAGGAGTGGTCGAGGGCGTTGGCCCACACTTCGGTCGTGGCCGGGGTGGGAGAGCCCGGGTCTTGGTTGCGGAGACCGTGGGCCAGCGCGTTGAGGAAGATGGCGTAGACGGCGCCCGAGGTGCCGTCCATGGTGTTTTCGACGACTGTGACGATGCGGTTGACCGCGTTGACAACGTCGTCGGTGAGGCCCGAGGAGGGGTTGTCGAGGAGGGCCTGGATGGCTTCCGCGCCGCGCTTGAGGCCGACGCCGCAGTCGCCGTCGCCGACGATGGTGTCGTAGCGGGTGACGAGGGGCTCGGCCGCAATGACGCGACGGAGGCCGGAGCCCAGAACTTTCCGGAGCACGGCGGGGTCCACTGATCGGCATGTTAGCGGTGTTCTTTATCTCTCTTGGCGAATCAACGAGGGTCATGGGGAAACGTACGCTTAAGGTTGCTGGGCACCTCGTGGGCCGGCTTCGTCCGCTTGAGCTGCACGGGAGCGTCGCTGGAGTGTTGCGCCCAGGTGGACGACCTGATGGGAGCGGTCCAGCCGACGGCTTCGGCCGGAGCGTCCAGGAGCTCGATGAACGACTTGCCGGCTCCGAGACCGGTGTCGGCGGACTTGAGGAGGGACACGCTGAAGCCCATGCCGTTCAAGCTGGTCAGGAAGGTGCCCTGGATGACGCGAGAGGGCTTGATGCTGTGGTCCTGGCCGAGCTGGCGGTAGACCTCGTCGGTGATACCCGACAGCTCGAGGGCGCTCAAGCCGCCCAGGTTGTTGATCAGGAGGACGAACTCATCCTCGGGCTGGTGCGTGATGAAGGCACGGTCGGGGTCATTGTGGTCAAGAATCTGGAACAGCATGGTCTTGACCAGCTCGGGGAGCGAGGCCTTGACGCGGTGGGATCCCGGCTCATTGTGGATGCCCATGCCGACCTCGACTTGGCCGTGAGGGATCGAATCCTCCGCGGCGGTCACGGGGCGACCCGGGATGTGAACATGCTCGAGGGACGCACCCACGGAAGCGAGGTTGTCGTTGGCCAACTGGGCAGTGGCGTAGACTTCCTCCAGGGATGCACTATATAGCGATTAGTTTCCGCTCGACAGTTTTTTCAACAAAAAGAAGGAGTGAACTTACCCAGCCTCTGCCAGGGCGCCAACGATCTTCAAGACCAGGATGCCGCCACCAATGCCACGACGGCCAACCTTTCCGCCCTTCTTCTTGCCGACACCAGCGTCGTCGTTGATAGCGAAAAATTCGGTCTTGATGCCCGCAGCGCGGGACTTCTCCGTGGCCATGCCGAAGTTGAGCACGTCGCCCGTGTAGTTCATGGGAATGATCAGCACGCCCTTCTCGTTGTTCACGCAGTCCATGGCGCCCTTGCGAATCTGCTCAGCAGACGGCGAGGCGAAGATGGTGCCCGCGACGGACGCATCAAGCAACCCGTGACCGACATAGCCCGCAAACGCCGGCTCGTGACCGGAGCCACCGCCAGAGACAATGGCAACCTTGGACTTCTTGACGGAATCGGGGCGACGGAAGATGATCTTGTTGTCGGGGTCAAAAGCCAGAGAGGGATTTGTTAGGGTGAGAGAGTGCAGGGCAGTGCGAACCAGATGGTCCGGGTCGGTAAAAAAGTGTTTGGCTGGAGTGCGACGTTAGCGTGTGCGTTAATGCAAACCGTCTGGGGTTTGGGTTTTGCGGGGTAAGAATATCCCGCGGGCACGACTCTCGGGAGAGACTACCCGCTCGAGGGGGGAAGAACAAAAAGAAGGAAAGGGGAGATCTAGTGTCACTTACTCTGCATTGTGAGATTGAAAAGGAAATGATCGTAGGACCGGGGATGGGCGGGTGACGTCGAAAGCGATCCGGTTTAGAACGGTGGGGAAAACCGGGAGGATAACCAGATGTAGAGAATCCGGAGAGGAGTATGGGATGTCAGGGAATCTTTGGCTTTTTTTTTCTCTTTCCCTTCCAGAGGACAGCGGTCGAGCGCGTCTTTATAGGCGGAGGACAGTGGTACGGTGATGACTCTAAACGAGACGGATTCTGGGCGAAATTGGTTTGCGTCGCAGGGGTTGGCGCGCAAGAATTAGACCAGGAAGTCCGGGATGTCTCCAATGGTATAGTGCCGTGAACACGATCGGTTTGCTGACCGGCAGAAGCGGGGAGGGTGAGGGGGGATAGGTGGAGACGTTGGTGTTTCTTGGGATCTGGTTAGAGTCAATCCGGGCTCTCACGCGGTGCGATAGGATGAGGGATGTCATTTGCTGGGGAACATTGCTAGGTAGGTAGGTAGTAGGATGCGCATACCTTATAGGTGGGAGGATAACAGGATTGTCGTCACTGGGACGTATAGAAGACCTGTAGGTGTAGGGAATGGGGAATTGGATTGAGAGAGGGAGAGATTGAGAGAGGGAGAGAGAGAGGGGGAGAGAAAGGTAGATATAGATATAGATATAGATATAGATAGAGAGATCAATTGACCGGAAGCTCAGGATGAGGATGAGGGAATCAGGAAGATAAATACGGCGACGACGTGGAGCAGACAATAGACGTGCGTGTCAAGTTGCCCGGAACCAACATTTCAATTGATTATAATTTCTTTAAATGAATTAAATGATTTTCATCTTTTTTTTTTCAGTTCACATGAACAAGGACATCGTGATGACCCATCAGGATTCCCAGATAGGCAAGAATGGAGAAAGGAAAGCAGTCAAATCATACATGCGACATCATACATCACACATCATCCATGATTCCTGTATGGAGAGGGATCCACAGGGAAAGGGTTCCCTGGGAATGATCAATGATCAAATGATCAAAAAGGACCCACCGGACTAAGTTCTTTTGGATTCTTAAAATAAATGAATAATCCGACCGAAAGTACCAAACTGAAGGGGTTAGATCAGGATGGTCTAGTATAGTCGTCGAGTCAATATCATCATAACGGGTTGCCAGAATGGGGAATTCCGCCGTATCCTGGTTCAAAGCGATTGAATGCTTATTCTGAGTCCCGTCTGGGTGTGGAGGACAAAGTACAAAGAAAGTATAAGTATAGTATGTCAGAGTCCTGGTAACCTTCCGAATTCATCCATTCCTGCTGAACCCAGCTACTCGGCCGTATAACCATACGTCCGATCTTACTATCGACCATTATCTTATTCGATTATGATTTCTTTTTTATTATTAGGATAATGCGGAGTGACGAATCCAGGTCGCCAGCGATCCAGATATCGGTCTGTCTGGCTGGGTCGGCATACCTGCATATGATATACCTGTCAGGTATCCAAGAAACGAGGGTTAACAAATTGAGCTCTAACCGATCAGGCAGTATTCCATACCTACAGAGTACCGACTACATCCAGACTACAACTACAGTTAGGCTCACACACATGAAGACTCAACCCCAAGATCATCCGGACAAACACGGAGCAGGACACGTCTAGCTACTAGAGTAGCTACTAGCTAGTAGCCACCAATACCGAGGGACGAGTACCTACCTACATGCAGGATTAAAAAAAAAAAATCCCAGGAAGGATGCAAGTCTAGTTGCCATCCAGGATGGATCGACACGAATCCAGGAGTCAACCGCAGGCACGCATCGGTGGGTCCCAGCCCCAGCATCAGGATTGCGATCATGAGACCTTAAAAAAACCGTGAAAAAAGGAAAAAAAAGGGAGCAAGGAAAGGAGTCCCCGCTTGTCAGATCTCGGTCGAGTTCCACTTTGGCAACAATCCCTACTGAACTCGTGCATCACGTACGTACGCAGGACAGTTTCTCGGTGAGGAGGTAGGAGTAATGGTTGGAATCATCCTGGGATTGAAAGGGACTCCAATTGACTACGCAACTCCAATGACCTAGTTAGGAGAATAGTATGGGTGACAGAGAATCAATAGCCTGATGATCGTTGAGGAAGAGATAAAATTGAATACAATAGAGAATATCAAGCAACAGAGTAATCAGGATAAAACACCAAAAAAGAAATCATAAAATAGGATAAAAAATAAACCTCCACGTGAACAGCATCCTTTCTCCACCTAATAAAATAAAATAGAATAATCAAGCCTAGACCGTTGCATTATTAAGTCAATTCGGTCTGGATGGGGACGGTCTTAACCCGATGCAGCCTTTCTCTCGTTCTCATCCAGAAGGTTTGCCTGACTTGCTTCCTTTTTCTTTCTTTGTTGCTTCTGTGTCTCTTCCATTTCTCTTCTTTTTTATTTTTAATATTATTTATTTCTCTGCCGATAGACCCCCTCTCGGGCGAGTTCCCCCGCGGAGCTCCAGCATTCCTCTGTAGCTTACTGGTACTACCTATCTACCAAAAGACCAGTCACAAATAATATCTTCCAGTGGGGCAGGAAGAAAAAAAACTGGTTGCAGCATCAGCTGGACACAATTCCACTCCTACATAGTACATACTCTTTGATGTACTACCGAACACGCAATCAAATCATCTTATCTGTTTATTTTCACTGTTCCTATTATCTAGGTAGCTAACTAGCTGGTAGTTACTTAGTTGTTCTGAACCCGGGTCTTCCCATAGGGCCCCCTGTATCGGGTGCCGATCACGGAGGTGATGGACTGGGGTAGTTACTAGTTATACTATACTATACTAGAACTGGGCTGAGGATGAGCCGAGGTTCATAGACTGAGTCACCTCATCCTCTTTTTCTTCTTTGGATACTCTGGATATACAGAAGGGAATTGCGTCCCTACTATGTACATTTTGAACAGCAATTGTATAGATCAGATTCCTTCTTTGGCTGTAGATATCCTGCTCTAGCTAGTAGCTACCCATACAGCAACTAACATCGGTAGGTACAGTATATAGGTAGCAATGCATACAGTCAACCAGTAGAACTCACGATAACCGTGATGATTGCTTCGGGTCGGCTCTGCTGCTCCATGTTGATCTTCCTCTTTCTCCAATGTACGGACTAGAGACACCCTCTTGTCCACTCTTGTCCACTCCGCATTTTCGTCCCTCTTTTCTAATGGAGACACTTCTGGAAGATCATCACGCTATATTTATTGTTATCTGAGATAATATGTATTGTTAACTACGAGAAGATATAGTATCATAACTACGACAGAAAGATGTGTATGAAAAAAATGTATGGCCGTGTCCTCAAGATCATCATTAAGCTACGTACTGATACCGATTCCCCTCCTCGCGCTCCATATAGTCCTTCTCAATTAACCTGTGAGACCGGGGTTAGTTAGTTAATTCGTCACTGTGGGGATAAACAGAGGAGGGGCAACCGGAGCAATCGGATAATAAAAAAAAAAAAAAAAAAAAACACTATAATAAAAAAGGAAATGACGTACTTCTCAATATTCTTCTTGATATCAGCCGGCTCCAACACCCCGCGACTTCGGGTCGCCTTGATCACCTCGGCCACTAACTCCGCGTGTGTGATCAGCTTGCGAGTCTTCATGATCCGGACTATCGCCGCCTGCGTCTCGTAGTGTCGGTCCGCCGCCACCCGCTCGTGGGTCGTCTTGTTCTCCTCCTTCGTCTCCTTCAGTTGCACCTGGTTGATCTTGATCCGCATCTTCGCGTCGGAGAACCCCGGGTTGTACGAGAATTCGTCCGTCGTGTTCACCTCTCGGCCTTTCGGCTTCTTGCTGAGCACCCGATACTTGGCACATGCCAGCGATTGAAGGGTCCGCTTTAGTTCTTGATCCGCTGTAACACATGTTAGTCGGTAGAATAACAATAATGGGAATACATGAAAAACAAATAAAAAAATAAAGAAAGGAAAAAGAAAAAAGAAAGAAGAAGAAGAATGATACTCACACAACATAGTCGCTTCCTGGATCTGAGCATAATTAAGCGTCCCATTTTCCGGCACATCGTTGAACAACAGTAGCACCACCGCCTGGAACGAACTGACCACCAGCTCCTTGGTTCCCTTGGGAAATCGAGCCCGGATCTGACAGTGCGCCAGCTGGTGCTTCCAGTTGAGCTTCCGCCCGTTGTACTTGGTGTTGTAGAACTTCTCAAAGTCGCCCACCGCCGTGGCAATCTCCGGCGGTATTCGAACCTGCACGTCCGGGTATGTCGGCCATGCCGACGCGGAGAGAACGCTGACATTCAGATCCACCGGGAGCCGGTGTAGCCGTTCTCGCTGGATCGAGCTGTATGCGGACATCTCGTCTCGAGCCACCTCCATGTCCTTGAACATGGACTCCAAGTTGTGGGTAAAGCTAGACCCGCATTCTATCCAGGGATTAGAATTCATAATACGTGAGTGCTTGTTAAATGGAGCTGGAACATACCTGTCTTGAGTCTTGAAAGCATGCTCTTCTCCGCGTCGTCGCTGGCACTCCGGCCCATGAGGAGTCGACGCGCGAGATCATTCTTGTAGAATGCCTCGAACACTGCCTTGCCATGCACAAACCGGAACAAATCCAGTACTTGATCCAACTGACGATCGATCTCGGCGTCTTCGTCCGCCAGAGACACACCGTCCGCCTCCCGCACGGGCGCCAGCTTCCACCCACCTTTGAGTAGTCGGTCCACGTATTTCGCAATCATCTCCCCGGTCTTGGGGTTGTCGGTCCCTCCCGTGGCTTCCGACTTCTTCCCCTTGTTCATAAACGTCTCGAAGGCTTCGCGGAGGGAATGGCCCAGTTCCTCGTGGCGGTGGAAGGAATTAATCCAGATCTCGTCAAGCTGCTGTTTAAAATCCAACAGTCGAGTCACCATCTCCGCCTCTTTCGTGTCATCAAATACGATGCCGGACCCTTCTTCGATAATGTAGGCGGTGAAGGCAGGCTTCAACTTTACACCGAGCTCCCGCCGTTGCAAAAGCGAGTAGAGCTTCTCCAAGGCGACCTTGTTCCCCGACCGTAGAAGCCCCAGGATATCATTCTTATTGAGCAGCACAGACTCCTGCTGCGCTACCAAGGTCTGGTCCAGAAGCTCCGAGAGCTGTTGTTT